TTTCCCACTCTTTCTTGACGCTTCTTTCACAGTTGGAGCTGCGGTTGCCGTTGTTGGGCTGGCGGCGTACCGAGTCTACGCAGCAAGAAGGAACACCTCTAGCTGAAGAAGGCTAAGATCTTCATCAGCCTTTGCTCGTCTCTTGAGGTATGAACACTACCAGAATGGAAGAGACAGAGAGAAAAGATTACCTGATCCCTTTGTCCCGAGTCGTTTTTGTCTTTTCAAGTTTCAACTCAGAACCGATGTTGTTTTAGCTCCCTCTTGGAGAAAGTGTGGCACTCACTCTCTTTTGGATCGTGGAAGAGCTTTTGTACAAAAAAAAAAAAGGCCATTAGAAGAGAATCTATAGACATTTATTTGTTTAGTTGTTGTGCCAGTACCTTTTTTTTTAGTTCAATAAAGAAAGGATTTTGTCACTGAGATTTTTTCATGCTCTGTTTCCTAAGATTGGTCGTGTAATTCATGTGAGTCTAATGTTTTGAGCATGGTCATTGTCCCTCGACTATATGCAAATAGATTTACGATCCCGTTAATGTTGTAGAAAGGACGAAGAAAAATTATGAATCACAGTAGAAAAAGGAACATGAAAAATGAAATTGAGACACAGTACGAGTTGGAGACTCGTGTGTCTCGCTAAAACGCTGTCGTTTCACCTTTGAATGCTTTTCGTTGTGTTCTATTTAGTTCCGTCGCACAAAGACGCGGACGTTATCCTTCCGACCTCATTCACGGATGATCAATTCTCGTTCCGATTCGGCTTTTACATTTGACGATAAATTGCAACGTTCCGTTCAAGCCCCCCTTTTAACCGGAATCTTCCTTCTTAAAGGTACGGCCTTTTTGCCGGTTTTATTCTTGCAGATGTAAATTAGAGGGAATTAGGGTTGAGTAGGGAATTGCAGCACTCGATTATGAAATTAGGGTTTAGAGTTCGAGATAATTGGATTTGGTATCATTTTCTGCCTCTGCAGTTGGATTTCTTGTCTAAACAATCCAATCATGGTTCTGTGCCGGGAAACTATTTTTGGTTTGACAAAGTAGTGTAGCAATGAAGAAACACAGATTTTTTTTCTTTCTTAAATCATGTTTGTTATTTGCTTTGTAGTTTCCAGTGTGCAACGGTGAATGGAGGAAAACCCTGGTTATCGTGGAGAGCATCAAGGCGACATGGCGGGAGAAGGTCTCGGAGATGTGGAGACACCAATGGTGAAGGACATAAGGAGGTACATCTGCCAGTATTGTGGAATCAGCAGATCAAAGAAACATCTCATCACTTCTCACATTCTTTCCCATCACCAGGTCTCGGTCTCCACCCCATTTTTCATCGTTCAATTGAGTTGTTCATTGTATAGTCAAATTTGTTTTTCTTTTTAGAATTAGGGGTTTCAATTTTAATGTGAAAATAGTATTTGTTAATGACAATTTAAGGAATGACAAGCAGGTTATGGGTTTTTGGGGTTGTGCAACTTTTGATAATTTATTTGTGGATGTTCGTGCTTTCTTTAGATGGAAATGGACGCAGAAGAAGAAGATGATGAAGCTGGTGAAGCCGAGGAGGAGTTCTCAGACAGAAACACTTGCCAAGAATGTGGTGCTAGTTTTAAGAAACCTGCTCACTTGAAGCAGCATACGCAAAGTCATTCCCTTGAGGTAAATTTCCACATTCTTCTCATTGCTTGTTATGCTATGCTACAGTTTTAGAGTAATCTTCTTGGTCCTGTTTTCCTTTTCCTTTGTAATCATACCTTTAGTCGATCTACAATGTGCAAAGAAGCGGTAGCTTTTTGATGCTTATGGGAACAGTACAGTGCTGGAAATCCTTGTTCGGAAGTTATCGCAAATTGGAGATTTGCAGAGACAGAGACATTTGCTGTATATATGCTTAGTTCTGAGAATTGTTCATCTTTCACAAACTAAAGGTATATCCCTTTGCAGGAACAAAAAGGCCTAGTGGGTTGAAGAAAAGGCCTAATTGATATTGTAGCGTGAGGCATTGGATCCCAGACAAAGAACTCCAAAATGCGAGGCTACATGTAATGGACCAGTATCAGGTAGGGAGACCACCTGAGAAGCTCCATCAAGCAAGCCTCAGTCACGCAAATGGTGTGCAATCTGATGTGTTATAGTTTATTTGGTGCTTATCTTTTAGGATATTGTTTCATTCGTGTGGAAAACTTGATGGATTTTTCCTTAAGAAAAAATTTCTGTTTGCAGAGATCCTTTAGGTGCACTGTAGATGATTGCACTGCCAGCTATAAGAGGAAGGATCATCTCAATAGGCATCTTCTTACCCATAAAGGGAAACTCTTCAAGTGTCCAATGGATAATTGCAATCGCGAATTCTCAGTACAGGGTAACATGAAGAGACACCTCAAGGAATTTCATGATAACGGGGATAGTGGTAATGATGGCGATCATTCCACAGCTTGTGCAAACGGTCAGAAGCGGCATGTCTGTGACGAGTCTGGGTGTGGGAAGGTGTTTATGTATCCATCAAAGCTGCAAAAGCATCAGGATTCTCATGGTAAGTGCCTCTTAATCTTATTAACAAGCCAGGGTGTGTCTAAAACTGTTATCCCGGTCACTTTATCACTACGGGCCTTTGAGTTGGCCGAAAATGAAAAATGTGTTGCTATATTCTGACACCTCTTGTATGAAAAGCTAACTTTTTTTTTTTGCACATGAAACAATTCTCTGAATCCTGTGGAAAACTTAACAAAAGGATCTGCTTCCTAAAACATTGCTGAGCCAAATTTCTGCTGAAACTCCATTATCTTATATGGTTGTTGGTTTTCGTTTTCAGCAAAGCTGGAGTCAGTGGAGGCATTCTGTGCTGAACCCGATTGTATGAAGTACTTTACAAACGAGGAATGCCTGAAAGCCCACATAAGATCATGCCATCAGTACATTAACTGCGAGATATGCGGATCCAGACAGTTGAAAAGGAACATGAAGAGGCATCTACGCACCCATGAGGAAGAATCTTCATCCCGAGAAATCCAGTGCGACTTCGATGGCTGCTCTATGACATTCTCAAACGTAAGATCCACAACCTCTCAGAATCATAAAAACTATCTCGTGTCGGTTTCACTCTCTCGGACTCTGCAATTTTGTGCTAATTATTGGTCTATCCACAGGCATCTAACCTCCGGAAACACATGAAAGCTGTGCATGAGAATGTCCGGCCCTTTGTCTGTGGGTTTCCTGGCTGCAGTATGAGATTCGCTTACAAACATGTGAGAAACAACCACGAGAATTCCGGGTTCCATACTTATACCCGTGTAAGTTAACCTGTGTATATCTTGGCAACACACTCGATCAAAAGAAATTCTTGGCTGAAGCTATATAAATTCGTGATTCCAGGGTGATTTCGTTGAATCAGATGAACAATTCTTGTCCAGACCAAGAGGTGGAGTGAAGAGGAAGCAAGTTACAGCAGAGATGCTGACGCGGAACCTCAGTTAAATTCGACAGAATGCCAGAATATATAAGGCTCGTTTCATGAGTCCGGTTGTTTTACAGGGTTTGTAAGTAGAAGTAGGTGTGATGTAAATGCAACTGTTAGGTTTGCAGTGAATGTATTCTAAAAAATGATTTTCTAGATTATGTCGACCGACCAATGCAAATATTATTCGTATTAAGTCAAAGTTCTAACCTTTTGTCCATTTTGCTCCTGCATAATCTATGAGATCATTAGAACACTACATTGAAGATTCAGTAACAGAGACAAAAGTCATGAAGAGTTTAAAATTATCTCTATCTGGGTTTTGTCAAATGGCTCGGCAGCTGCAAACAGTGCCTTCGGAGACACAGCTCTTCAGTTCTCCGACAACTGTGGATACTTTTCTTGACAGACAAGGCACAACCATTTGCCGACCGTTGGATCCTTCTCTCTGCAGCATCAGACAGTACTTCTTGAAGGCATCTCTTGTGATGCTAAGTCTGAAATCCAGATCGAACAAGAACGTTAACTCCAGTCTGTTCATCTCTTCCTTGCTCACCCCTCCCACTTTTGCGTAATAAGCATTGTTGTAACACCTGCGAAAGACAAGTATGAAAAAGATCAAGAATCCGAACCCCTTACACAGATTCTTGAAAAAAGATCGAAGAAGTAAAAGGTTTCGATCTTCAAGATTTACTGACTCGTCATCCAAGAACTTGGCTGCGACCAATACACTCGTGATGAGAAGGCGGTGAACGTTGAGTGATGTTAAAAGCGTGAAGCCTTCCATCCTCTGGAGATATCTCTGTATATACACAAACGCCATGACGAAACACGAAGGGCTACAACCGGAATACTTGTGAATTCTCTCTATGTAATGATGAATGCTCATGGTTGGCACTCTTGTGCCGTGGAACACCGTGATCTCCTCCTTCTTCTCTCTGTTTTTTTTGGCGATTATACATTAGAAGATTCAATTATTTTCACATATGAGATCAATGAACGGATAAGTGATGAGAGCTATGGATTTTCAGACATACTTGTTTCTGAGAATCATCTTCTCAAGAACAGAAGCAAGAAGGGTGATCACTCTTGGAGTTCCAGAACCGGGCTTGTCAGAATCTTGCAGGAGTCCTATCCACTTGAAGAGTTCTTCTGATTTGTTCGTCTGGTTGACGAAGTTTCTAGAACTTTCCATCCTTTTTCCGTGTTTCGAAAATGAGAGAATTCAGACCGATCGTCTCCGTTTTTATCTGGTGAAATCAGTCTCGTTTTGTTACTAATGTATTATTGCGAAAGGGAAGGCGATGGTGACGAATTGAAGATAAGTTTAGCTTTTGTTAAAGTTTCATATGCATTTTAGGTTCTTTCCTTTGGGGGAAAGTAAGTTGTGTAATGGATTTGTGAATGTACATACATGTCTTGTCTGTTGGTTTTCTGAGCATATTTACTGTATTTTTTTCTTCTAATTTTTAAATATATCGAATCCATACATATACGTATATGTGTATATATTGAATACGTCTTTGTGGGAGAAAAGTGTGTATATTGAATATAAGATAGGCATCAGATTTCAGATATTCAATTGAGTATCCCACTTGGCCTAAAAATTAAAGCAGAAAAGATATTGGTGGACCAAATTTCTGGTACCGTCGTTAGTGCCTTTACACAAGCCTCAGAGCACACATACATACATACATACATACATACATACATACATACATACATACATACATACATACATACATACATACATACATACATTACTAGAGACTTTTCATGTAATTTACCCAAGGTTTATTTCATCAAACCTCTCGTGTAAATAACATACACAAAAAAGCTTGATTTGAGATCAAGCGAAGCAAAGTTACAAAAAGCCACAAAACCAAAAGAATACAGCTTTATCAACACCAAATCTTCAAAGGTTTCAAACTCAGAGGTATAACATCGGTCGATTCACAAAACTCTTAAATTCTCCCCATCGAGAATCTCTTTGGAACCGAAACTGGGCGCTGTTTCAATCCATACATTGTCGTCGTTTCATTGCTCTTCCCCACGCTTTTCCGGCTCTTCAATGGCGAAACCAGCCTAGTCGCCAGTCTTGCCGGAGAAAGCGACCTCCGAAGCTTTGCAGCAGTCGATAGCTTCGGCGATTTCCTGCTAAAATTGCCGACTCTCGTTGGCGAAATCGAAGCTTTAGGCGGTGACATCTTGCCCAAGTTGGCGATTCTTGTCGGAGAAAGAGAAGATTTTGGCGATTTCTTGATCGAGCTACTGGTTCTTTTCGGAGAAATGGTGACTTTAGGCGGGCTCTTGATCTTCACCTGAAACTTCTTCGATGGCGGCGTCGGAGGAGATTTGATCAAGAACTTATGCGGCGTCTGCGTTCTGGCACAGTTGCTGCTACTGCTAATGTCGTTTTTAACGATGACTGGAGATCTTGTCCTGCAGAATTTGGCTTGGTGTGTAGATGATGACATTGAGGTAAACAATGGGTTGGGGAAAAGGACAGTCTTTTTAGCCCAAGGCTTGTGCTTTGGCGAAACCCTATTAGCCGAATGCCTGAAACTGTTATTACCATTGCCTTTGTCTGGATGATCCTTCTCAGCTATTTTGTGGGGCGAGACGATCTTGAAGGCAATTCTTGAACGGGCCCTTTGTAAGGAAGGCGAATCTGATTCTGATCTGATGAGCTGAAGTTTGTTCTGCTTCTCTTTCTTCCTTCTCAATCTGATGTCACTGTTGGTGGTTTCATGGTTTGGTTGTGGCGTTTTCCGTTCAGCTTCTGGAGTTTTTGGCCCGTTTTCTGATAGTATTGATCTCTTGTGTTGTTTATTCTTCTTTGATGCGACTGCTTCTACGATTTCTCGTGTGAATTGAGAGGCTTGTAGGATTTCATTGACTGTCTCTCCAAGTAACATTGCTGGCAGTGACGTTCTCCTCCAATCTCCTGCATCATAAATTACCAGGAACACACTATGAATCATACATACCACAGAATTTGCAGGATTTTGCATTGCTCTTTTTAACTACAGTTCAAAGGCATACCAGAGAACATTGGAAGAGTTATTATGGCCATGAATATGAGCATTATGTACCACAATTTTTGGCACAAGAGCAACAACAATCTTGGACTAAAAACTTAACCAGAAGTTTAGGGACCAATAAACTCCACATTTAGTAATGCAATGAGAGAGAGAGAGACCTGCTGAGGAAGCTGGAAACTTCCCAACTGGAGATTTCCTACTAGTGGCATTCTTGATTCTACAACAATGCAGAAAAAAAAAATCAGAGAGGCCTTGTGAGTTTGGACCAAGAAGCAAATTTATCTGATTTTCCAGGCAAAAGGTTTGGTTTTGTCAGTTGAATTTACCGTAAAGTTTCTTGTTTGCATCTTAAACTTGTCTTCAAGTAAGTTCTAGTGCTCCTGGGGCTGAGGCTTACACCAGATACAATTTTGGTTCCTCCTGAGACTGTGTACTGCAGCTCTTGCAGTCTTTCCATACACTTGTCCACCTTCACATACTCAGATGGAAAATCAGCATAGAATCAGAAAATTATGAATCCAGAATTGAAGGAGACCTAATTATACAGGTCATGGTCTCATTTTCAGGGAAAGTTTTGATTGGCAGCTGAGAAAAATGGAGATACAAAGTAAAGGGGTTTTCCCGGAAGAAAATATGACCCAGTTGATACCATCAAGAATCCATTGATGGAGTATGCTTGCTTTCTGAGAAATTCAACATGATATCCACTACAAATCAAACCAGAAGACCTCAATAGAAGTGAAAATTTTCACCTTTTCCCTTATCTCAGATTTTTCATCTGAGAGAGAAACTGTGGTTTTTGGATTGTGACAAACCAGAAGAAAATTCGAAGATTTAAATAGACCCAGTAGAACAAAAGCACAAGAACCTTGAGCGCTTAAGCCGAACAAAGGTACTTATAATGAAGGAAATAATTTCGATCTGGGGCCAGGAATAGACGGGAAAATTTCACATCAGATTTGATTAGCTTACTAAAAAAGTTCTCAAGATCGTGCCTTAAACGATAATGGGAGGAGCCTCAGCAAGAGGATTGAATTATTGACAATGTCGGTACGAAAAAAAAAAGCTGGGAACTTTATAGTAATGGTATTTTATTCGAGAGTACCTTGTTAATTGTCTCCCTGAGAAGAACTGGGTTGAGAGGAGGAGCCACCACCATATTCCTCTGCTTTAGTGGGGTTCTTGCTACCATCTTTAATCTCTGTAAAAAAGAAAACCCACTTGCACCAATCTCTCAAAATCTCTGTAAAAACCCTTTGAGCTTCACAGTTAAAAAACTGGGCTTCCACGACAGATACTCGAATCTCTGAAAAAATCCAGAATCCTCACAGCTTCCTGAGGCTCAAATATCTTCGCATCTCTCTCTCTCAAATTCTTCACGTTTTTTCAACCTGGGTTTTAAAAAACCACCGACTTGGACGTGAAACAGGATGAGTTCGCTTCTTGTCTTGAGCTCGTTTGGTTCAAACAGGGGGGGGAAGGTCAACGGGCACGGAAGGGGGAGAGAGGGAGCGGGGATAAAGCTTTTCCCGTAACGGATCCTTTATTTTATTTTTTAAAAATGTTTCTTTGGTTCCCAACGGTCTAATTTTTTTGGGGAAGGTGGGTGACATACGTATCTACACCCAACGGCTACTTTCTTTCCTTTTCCCCCTTTTTATCTCCTTAAAAATAAATTTAAGGGGAGATATTGCAGTGGAGAGTGGGACCTGTGGCTTTGAACACACACAAACACACACACATATATATATATATATATATATATATATATTATGTAATTGATTCTAGAAATCCGCCTGAATTTTGTGTTACTCAGCCGTCCACTATAGATTTATACTTTTTTTTTACTATATGTTCATCTGAAATTTGACTGAACATAGATATAACATAAGCGGTTCTATTAACATAACGACGACTAGTGATTTTTTCTTTTCCCCAAGAAAACAAATGTGATGGTTTTTAAACCTACAAAGATCCAAGTCCAAAAGCTCGGAAATCATAATCATCACCAATCAATCATATCAGAACAACAAGCTACTATTGTTCCCTTCTGAGAATATCTGATGCAGCAGCAGCAGAGGAAGAAGAAGAAGGCCTAATCGCTGGCAAGAAGGAAGGCCTTCGGTTCTTCATAGTCTTCATCTTCAACGGACTCCACACCACCGTCCTCTTCTGCAACGCTATCACCGTCGGATGGCTCGGCTTCCATCCTCCTCCTCCGCTCCCTGGCGGGCTCCTCATGAACTTGCTGCTACTGTTACTAATGCCGCTCCTCTTATTGCTTGCGTAGTTAGGTGTTGATAAATGATCCGAAGAAGAAGATGTTCTGAATTCCGGCATTGGGGAGAAGAGCTTCGAGTATCTCGCTTTCCTCGGGCCTCCACGGATTATTCCGTTGTTGAGATTCGAGGAGGAAGGTGGGCGTAACGGAGTGGTCATGTTCATGTTCATGTAAGATGACGGTTCTGGTCGTAAGGTTGCGATCGAGACCCGTCTTCTCGGCTGCATTGCCATCTTGCCTGATGAGATGGCCGATGGTTGGGATGGTCGGACCGCGATCGAGCTTCTTCTAGGTTTCATCAGTGTTCTCACGTCCGAAGCGGGTTTGAGGCTGTTGTTCTCTTTGTTATGATACGTTGTTGTTGCGAGGGAGTATCTGGTTGAAGAAGCCGTTTGCTTCTTTGCAGGGACCGGAGATGAATGGGGCATGAAGTTTGTGATTCTCCGGAGAGGCATTCTCGTTCTTGTTGGAGCAAGTGGCGGCTTTTTCTCCGCGATTGATGGTAGCTTCTCAGTCTGATGCTTGGATGATGATGCGGTTGCAAATGCTCGTGTCTCTTGCTTAATTCTGGTTTTTCTCTCTTCGGCCAGTTGAGATTCCAGATCACGAACCTGAGAAAAAAATGGATTTGGTCAAGTGTTAAAAAGAAAACAACATTCGGTATATATCAGTCGTTTTGAAACGTTTTCAAACACCTTTTCTTGAAGGCCTTTGCATATATGTTCTCTGGCAATGAGCCGTAGCTGAAGTGACTGCACACTGTCTTGTAACTTCTTTGTTTCCTTTTCGTCGTGTTTCACCTTCTCCGCCTGTAAATGTCACGAGAGAGAGAAGAGATGAGCTTAAAAGCTCTCGTTAAAACTAAGATGAATCAAATTTGGTGAAGCACATTACCATCTGCTTGAATTTAAGGAGCTCAGAGACGTCTGCCTGTTTACGAGCTGGGCCACTTTCAATCCCGCGGACTCTACTTGCAAAGTTTAAGGAACAAAGGGTCTCTCCTAGGTCTGTTGAACTCGGGCTTATCTGGACAAACATTAAGGTTTTGCAATCTCCACCTGTGATTCCACAACAAAAATCACAATGAAATGAACACAATAGAGATAACACATATGTCATGGATAAACTTTGCTTCCAGGACCTGCCTCCAAAAGGAGCTAACATGACAAAAAGCAAAATCTCCATGATTTATGTGCCTGAGACAGTTAAAATATGAGAGAAATGTTGCTTACCCAAAGAATTTTGCAGCATATGGGTGAGCTTCGAGTTTCTGGATTTAAACAGAAGGATATACATTTGTCAAGAAATAACCAGAAGAGTAAGTATAGATGCATATGGATATGGAAATATGAGAGAGAGAGAGAGAGAGAGAGAGAGAGAGAGAGAGAGAGAGAGACCTGTAAGGAATATGGCTTGTCTTGGATGCAAGGGCAGAGATAACATCACCGAGTGCCGAGAGTGACTTGTTGATGAATTGAGATTCCTTTAACCTTTCACCTTCAACTTCTATCTTTCCTACACGCTCGCTGCCAGCCAAGTCCACCAACCAAAGATGGCTTCTGGTTCTCTGGCCATTTATTAGATTCTCCCCCTTCACTGTCACTCGCAGCAAGCTGCACGAAAAAGAAAATTAGGGTTATCTCAAGTATGATCAGAAGATACCGTTTTGAAATAGTTACTTCTTCAAATGCTTACCAGTGAGAACGGCTGCTTAGCTCATTTGCAGCAGTTGATCCAACGGACCTAACACGGTATCCATTCTTGAGCAGCTCCCACACTTCATCTGTTTTGTAAACTTGGGCTTCTACCAAACCAGGGACTTCCTGAGTTCCTTCTGCAGATTGCTTAACCTCCAACCTTCACAGACATCATAGAATGTTAATCAGCTATTAACAGGAAAGAGGACCCTTGTCTTGATTTTGCTTAGGCTATTTCTTGACAGAAGGAGGTCAACCTACTTTTTAGGAGGCTGGTTGGGGTTTTCAACCAAGAGGTCCCTTATCTTCTCATTATATACCTCCAACATGCTAACAAATATCTCAAATTTCATGAGATGGCTTCTGCTTTCTGAACAACGAAACAACTCTTCTAGTGTCCTGTAATTCACTCCCCTGTTTTCAGGTGTTCCCTCCATGGTAAATGTCTTGCCGGTTCCAGTTTGTCCATAAGCAAATATGCAGACATTGTAACCATCCAGTACAGAAGTGGCTATTGGTTTGGTCTGTGCAAAAACAGCCTCTGCATACAAGAGAATACCCAGATAAGAAACTCATTGGTATAATATCAAATAAAAGAATATTCAGTTAAAGAAGGTTACAGGTAATAAATCTCAATGTACCTTGGTCATCCTCAGGCTTAAATACATGGTCAAACTTAAATTGTTTCTTGGACGGATCACTAGAAAGTATTTGGAGCTCATTTTCGTGAGATTGATCAAACTCGACTACAGACGTTGAACCATTTGCTATTTCAGCCTGGTTTAGGGGCCTACATCTGCAGAAGACCCTGATGTTTCCCTTGAGTTCGATCACTTCATTGTAGAGACGTTTCCTCTCAAATGACTCTTCCAAGTACTTCTTTTTCAGAATTCCAAGCTCAGTATCTGGCACACAACAGATAGGTCACAAATCAATTACAAGTTTACACCCAGAACGATGAGAACTAACAAGATTTTTGCCAAGTAAAGCTTTCGGTTACTGACTCAGGAGCTGGATAGCCTTTGACAATTCAGAGTCTGAAAAGGAACAACTTGTGATTTCTTTAACTTGGTTGGATACAAAAGCATGTTCTTCCTTCAATTCCTACAAAAACAGTATAGAAAGAGTGAATCGAAATAATCCACTTAAAAAACGATTTGAAAAAACACAGCAAAACTTTTGGGGAATCACTGCATATTCAAACAAAAGATCTCCCAGTTTTTCAAGTAACTGGGAGCAGGACAAGTAGTACCTGAATCTTTACAGTTTGTACTCTGCAGAATCAAGTAACCATGGTAAAGCAGACAAATACAAGTAGTACCTTAATTTTGTTGCTTAAATTGATAATCTTCTGCAAAATTGGAAGTGTCGGGCCATTGGTGGGAGAAACTTCTTGGTTTTCACTGACAACCGTATTCTCGTTGAAGGAAGACGAATTCTGATCGGCTGGTTCACCCAAAGCACAATGTATCACATCCACATTTACATTTGCTAGTACATACTTCAGCCCCATACAAATGTAAGACAGGAGATATGACTACGGTTTATGAACTAATTTTTAGAACCCAGGGATAAGCCCCATGAATCGGATCCAAAATCACAAAAATAATGCAGGAATCGGTGAGAACACTCATTCTCTAGGGTCTCCATGATAAAACAGTTATGCGGTGTAGAAAATCTGATTCCAATTGCACACATCGAATTCTGTTCACTCAAAATCAGATCTAAAAACTAGCAGAATTCTTATTTCTCATGGATTTCACAACAGCAGATATCTCCTCCAGATCTACATAAGAAATTGTTACGAACTAGAATAAAATCCAGAAAAGCACAGTTTTCCATGTGGTTTTCTCTACTGAATTCCCAATTCAAACCCGGCTCAAACGAAGTGAACGCTTACCAGTCTCGGAATCGAGATTCTTAGCAGGAGAATCCTTCGGTTCACATGAGAAATCATTTTCGCAGTAGATTTCCGTATGTCGATCTGACAGAAACCAAAGAAAATCAGTGAATCCGGTAATTTCATTAAGAAAACGAATCAGAAACACAGATCGAACGAAAAATCACGAATCCCAAACGCATAGAAAAGAAACAGCCTCGATAAAAACGAAGAAAACACCTCCTTCCATGGCGGATTTGGTGGAGAAACCGAACAACCTCGAAGCAAGAAAATCCAGAATTTCGCAGCGAGGGGGCGAGCGAGCGAGAGAAAGAGAGAGAGATTTGAAGACAGAGAAAAGTAGGGGTAAAGATAGGCGAATTCAAATTGAGACTAATATGAGCCGTTGGATGCAGGAGCTTCCCTAACGTCTATATATCCTTAGGAGCGTCGTAAAATCGGATCCGAGTTTCCGGGTTCGGGTTACTGAAACGGTTCCTTTGATTTTTACTTAAATTACGAAAGAATCCGTAACTATTGATTATTTACAACATTGGTTGATATTTTTAAATCTGAAAAGTTAGTACTTCTTATGGAAATAAAGGACGGCCGAGTTCACACATTTTGGCAATGGCTTCTTCTTCAGTACTAACCTGTTTCTATGGCTACTCCCGCGGTTCATTCTCCACCACCCAATTTTCGCCGCCTTCTCTTTGTGTCGGATTTTCTGCAACAAGAACGTTGTCTCCTTCTTCTTCGGCTTCAAGACTAAGAACTTATGTCAAGTTCGAGAATTTTCAGGGTGAATCTCCTCTTGAACAGGCAACATCAACTTCTTCCTCTACTTCAGATGAATTTCCGTTAGAGGCTCAAGATCAGCTTGGAGAAGAAGATGACAGGTTCGTTGCTTTCTGATAATTTGATTCTTGCTTTCTGATTATTTGATTTGATTGGTTTTGATTCTTGGTCTGGGTATTTCTTATCTTCTGGTTTTGTGGAGTTACGGTGAAGTAAACAATGGCTTTGTTTCAAAGTTCAATCTTTCACTACTTCTTGACTAGTTTCAGAATTTGTTCATAGACTCTGGCAAAGATCTGGGTTATGGTTTGCTAGTTTATGGTATCGAATATAGAGATAAATGAATGATCTTACAAGTTTTATCTGATCTCTGAATTTCAAAGCACGGAAGATGACAAGTTCGTCTGGTCTGGGTATTTCTTATCTTCTAGTTTTGTGGACTTACGGTGAAGTAAATCATAGCTCGATTCGTTTCAAAGTGCAAAATTTTCACCACTCCTTGACTAGTTTCTGAATTTGTTCATAGACTATGACAAAGATCTTGGTTATGGTTTGCTTGTTTATGATATCAAAGACAGAGATGAGTGAATGAACTTATGAGTTTTTATCTGTTTTCTCTGGATTTCAAGAACGGAAGATGAAACTATTGTCCATGTATATTTGACCCTTTTGTTGTTTCTTGGCTCAGTTGCTTGCCATCTGACTTGGAGGGGGCTGTTAGGCAGTCTGGACAAGCTAGTGCCATGTTTGTGGCCTCCGGAGGAACGAGAGCTATAGTATGTGCCATGGAAAAAATGTAATCTTTATTAGGAGAAGTGAACAAGATTTCATATGATTCTCTAATCTGTTTGCCCATAAATGTAATGATGACATCTCAATGGCTTAGAAATAAAATTCAACCATTAGCTTAGTTTTTTAATGGGTTTCTTCTGAAATCTCGTAGGTGGAGCTCTTGATTCCTCAGCTGCAGTTCTTAGATGATGAAGGTGCACAAGCTGAGCTTTGGGAACTTTCTCGTATTTTCTTGGAGACGCTCATCGAAGATTCAGGATGTCAGGTGAGTGAAGGTTGTGGCCTTTCTTGCAGTTATTAAATATCCATGCATTTGCAGCTCTAAACTTCTACTGCTTGCAAATTTTGTTCGCAGAAAATCAAAGCCATATTTCCAGATGCTGGAGCTGCTGCTCTGCTGAAATATAGGTGGAAGGATGCAGCTTTTGGATTTGCCAGGTAATGTTTCATCTCTATAACATATCTTTACATTAGAAGAGTATGTGAATGTGAATTTGCAGATGAGTTCCTCATTTAATGTCTTGTTTCCAGCTTAAGCGATCGGAAACCAGTTGAGAAAGAAGATGAGATTGTTGTCATGGTTGTTCCTGATTACCAGATGCTGGAGTATGTTGAGAGGATAGCATCACAGCTTGCAGATGACCCGGTAACTATACCAATCATCTATTTCTTCACCAAAATATGGGCTTTGTTTTGCTGAGGGCTCATCTAATATGAAACTGGTAATTTTTTGTTATTCAAGCCGAGACCACTAATCATGTGGAACCCACGTCTTATAAGTGAGGATGTTGGTGTTGGATTCAATGTAAGAAAACTGAGGCGTTACTTTCTAAGGTAAACATGGTTCTGAAAGAGACTTGACACAGATACTGAAAGTATTGAACTGTTTTTTCTAATCTTTAAATCTCGATTCTTGCAGTACTTTCACTACGGTTTACTCCATGAAACCTCTGGCTGAGGGAGCTGTTTTCCGGTGTTATCCAGGGTAAGATTTGGTTTAGATGCTGCATAAATAATTGGCTTTCAATTATGACAAGCTTATCCATTTTCATTCTCTTGTTTAAACTCTAGACTTTGGAAGGTCTTCTATGACGATAAAGATAGGCTAGGCCGGTACTTGCTTGCCAAAGAGCTAATCGGTCGTCCTGATGCTGAAGACCTTGAGGTTATTTGCCTACTACCACAATCTTCGTTCATATATATATATATATTATTGAAACCCACGAAAAAAATTTCTTGTAAAATTGATGATTTAAAAAAAAAAGTCGAAGTCGCAACTAATCACAACCTACTTTCTTCCGTTTTCTGTTTTGAGTTCAAAATGTCTCTATTACTACACCTACAGGGAATACACTTGGATGCAGTTCTTAGTTACATAGCTTCATTTATTTTTCTTCCAGTGCATTTTGAACCCTGTTTCTGAATCTTGTTGCAGATAATATTTGGGAACGTGGAAGAGGAGTCAGATGGACCATCTTTGTTCAGTCAAGCTGCCGGAATTTTCTCATCGCTGAACAGGTTCATGAAAGCCATTTCCAAATGATCTTATCCCCTGTATCTTATAGTTCTCATATATGTGGCATGGAGTGGAATATCAGAAAGGTACATACTACATACGAATGCAGTATTGACCACAATGAAATATAGTATCCATTTGTAAAGGGTTTCTTCTTGGGTTAAATTTACATCTGCTGCAGAGAAACTTGACATTCCTAAACTTATCTTATATACATAAGAGGAAATTATGATATATGGCTGATACAGCTTAGTCTATCATTTTCTATGGCTGTAATCCCATGGTTTAATGAATTCTTCTGCAGATGCTTCTTATGCATGTACATATTGTAAGTGGTTCAACTTCCAACTGAATCTGTCATTAGAAGGCTCTTTGTAGACTTTGTTTCAAATTCTCTGTTGCAGAAGAAAACTGAAAGAGGATTAGAACCAGTCGCCGATCCACCATTTTCTATCATTTTCTATTAGCCGTTTATATTATCGGAATAATATTACGTATCTTTCAGTGGGGCAATCAGATTTTGCTCCTAAAAATGCTTTTACTTTGGCATGAAAATCTGCTTTCAGCTACGCAAACGAGCAACCGGTTCTTCTCCGAGTATAACTTAAAGTGAGGAGCTGAAGAGAGGATCGTCTCTTTCTTTCTCTGCAACAGGTCGTGAATCTCTGGGAAGGCGAGCTCTTGAGTTGTCCTCAGAAAATTATATGCTTTATTGCCACTATAAGCAAGTTCCATCCAAGCTATCCAACAAGAGAAGGCATTGACGAGCTGAGACAGAGAGACATGCTGTCAGAACTGTGAAGCTGCCTATTTCTAAGTTACCATGGAATGTACAAGCAAACGAGACAGATTTTGGAATACATAGTTCATAGGCAACAAGGAAGATGAGATGTCAGCTTCTGGGTTTCGTCCATTAAAGTTGCAAACTTTCTACAGATTCTTCCAGCAGGTTTGGCGAGGGAAATTTCTTTCCATATCTGCACCGATATGGGTTTAGGGTAAATCAGGTTTCCGGTTCAAACCGGAACAGATGCAGAGAATTCAGTGTCGATCGAATCAAAGAAACGAGCAAGAGAAAGTATCGTGCGGTTTGAGTAGAAGTCGTATCAAAATAATAATAGTTATCCGTATCGAAAGCCGTGCCTTATTTTTTTTTTCCTCTGACCTCAAAAAATCAACATTGCTTCTTCTTTTTTTTGTCGGTTACGCCTATTACTGAGTTTTTTTTAATATTTGTTTTTTGTTTATGGGCACTTTCTTAGTTATTTTTGCATAATATTATCAGTTTTCTCATTTTTGTTTGAAAAATCAATTTGTTTTCGGAAACTGGTTTGCTCGGCAAGTCTTCTTTTACCAAGCATAGCCTTTGTCTTGATACTTTCTCCTTCCCCATAGTGTGCGACCAAACACCGTTCTGAATTCTTGTCCGTGAAAAATTCGCGATGGAATTCTCATCGGCGACTCAGCGTCGACTCGAAACCATTCGGTCTCAGCTCGCTCCTTCTCCTGTCGACGATCAAAGCCCTCTCTCCTTCAACACCACCGCTTCTCCGTTCAACCATGGTAAAGCATCAATCTTTGTCTGATTGTGCCACAGCTGAATGATCTGTTTCTTGTGTTTCCTTATCTCATCCCACGTCTTTGACCCATGTTTCTCTTTCGGCAAAATTCTTGATTTTCTTTTTCAGCAGTTGATTCCCCTGTGTTGAACTTCTTGATGGTTATCATTTTGATTATTTTGCTTTTGACTTGTGTCCTGTAAACATTGAAGTCTCATTCCTTACATGCCGTTTGGTAGGCGAAAATTACAGTGTGGTGCTCCCTGAGAAGCTAGATACTGGAAAGTGGAATGTCTGCAGGTGCAACTGTAGCTATTAGTATGTTGCTCATGTGTTTCGGTTTCTTTTACTTGAAATAATGGTGTGTTTGGTCATGACAGATCTGTGCGATCGCCGATGAAACTTGTTAGCAGATTCCCAAATCATCCTGAAATCGGGACATTACATGATAACTTTTTGTGAGTGAATCTTGTCGTTATTTCTTTTATCTTTTTATGCGGTTGATGAATATCTGAAAGTTTGGAGTTTTCATAGTTTATTTGTTTGGCTTGTGAATCAATACTGGAAAACCTTGTTGGAATCAGGCATGCTGTTACCTTATATCCTGATAACAAGTACCTGGGTACACGAGTTCGGGAGGATGGAACGGTTGGAGAGTGAGTCAATGAAAAGTTCATTATGCGAGTTTTTCGGTTCATGCTGATAGTTTGGGAGAGATCTATACCTTGTATTATCTGTTTTGGTTTGGAGTTGAAGGTACAAGTGGATGACATATGGAGAAACAGCTTCTGCTCGACAAGCCATAGGTTCAGGCCTCCGACATCTTGGAATACATCAAGTAATTCTTTTCTTAATAACTGCATTCTTTAGTTGTATAAAGTCCTGACTCCTGAGCATACATAATAGTCAAACCATTGTTGCTACGTGATATTATTAATACCTGTAAATAGGCTACTTTGAGACAGTTTTTGTGATAACGTTTGGAAGTGTTTAGAACCCGAATAAGTAAAGAAGTTAATTATCTTTTCATTGCCTTTTTCTCTTGCTCGTGACATGTCTTTATCCATGAAACAGGGGGCTCGTGTCGGGCTCTATTTCATAAACAGACCAGAATGGATGGTTGTGGATCATGCTTGTGCGGCATATTCATATATCTCTGTTCCTTTGTATGATACTCTTGGTATGCATCTACAAATTTCAAATCTGATCTTGTCTAAGTTTGGAAATCCTTCCTTCTCTGAACTCGGTACTCTGTTTGTGCAGGTCCAGATGCCGTGAAGTATGTCGTGAACCATGCTGATGTGCAGGCTATTTTTTGTGTACCACAGACCTTGAATATGGTAAGTTTGTTCTGGTCCAGTGATGTGCATTTTCTTTTTTATTCATTTTACAGCAAAATCTATGCATTATTTATATCTGCTTCTCGTCTGGAACATGCAGTTACTGAGCTTCCTGTCCGAGATCCCGTCCGTCCGTCTTATTGTGGTAGATATTCCTGAAATTGGCAATCTCACCGATACGGTTTTATACATAATGCCATTTAACCAATTAACCTTCTATGGTTTGTGATAAAGGTGGTGGGAGGGGCTGATGAACATTTGCCATCACTTCCTCCGGGATCTGGAGTTACAATTGTATCGTACCAAAAGCTACTGAGTCAGGTACCTTTTTTGTGCACCATTCCTTTTAAACTAAAATTATGTGGGTCAATAACAAATATAATATGCATTTTCTGTGCACATTTTACTCTTGTAATTTGTTTAGGGGCGCAGTAGCTTGCAACCATTCTGCCCTCCAAAGCCTGAAGATATTGCAACTATATGCTACACAAGTGGAACCACTGGAACACCAAAGGTTGTCATCTTTTCTTTTCTTTTCCTTTTTCTTTTTTCTGAAATTCGATTTTTGTTACCAATATGGCTCTGAAATTAATGTTTCACCATATATTGACCATGTTTTACTTCATTTGTCCTTTACCTGTCTTGTTGTGAAGGGTGTTGTGCTGACTCATGCAAACTTGATTGCAAACCTTGCTGGTTTCAGCCTCGTGGTGGAATTTTTTCCTTCAGATGTGTGAGTTCTATTCCGAACTTCTTTCTTTGCACATGACAAACATATGAGATAAATTGTTGATAATCGTACATTTCTTACTAATGTGATGTCTTTAACTGAAACATAATCCATTTTCAGATACCTATCATATCTTCCTTTGGCACACATCTATGAGCGCGCAAACCAGGTTTTGTCGGTTTATTATGGAGTTGCTATTGGTTTCTATCAAGGGGTATGTAACTTCTTGTCTTGTGGGCACATGACATAAACTTGTAGAATGAGTTTGGTTTAGTTTATCTTTTACTTTGCACAGGATAATCTGAAGCTGATGGATGATTTGGCTGCTTTAAGACCAACGGTTTTCTGTAGTGTTCCAAGATTATATAACCGAATATATGACGGGTAAGGTGCTTTGGTACGTCATACATGGTATGATTAGGAATCTGTGAAGTTTGGTTGCTTTATCTTGATATTACCGAGTTTGACAGGATTATCAATGCCGTAAAAACATCTGGTGTTCTGAAGGAACGGCTATTCCGAGCCGCCTTTAATTCAAAAAAGCAAGCGATCATGAATGGTATTGTCAGCTTCACATGGTTTTCCGAACAATCCGTGAAAAGCATATCTGGTACACTCGTTAAATGTTTAATGCATTTTCTCCATGTTTTTTTGGTTTTGGTGAGGCCGGAATCCATCCCCTATCTGGGACAGACTAATTTTCAACAAAATAAAAGAAAAACTTGGAGGTCGGGTTCGTGTAATGGCATCAGGTGCTTCCCCGTTGTCACCGGATGTGATGGATTTCCTGAGAGTGTAAGTTATTGCAACTTCTCATTGATCTATACACCCGTCTATGTGATGGCTCTGCATTACAACCTTGTAAATCAACAAGGAGGAAATATGAACTTTGAAATGAACACATTCATATACAGATGCTTTGGATGTATGGTGCGTGAAGGCTATGGAATGACCGAGACTTCTTGTGTCATAAGCTTCATGGACGAAGGTGACAATGAATCGGGCCATGTCGGGTCTCCTAATCCAGCATGTGGTAAAAAGCCTGATGTATTTCTAGAGATTCAAGTAGTGTATGAAAACCTTAAAAAAACGTTGAACTCTAACATCCGAGAGCTTTTTTGCGGTTTTCTTATATTTTTGCAGAGGTAAAACTTGTGGATGTTCCTGAAATGAATTACACATCAGATGATCAACCATACCCCCGTGGCGAAATCTGTGTGAGAGGACCAATCATCTTCAAAGGCTACTACAAGGACGAAGAACAAACGTATCAAATGACCCAGTTCACTTTCAGTTCTCTCGTAATATTCATTGCCAACTGAACATTTTTACTAACATATTATATTTGAGCAGTAAAGAAGTTATCGATGGGGATGGCTGGCTGCACACAGGAGATATCGGATTGTGGCTACCCGGTGGTCGGCTCAAGATCATTGACAGGTTCTGTAGATTAGAACATGCATTGACAATTCTCGTTTGATCGATACATTTATTATCGCGACTAGGGGCGTGGAATGTTTGCTAAACCCAACGGTTATATGACAGGAAGAAGAACATATTTAAGTTGGCACAGGGCGAGTACATTGCACCAGAGAAAATCGAAAACGTGTACACCAAATGCAAATTTGTCTCGCAATGTTTCATACATGGTGGGAAAGACGGTTTCACTCTTTATGATGTCACCTATCTGCAAACTTCATTGTGTCATTTCTCAACCAACCTGAAATATGTTTGTAGGTGATAGCTTTAATTCCTCTCTAGTAGCCATAGTTGCAGTCGACCCCGATGTTCTGAGAGATTGGGCTGCCTCAGAAGGCATCAAGGTGCTGCCTTTTTCGTGGTTTTGTGGTTTAATCACTCTCACAATCAGAGATTTAGTTATGGGTTACGATTAAAACTCGAAAAGTTAGACGTTATCATAATCTTACCGATTTGTGTTATATTGTGGATGGTTCTGTATTATTGCAGTACGAGCATTTAGCTCAGCTTTGCAATGATCCTAGAGTGAGAAAGGCCGTTCACGCCGAAATGGATGATGTTGGAGGAGAAGCTCAGGTAATAAGAACATTTCCTAACATTTTTTCATCTGTCATGAAACATTTTTTGGCAGAAAATCATCTGATGGTGAATTCGGTTCGCAGTTGAGAGGTTTTGAATTTGCAAAGGCTGTGACTTTGGTGGCGGAACCATTCACCCTAGAGAATGGCCTTCTCACTCCGACGTTCAAGGTACTCGTTTGCTTTCTGGTTTCAAATTGAAAGTCCAGAAAATGGTTTGTGTTCGAGACAAAGAACGTCTCACGTGAAATCTATCCGGTGTATTACAGATAAAGAGACCTCAAGCGAAGGCTTACTTTGCTGAAGCAATAACGAAGATGTATGCCGAAATCGCCGCCTCAGAATCATTACCTTCCAAGATATGATATATATGGATTTTGCTGATGGGAGAAAATAAATTGGGATATTCTCAGACAAAAGTAAATAATATCACATCTTTGTTGTAATTTACAACACTAAAAGATGAAATACAAGACGCAGATTCTGGTTCTGACCCTTCTTAGATTACAAATATTTCCATGTCCTTGGGGGGAATGAAGTGGGCCGTGGCTAATGGCTACGTCCATACCATCCTACTGTTACTTCTGGTGCAGGTTTAGGTACAAGGAAGTTCCTGGTCCTGCCAGCTTGAAGAAGAAGAGAGAAAGGTCACAGCTTGGCCAATGGTCGTGTGTTTTCCCAGAGCCAATTACGTGAAGAACCACCTTCCAGCAATGGTGAAACCTGTAAGAACCATCACCTCCTTTAGCAACTGGTCTTTTAGGTGGCAAAACCCAAGATAATGTTACAGAGCCAAAACAAAGCCATGGCATGTATGTTTCATATCAAGATCTGTCATGGGTTTTCCTGTATGTTCGTTCTTCCGCTCGCGTCTGAAGTGCAAATGCAGATTCTGTGGCTCAGAACCATATACTTGGCTGTTGGAGGAAATAAAGGTGAGAGAGGTAAGGAGAGGACACTAACCTTTTCCCACACTTCGGTGTGGTAACTATTGAGCCATTCAATTTCAGTTTCAGAGAGCAAAGATACATCAACCATTTTGGTCTGCATGGTTCAGCCAAAAGAACATTTGTAAAGCTCCACTTCGCTGGGAAGATACAAAACAAATCAGAAATAAGACTGGAAACTTTAGTATATACCTGGATGGGGAAGAACGTTAGCTTCTCAAACCCGAGGTATGCGACTCCCCCAAAGCGATTTGAGGTCTCTGCATCTTTCACGACGAGGAGATTCTGCAAAATGAAATTCGCTTGTCTTGTAACTCTTCTAAGTACTGACATTATGAGAAGAGTATCAGTATCTAGGTAATGAAGGTTATGAAAATATCAAGTCATACCTCAATTCGGATGCCAAAAGCGTGATCTTCATAGTATCCTGGTTCATTGCTTACTATCATGCCTGTCTGCAAAGGTGTCATGTTTCCATATCGAAAGCTAATACTTTGAGGGCCCTCATGCACATTGAGGGCAGCACCTACCCCGTGTCCCGTTCCTAGCATACGTCGGGAAATTGCATATCAACATAACTTAAACTCAGTTTCTCAGCAGGATTCTTTATTCTGCAACGAACGAGCCAAAGGGAGAACAGTGTACCATGCCGATAATCAAGTCCAATTTTCCATAGAGAAGAACGCGCAAATGCATCCAACACAAAACCAGGTGTGCCCTCTGGGAACACAGCTTGATCAAGGGCTATATGTCCCTACAGAAAAACCCGAGTGGAAGGTATTGAAACGGCTTTGCTTGTTCTAGATTGGTGAGCAATGGTAAATTGGTAATCAGGAAGGGAAGAAAAAAGAGAGACAAATTGCACCTTCAAAACTCGGGTGAAGCATTCTTTTTCCCGGGCAGTAGGCTCACTAAAGTGCACTGTTCTAGTAATATCCGTTGTTCCATCAACATATTGTGCGCCACTATCCAGTAGGAATAGTTTCTTAGGATCTACGACACTGCAGCTATCTGGCTCAGGTTTATAATGTATTACAGCACCATTTGCACCAGACCCTGTGGGATAATTCTTATTCTAAGTTATCTGAAGCAGGAAGGAATAAGGTTTCTGACCATGCAATGTGTGCATGGTATCCACACTATACAAGTTTATAGCAATTTTAAGATTAAGCAAGCAAAGCTTCAGTAAGAATCAGAGAGAAATATGCAGCAAAGATGGAATTACCATACCGCTTATTGTATCGAAGCTTGTATCCATGAAACTGTCTTGCTTGGAACGGAATTCAAGGAGTTTTTCTGCCGCATCTACCTCCGTAAGGTCATTCTTGTGTACTTCCTCATCCAGCCAAGCCCAGAAGTGAGCAAGAGCAGCAGCATCCCTGGATAGAGTATGCATTTATTTAACCCTAGATAATGACCATTGGCAGGTTTGATAGAGAGCAAATCTATCTGGGGAAGTGACACATTTGATAATGTAAAATCTTAAACTATCGAATGTCTCTCGAGGCTTCTTAGATTTGGCAAAGCCGATCCGAAATAGATGACAATTCAAATTCGAATCGCATGCCAATAATTTTAGGTTGGGATGACAACAGATTTTTTTTACCTCAAATGTGAGTTCTTCATTCCTTGTAGCTCAGCATCGTTTTTAATGGCTTTTGCCCATGAGATAGGAGACGGCCTGAAAATCCCCGAGGATTTGGCAGAGTACCCGTTGGAGTCATCGGCTATCTTCGTCTTAGGTTTGTTTTTTCCTTCAGACTTCCCTGAGTATTTCTCACATGCCGTTTTGTAGGTACTAATAATAGCTATATTGAGGGTTGATGGATCCATCCAGAGCTGAGCCCTTAGCTGTGCCAAACTGAAAATCCCAACATGAGCTAGAGAATCATCGCGCCAAGTGATCCAGTGAGAAGTATGTAACATGCCTCCTAATTAATTCCAGTACCTCAGTTCAAGTTTTTTTACCTTTCTATCTCCGAAAGAACAGAATCATAAGGTCTGAGTTCGACACCTGCCTTCTCCAAGTGATCCCTCACCTCAGTTGTTACCTTAGAATTATCCACAAAGAGCTTGGCACGATCAACCTCCACGATCAAATATGCATACATAACAGGTGAATGTGGAACATCGCTCCCTCTCTGCAAAGCAAGAAGGCACCTTAAAGACATCAACAAATTGGGAACTCTCTCCAAGGGGAATAAGAAACTGCAGAAGTGTTACCAGATTAAGCACCCATGCAATTTCATCAAGCATGGATATCACTATGGCAGACGCACCAGCATCCATGAGTTCACCTCTCAGAGAAGACAATTTTGATGCCACATCTAAACCAGCATACTTCAAGCCATGTACTCTTATTGGTTTGCTAGGAGGCTTCGGCCTTGACTCTTTCCATATCTCATCCACAAGATTTACATTGTACAAAAACACAAGCTCGTGATTCTTTTTTGCTATAGCCTCCTTCAATTCCTCAGCAGCATCAGCAGAAAACAGGAACTGCTCCCTTCATGAAATCCGAGGTATTAGAAATACAAATTATAAAGACATCACAAAAAATTAAGTACAATGTAGAGACTATTTCTTTTACAGCTCCCAAAACACAAACAAAGTCTAGCGTAGAAATCCAATACATATATTTGGTCCAAACAAATTGACACAAACTCATAGGTAATACTCTCCCTTTACCCTCCTAACTTTATAGAGGTTAAAGTATAGATTTACAAGCGAACCAATCACATATTTGATGGACGGCAGATCATAGTACGAAACAAAAAGTGGTTGCCAGTTTCGACTTGTAATATTAATAGACAGCTCTGTCAGAATTGGGGCTGTAAATCTGCACAGATTGTAACAGATGCCTAATCCCTACCTTTCTGTATTGCTGATTCTGGATAAATTGCTATCTGTATGTTTTTTACACTCTTGCAATTAAAAAAACGAAGAGAAAATGGAGTTCACAGTATAATAAGTTTGAGAATGGCTCACAGGATCAATACCAACTCTTCCACCGGGAGCTAGAACATCTGTTATCCATTCACTTGCCGTAGGAACTCCCAGATTACCAGTACGCATGAGAATCCAGCTAGAGCTTAATTGCTTCTCCGCCTTTAAACATAATTATGCAACACAGGTAAAACACAATGCGTAAGCCTTCAGAAATGAAAGTATGGAACCACGATAAAGTAAACAGAGGAGGAACTGATAAAACCTGAAGAAAATAACGTCCATCTGTCCACAGAGCTGCTTTATCTTTGGTGACAACAGCAGTACCGGCACTTCCAGTGAAACCTGATATATAAGTCCTCCTTGCATAGCATTCTGCAATGAATTCGCTCTAGAACCAAAAAGACGACTGCAACACTTAAGCCATGAAATACGGAAAAAAAGCTTACAAGCATTGATTCTCTCAGCTCCAAGAAGTTCAGGCTCTTTACAATTGGCACAAACTATTCCAGGCAAAAGAAAATCCAGGTGTGTTCAACAGAAACTCGAAAGCTTCTAGCACAAGATAATTGCCCACAAGGAATCTTTACTAAGCCGTGAAACAAATTCCATAAATTCAGCCAAACAAGAAACGGCAATGGTTTTGTTGGATAACTTCTCAATGGCTAAGGTTACAAAGCAATATTCCGCAAGTGATGAACTTTATATCATTCATAGCAAAGGCAATCACGAACCAGGAAACTCATTCATTTTCGGAATTCAGTCTTTTTAAACGAAACATACTATAAAAATCAGACGCAAATCGTAGAAGCATTATCAAACTCAGCAAAAACATCCCAAAGATCATGGAACCTCTTAAATCCAGCAAAAGCAACGAGAGACGTGGTATTAGAACGTACTCATTCTATTCAAACTAACTTCCCAATGATCATGACTAATGCCCATAACAACAGAACCCCACTTTACCATCAAATTCGCACCTAAGATAACAGAGAACCCAAAAAATCTGATGAAAGTCGGAAGATTTTGGGCAAAAACCTGATGGGCATCCTGTGAAGGAATAACATAAGCATCGATTCCAACACCCGGCTCCGAGAATAACCGACGGAGCGCGTCAAGCTTCTGGTCAGGCTTCGTGTGGGATCGGGCTCTTCGAATCTCCGACGAAGGCTTTGCCGTGAAGGAGGAAGACCCTTTGTCCCCACCGGCATAGCACCGTAGGGGGAGAAATGGTGTGTAGGGTAATTTCCGGTGGATTAAAGGGAGAGAAGTGAAATTTCGCAGAAATGGAGACGAATTGCAAAGAGAGGAGAAAAAAACGAAGCGATTCAGCGACGGCGAGGGAAGGGTTAGAGGAACCATCTTCGCCGGCGATTGCGGTGGAGAGAGTGCGACCAACAGTTGCAAACGGATAAATATGTATATAACTAGCTGATAATTGTAAAAAGGCCCCTCTACTATTCAAAATATGCATACTGGTCCCTCTATTGTTTTCTTGAAGGGCAATTGTGCGTGTGGATAAATTGGAATTATGTCTAATTTTTAGTCATATACACATTGATTACTTAACTGAAATAAAATGAAATTTTTTATGTAGTCAGAATAGATATATCTATCCAGTTTATTAGCATAATGCAGAAATTAATGACAGTTCATAACATTTGCATTGTACATCAGTTCATGACTATACAAATTGATATAGAGATCATCTCCTATATATAGTTGATTGGAATAGAACTCAATTCTTCAGTAGACTCGTAGTCTTCATTAACCCCTCCCACATTCTGGGAAGTGAATATATCTGTCCGAAGGTAAGCCCAAACAGAAGACCACATGCCAAACCTATTGCAACAGCAACCCAACTCAATACTTCTTCTTCTTCTGCATCTCGTTCCGCCAGATCATTTTGCTGTGATGTCGATGTGTTAGCTTCTCCACAGCTTTGGCTGAGAGGAAGACCACACAGTCCGAGATTTCTCTCGAACGAAGAATTAGGCTGTCTTTGAAACTGTGTTCCTTGAGGTATCGGACCTTCAAGTCGGTTGCATGAGAAGTTCAAGTACGACAGGAATGATAGTTCCCCGAGTTCTGGAGGAATTTGTCCTGAAAGCATATTTTCGGACAGGTCTAATGACTCGAGCTCGGTCAGCGCCGCCAACGATGGCGGGATGCTCCCTATGAACGCGTTTCTCGACAAGTTCAGAATATGCAGTTCCTTCATAAGGCCAACGGATTCCGGAATCTTTCCTTGGAGTCTGTTTCCGGAAAAATCGATGGCCGTATAAATTGTGAGTATCCGTACAAGCTCCATTTCTACTCCTTTATTCTGTTGAATTTTAATCTTGATTACCTAGAAGAGTTCAAAGTCAAGGATGCCATTTTCAAGAAGCTTTGGAAGAAGTAATCTAAAAGTTTGTAGAAGTTTGAATGTATTGAATATGTATGGGAAATGAAGTTTAAATAAATGTGTGTAGAAATATGTGTTTAGGACAAGTATAAAAAGGGGTGATGTGTAGGAAGAAAAACACAAGGAAAAACACATGAAGAAAAAAAAGTGTTGTGAGAGAGAAAAATCATATGGATATATATGAAAGAGTTTTTTGAGTGTTACTTGTGAATTCGGGAAGTATCACTGAGCGTGGTCCATGTTATATAGTTCTTTTAAGAGCTAACAAAGTGGTATCAGAGCGGTGGTTCGTAATGGCCAGCTCGAGTATATCTTTCCCGATTCCAAAGCTCACGAAGGAGAATTATGAGAGGTGGAGTATCCAAATGAAGGCGTTTCTTGGAGGCCAAGACGTGTGGGATGCAATCGAAGAAGAGTATCATGAACCGGAGGGTTTGGATACGGCGACTTCTGCCGAAAAGAAGGCGGCAAAGGAGGCAAAGGTGAAAGACCAAAGAGCCTTGTCATTCATCCAACTCAGCATGGATGATTCAATATTTGAGAAGATTGCACACGCCACATCGTCAAAGATGGCTTGGGATACTTTGGCGAACTCCTTCAAAGGTATCGATAAGGTGAAGAAGGTGAGACTTCAATCTCTTCGTGGTGAGTTTGAAGCATTGCAAATGAAAGAATCTGAAGAAGTATTTGATTATATCTCTCGAGTGATTGCGGTGACTAACCAACTTGAGAGTAATGGTGAAAAGATGAAAGCTAGTAGAATTGTGGAGAAGATACTTCGGTCTCTCAATCCGAAGTTTGATCACATCGTGGTTGCGATCGAGGAGTCGAATGTCATCGATGACATGACGGTGGACGAGCTCACTGGTAAGCTACAAGTCCATGCAGAAAAGGTTAAGAAGAGAAACAAAGAACCAATCGAGCATGCGCTTCAAGCGAATGTAAATGTCGGTGAGAAGGTATTTAATGATCAGAATCAAAGAAATCGAGGCCGTGGTCGTGGACGCGGTCGTGATCATAGTCGAGGACGCGGTCGAGGCCGTGATCATAGACATAAAGAAGACCAGTGGCAACAAAACCAAAATGAATGGGGTGGTGGTAGAGGAGGTTACATCCAAAGACAAGACAAACGTGACGTCGAGTGTTACAAATGTCATCGTTATGGCCATTTCTCTTATGAATGTTTTGACAGACCGGATGAAGAAAAAGAGCAAGCCAACTATGCGGAGGAGAAAAAGGAGGTGGAAGACACTGTTTTACTAGCACGAAATAGCCCGGATGGAGAAAGAAAGCAATTCTGGTACCTTGATACCGGTGCTAGTAACCATATGTGTGGTTACCGTTATATGTTCGTGGAGATTGACGAGTCGGTAACGGGGACCATTACTTTCGGAGATCTATCCAAAATCTCCGTCAAAGGCAAAGGAAAGGTTTTGATCAAGTTGAAGAATGGAGGCCATCAGTACATTTCAAACGTGTACTATGTGCCAGGTATGAAAACCAATATTCTGAGTATTGGTCAATTACTTGAGAAAGGTTATAACATTTCATCCAGGGATCAAAGTATTTATCTTAGAGACGAAAAGGGGAACCTTTTGTCATGTGTTCCGATGGCTAAGAACCGAATGTTTCCGATAAACATTCAAACTGATGTGGGAAAATGCCTGAAAGCATGTTCCGAAGATGAAACTTGGTTGTAGCATCAAAGGCTTGGTCACCTTAATTTTGGGGGTTTGAAATTGTTGTCGACGAAGAGGATGGTGAATGGTTTGCCACCCATTGATCAGCCAAACCAAGTGTGTGAAGGTTGCTTGGTAGGAAAGCAACATCGACAAAGTTTTCCAAAGGAGTCATTGACAAGAGCAAAAGAGCTCTTGGAGTTGATACACACTGATGTGTGTGGCCCTCTTGATCCGCCATCTTTTGGGAATAACAGGTACTTCTTGTTGTTCATTGATGATTACAGTCGGAAAACGTGGGTTTATTTTTTGAAGGAAAAGTCAGAGGTGTTTTCGGCGTTCAAGAGGTTTAAGGCCCTTGTTGAAAGACAGAGTGGCTATGAAATTAAATATTGAGATCAGATCGAGGTGGTGAGTTTACATCAAAGGAGTTCAAGATGTTTTGTGATGAGAATGGTATTCGAAGGCCGCTTACCGTTCCATATTCACCACAACAGAATGGTGTCGCAGAGAGGAAGAATAGGACCATCTTGAATATGGTCAGAAGTATGTTGAAAAGCAAGAACTTGCCCAAGGAATTTTGGGCTGAAGCCGTTGATTGCGCGGTTTATTTGTTGAATCGATGTCCGACGAATAGTGTGTGGAATCGGACACCTCAAGAAGTGTGGAGTAGATACAAACCAAATGTATCTCATCTGAGGATATTTGGTAGTCTTGCATATGCTCATGTCCCAGAACAACGAAGGAAGAAGCTTGATGATCGTAGTGTGAAATACATCTTTGTGGGATACAGTCAACGATCAAAAGGTTACAAACTGTATGATCCCATTGAGAAGAAAATCAAAATCAGTCGAGATGTGATTATAAATGAAAAGAGTGCATGGGATTGGAGTTCGGATGACAAAGAGAAGTTTACTTTCTATCCTTTTGTGATAGAAAATGATCAAGGAGAGGAGCTTGAACGAGAGGTTTCGACGCCAACTCCACAATCACATGTTGAGGTTGGATCCAGCTCGGGAGTATCTTCATCGACCGAAGATAGTCCTAACGCTATTGGACCAAGAGGAACGAAGAGTTTGGAGGAGATCTATGATCTCAATCAACATCAGACTTTGTTTTGTCTTTTTGCAGATAAGGAACCGATCAACTTTGTTAAATCGTTGGAGAATGGAATGTGGAAGAAAGGAGAAGTGATGTCACCAGCTTGGTATGGGAGAATCAAGTTTAAGAGGGAGTGTTGAATTTTAATCTTGATTACCTAGAAGAGTTCAAAGTCAAGGATGCCATTTTCAAGAAGCTTTGGAAGAAGTAATCTAAAAGTTTGTAGAAGTTTGAATGTATTGAATATGTATGGGAAATGAAGTTTAAATAAATGTGTGTAGAAATATGTGTTTAGGACAAGTATAAAAAGGGGTGATGTGTAGGAAGAAAAACACAAGGAAAAACACATGAAGAAAAAAAAGTGTTGTGAGAGAGAAAAATCATATGGATATATATGAAAGAGTTTTTTGAGTGTTACTTGTGAATTCGGGAAGTATCACTGAGCGTGGTCCATGTTATATAGTTCTTTTAAGAGCTAACATATTCATCAAAACCACCGAATCGCTGTAATAGTTGTCCCCCATGTACTTCACTCCTGAACCATCTCCATTTGCCATGGTTGAAGACATCGCAGTCCAGTTCGAAAAGTAATCGGATGGTAAAGATCCGTTGAAGTGATTGTGTGATATGTCGATGATGTGCAACTTGGGGAGCTCGAGAGAAGTATCGGGACTATATATGGAGCCATAGAATTCGTTTGAGCGGAGGACAAGAACTTGAAGCTCTGGCAAATCTTTCAACCAGAATGGAAACGTGTCACGCATTTTGTTGCTTTCCACGTTCAAGACTTCCAAACGGATGGAATTGAGCAAAGATCTCGGAAGTTTTCCCTCGAATTGGTTATGACCGATGTCAAGTGACCTTAACCGGGAAGCACCCTTAAATGCTTTCGAAAGACATCCAACGAGGTTGTTGTTCTGCAGATTCAGATCGGTAAGATTACTGTCTGAGTTGCCTAAACACGGAGGGATTGAGCCGCTGAAGTTGTTGCTCGACACATCAAAGATTTCCAACGAGCTTAACTCGCAGATAAAGCCGGGAATCTCTCCACTGAAATCGTTTCTTGAGCTGTTCAGATACTTGATACTTTGTGGAGGCCTCGGAAACGTTCCACTGAGATGGTTATTACGAACACTCAAGGACACGAGGTTGACAAATCTCGATATGGTTGTCGGTATTGACCCTCTGAGATGGTTATTACCAAGACCTAACACCAAAAGCACAGATGTCAAAGATATGTTCCGAAACTCGAGAGGGCCAGTGAGTTGGTTCTGACTCAGATAAAGGATTTTTAGTGAAGGAATCATGAACAGAGATGAAGAAGGAGCACCAGTAAACGAATTTCCTCGTGCGTTGAAGAACTCCAATCTCTTGAATCCACTAAAGTTGGAAGGGACCATGTTTGTGAAATTGTTGTAAGAAAGATCTAACGAAACCAATTCGGTTAAACTGAATATCGAGACCGGAAAGCCACCAGTGAGCTTGTTACTGTCCAAAGCCAAATACGTGAGGCGGTTCAGATTACTGAATGAAGACGGGATTTCACCGATGAAGCTGTTTTCCGAGAGGGCGAGAAAGTTGAGGCGGGAAAGGTTTCCGAGCGAAGAGGGGATCGTCCCGGAGATGCCACACTCGGCAAGGTCCAACACGTTCAAAGAAACAAGGTTGCCAATGGAGCCAGGTAAGTTACCTGAACAGGACGTGTGGGAAAAGTCCAACTTCACTAAAGAGCTGTTCGTATTAAATTCAGGAAAAGAGACTCTCAGATCAATGTTCCCACTGAAACTAAGGGATTCTAAGTTAGGCATTAGGAAAACACCACTGGGAAACTCACCGGCCAACCGGCACTCATCCATGTGGAGAGACCTAAGAGAAGACAAGTTGAAAATGTTCGTGGGAACTGAGGAGGAAATGTCTATAGCGTTTAGGTAGAGTTCCCCGAGGTTGGTCAGATTCCGGGCAAGTTTACTCAGAAATGTCTTTTCCGTGGATAAAGAAACAGATGGAGAACGGTCGGAAGTAAGATCAAGAGATACCAGCTTGGTCAACTCTAGAAGCTGGATCGGAATTCGACCAGAAAATGAAGAGTGAGAGAGGTTAAGCCGGGTTAACCTCGTAAGCCTGTTGAAAGCTGTGGGAATTGAAGAGAGGTTGAAATCATTGTGGGCAAGGTTCAGACTTTGAAGATGCCCTAGTCGAAAAAGACGACTGTTGGGTTTCAGACCACCAAAAAGGCTGGAACTTGCATCTAGCTCGATCACATCACCCGAGTTCGCGTCGCATATAACGCCATCCCAGAGACAACAGTCAGTGTTTTTCCTCCAAGAATCCATCTTCTGGATCGGGAACTCATGTTTGAATCCCAGAAGAGCTTCCCTCTGGGCAGACCGACACAAGTGACTTGTGGGAGAAGCAGCCGCTTGGGATAAACTGAAAACGATGAGTGAAAAACAGATGGTGCAGAGATTCAAGCCCTTCATATTTCAGGATTTATCAATATGTTTTAGGGTGTGGGTGGCTTGTGAAGCAAGTAATGGTATAAAACTCAGCTTCTTCATGACTCTCTCCATTTATAGAGAGAAGAAACTCTTCATTTGAGTTTGCTTGACTTTTGTAAAGACGAGAGGCGTGGATCATATCTGCTCCGCAAGTTTAAAGTTTGACTTTTACATGGATACGAAGTCTCAATAGATACCAAGTCTGTCCCCTCCTCATAAATGCAAAATGAACACCTGACTGATCTGACCTGATATATCTGACTAATGAATCATATCCGACTTTCCAGTTTCCACACGGTCCACCCTGAAATCTTCTTTCATTCACACCATTTTTCATGAACCTACTGAGATTAGGCTCATCATACAGGAATGGAAGATATGAACGATCCAAATGGATACCTGAATGCGGAGAATGGCCCGTAATAATCTATCTTCCGGGGCATACGAGGATTCTTTTGCCACCTGAAGTATCCATCAAAGGATTCTTTTGTCTCACGTGAATGCCAAGAATGGCTCGTAATAATCTATCTTTCAGAGCATACGATTATTCTTTCGCCGCCTGAAGTATCCATAAAGGATCAGGAATGAAGCTTAGCACTGTCAAACTAATTGACTGTTCCATTATGAGCCTGGACCTTGACTTATTCAATATACGTATACTATCTCACGTATCTGGTTGCTTTCCATTAGTTCTTTTCCCACTCTTTGAACCGACCCAGATCCTGGAACTGCTCCTTTGCTATTCTCCTTCGGACTCTTGGGTTCGATCTTGGTCAGGATCATCCTCCATAGTTTCTTACAGATCACGAGGTTTGTGAACATACGTCTTTAAGAAGAAATCACCGTTTAATTCACTTGTTCTCGACGGTGTTTACAAGTTATCCGATTTTCTAAAGATTTAGTCGGTTCAAACGCCTTGTAATTTATGAATTATAAAAATAAAAATAATAATCTCTAGTAACTTTGAGATAATGGCGGCGAAAGAAAAACCTTTTGGTACAATCGTTGAGGAAATTTTGGGATTGAATCAGAATTTTAGCGGTTCGAATCAAAAACGGTTTATTCGGTATTTTAAAATTTATACTGAATTAGTACCATATATTATCAGTTTGATTCCGATTTCGGTATCATTCGGTTTTGCTTTTTGTTAAAAAAAATAGATTTTCTTAAGAAAATTTCGTTTTTTCGATGATTTTATAAAATTCGATTCGATTCAATTCATTTGCAAGAAATTTGATTTTACAGAATACATACTGTTTGAGAATAAATAGTACGATTTGAAAAAAAATATTGAAATTTTCGATTCGGTATGGTTCGGTTTCGAACGGAATTTGAAACACCCACACCCTACAATCACCGATCACGCAAAGTTTTCCGAGTAAATGACTATTTTGCCCTTACCTACCATCGAGCGGGATATTTTACTATTTTACCCTTAACGAGCCTCTTCTTCAGCCAGAAGTATTCATTCGTTTTACTTGCCCAGTCATCATCACGTAAACAGAGTTTCTACAAAACTCAGAGCTGCTTTCTTCTCGGAATGTGTTTAGCCACAAAAAAATTTCACAGGGAATATAATCAGCTAACATAATAACAAGAAAACGCGATAGATTGGAAAGATAAATTTTGATTTCATTTAATAAATGTTACAGAAGAGTATTTCAGCTTACTTGGAATCCAAGAAAACGGATTATTCTGCAGAAGTGTTTTCCTCTACGATGTGTAGATATAATTTCGAAACAAGTCGATGTGCTTAGAAAACATGAAAGCATTAATCACGTTTCAAATTCAAACTGTATGAAAAGAAAACAAGGGATGGGCAAAAGTACTTGAACAATTGCTTAGCAAGCCCACCGGCTAACTGGCTGCCGAGCGTCTAACGTTTGTTGTTCCGGCCAAGAATCTTTGTGAACCACTCGTGTTTGTATGAAGCTACGATGTAACCAATTGTCCATCCGAATGCCACGCCAGGTGCAATGCCTATCCCGACTGCTATCCAACTGATGACTTCCTCTTCTTCTTCTTCTTCCACTTCTTCTTCTCGTGGCGCGTGTGTCGGGGTGTGAGCTTGGCCGCAACTTTGTCCGAGGGGTAGACCGTAGAGTCCATGGTTGTGGGAGAAAGCTGAACAAGGTTGGCTCTGAAACTGTGCCCCCTGAGGTATCGGACCCTCGAGATTGTTGTAGGAGAAGTTTATCACCGACAAGAACGTGAGTTTCCCGAGCTCCTGGGGTATCAAACCCGAAAGCTCGTTTAGGGACAAGTCTAGTGACTGGAGCTTTGTCAAGTTCGCCAAAGACGGCGGAACATGGCCCGTGAAACCGTTGCTCGACAAGTTGAGCACGATCACTTCCTCTAGGAGCCCGATTGACTCTGGAATCTCCCCCGTAAATCTATTTCCAGAAAAATCGATGCTCGTGTATATTGCATAACTGCTTCCAACCAGCTCTATTTGCAATCCCTTAATTGTAAACACCACCGACTCATGACTGTACCCTGAGCCACGGCCCGCGAACCGAATTGGCGTACGATCTATTAGTGTCTTCATCACTGACATAGCACTCCAATTGGCAAAGTAATACGAGGGCAGTGTCCCACTGAAGTGATTCTGCGATATATCAATCATTCGTAACATGGGAAACCCCAGAGAGGAGCGAGGGGAATAAATTGGGCCATAAAACTTGTTAAGACGGAGGATAAGAATTAGCAGCTCGGGCAAGGACTCTAACCAGAACGGGTAAATGTCGTTGATCACGTTGTTTTCCACATTCAGAAGCTGTAGACATGTACAATTGGCCAAAGCTCTGGGAAGTGTTCCAACCAATCGGTTGTGACCGAGGTTAAGTGACTTCAAGTTGTAAGCGTCGATAGATGTCGGAGGAATGCTTCCAGTGAGGCTGTTATTCTGCAGATACAGAACAGAAAGATTACTCTTAAGATTCTCAAAGCACCGAGGGATGGAGCCGCTGAAGTTATTGTTCGATAGATCAAGTGTCCAAAGGTTGGTCAACCTGCATATCCATCGAGGAATCTCTCCAGAAAAATAGTTTGTTGATCCAAGAAGATGCATAGTAGAGACTGGTACTACCGGGAGCGGCCCATGAAATGCGTTAGAACTCATATCTATCATAACGATCTGCGTGTCAGCCAACGATCCTTCAACTTCGCGGAAAGAGTTATGAGAAATGTTCAGAAAACTCAACGCGGGAAGTTTCCACAACCCCTCAGGTACCAGGCCTTGAATTTGGTTGTAGGAAAGATCTAAATACGTCAGATCTTTCAGAGCCGTCAAGAAATATGGAAACTCACCAATGCTACAAGATGACAGAGTCAAGGTTTCCATCTGTAGTGGAAGACTGGTGGTGGAACTTATACTCACTTTGCTCCCCGACAGATCCAATGTAGAAAGGGACTTGAGGTTCGAGAAAACACTTAGCTCGACCGTGCTTGCGGTGTTTAGAAAGGAGAGGTGAAGAAGTGTAAGCGACTTGAGACGTGAGAACATACCGAAGTCCACTATGCTCCCCTCCGTGTTCCACGAAGACAGGTCAAGAAACCAGAGGCCGACTAGTTTTGATATAGACACGGGGATTGGTCCATGGAAATTGTTGTCGGCAAGGGACAGAACCCCGAGCTGAGATGATGAAGACACGTTCCCAAGCTCAAGTGGACCTGTCAGTTGGTTTTGAGACAAATCAACCCGAACTAGCGAAGGAATCGTGAACAAAGACGAAGGAATCGTTCCGGAAAATGAATTCCCCGACACTTCGAAATCTTCCAATTTGGAGAGTCTACTCAGGTTAGACGGGAGTGGACCTGTGAACTGGTTAGAACGAAGATCAATGCGCTCTAGCTCGGTTAAATTGAGAAGCGCGAGGGGGAAGTTGCCGCTGAGGTTGCTACTCACAAGCTGCAACTGAGTCAACCGGCTTAGACTGCCGATCGAAGATGGAACTTCACCAACGAAATTGTTACTAGAAAGATCGAGATCGGTGACATAAGAAAGGTTCCCAATTGAGGAAGGAATCTGGCCGAAGAGATTGCAGCTATAAAGACTCAAGACGTTCAAAGCTTTGAGCTTGTCAATGGAGTCTGGTAAACGACCCGACAAATTATTCGCCCCAAGATTCAGACTCTGGAGACGTCGTAGTCTGAAAAGGCTGCTGTCAGGTTTCAAGGGGCCGTTGAGAAGACAGCTATTAAGATCTAAACCAGTCACGTCACCTGACGAAGAATCACACGTGACGCCGTCCCATGAACAACAATCCACGTTGTTATTCCAAGATTTCGTCTTTGGATAATTTTCCTTCCAATCATCACCAAGACTGTGGATCTGGAACTCGTTCTTGAACTCCATAAGAGCATCCTTCTGGTCGGGACGACACAAGTGGCTGCCGTGAGAGGCAAACGCGTGCATCATGTTGGTAAAGGAGAGGAGGAAACAGATGATACCGCAGGTGCAACACGAGCTCAAGCCCATCATCATCCTCTTCGATTTGTAAGATCCTTTTCCTTTTTCCCTTCGTTTTCGTTTTGAAGGTGGCCAGTGGCAGACAATTCGGTCGTTTGAAGTTGAAGTTTGTTATAATACAGGGAAGAAACAATAAATGATAGATGTCAGCCGACCCCCAGTCCATCCTTTTTTTTTTTTTCTTCTTCTCGTTCCATGTGCCACAATCAGATTGATGAAGACAGGATTTATCGAGTGACAAATCTATTTAACGGCTTGGCCCTAATTCAAAATGTGGCCCATCAATTGAAATATGGGCTCTTTGGACTTTCGAACTCCGGCGATGGCTTCGCCGTGAAGGAGGAAGACCCTTTGTCCCCACCAGCATAGGACCGTAGGCGGAGAAATGGTGTGTAGGGTAACAGCGGACCTAACAAAACTGATGAAAGTCGGAAGATTTTGGGCAAAAACCTGATGGGCATCCTGTGAAGGAATAATATAAGCATCGATTCGAACACCCGGCTCCGAGAATAGACTACGGAGCGCGTTAAGCTTCTGGTCAGGCTTCGTGTGGGATCGGGCTCTTCGAATCTCCGACGAAGGCTTTGCCGTGAAGGAGGAAGACCCTTTGTCCCCACCGGCATACCACCGTAGGGGGGGACAAATGGTGTGTAGGGTAATTTCCGGTGGATTAAAGGGAGAGAAGTGAAATTTCGCAGAAATGGAGACGAATTGCAAAGAGAGGAGAAGAAAACGAAGCGATTCAGCGACGGCGAGGGAAGGGTTAGAGAAACAATCTTCGCCGGCGATTGCGGTGGAGAGAGAGCGATCAACACAAACGGATAAATATGTATATAACTATCTACTATTTGTAAAAAGGCCCCTGGACTATTCAAATATACATACTGGTCCCTTTATTTATTTATTTTTGCAGAGAAATTGTGTGGTATAGTATAGGTGTAGATAAATTGAAATTATATCTAATTTTTAGTCATATACACATTGATTACTTAATTGAAATAAAATGAAAATTTTTATGTAGTAAATAATTCATTAGCATAATGCAGAGATTAGCGACTAAGTGCATAACATTTGATCACGTTTCAAATTCAAACTGTATGAAAAGACCAAAAGAAAATAAAGAATGGACAAAAGTACTTCACAAACTTCAACAATTGCTTAGCAATCCCAGTGGCTAACTAGCTGCCGAGCGTCTAACGTTTGCTGTTCCGACCAAGAATCTTCGTAAACCACTCGTGCTTGTACGAAGCTACGATGTAACCGACTGTCCATCCGAATGCCAAACCAGGTGCCATGCCTATCCCGACAGCTATCCAACTGATGACTTCTTCTTCTTGATCTGGTTCCTTTGTTTGTGATGTTGGTGTCTTGACATTTCCACAGACTTGGTTGAGAGGAGCACCACAAAGACCGAGATTGTGCTCGAAAGAAGAATTGGGTTGCCTTTGAAACTGTGTTCCTTGAGGTATTGGCCCAACAAGTCGGTTGCACGAGAAGTTTATGTACGCTAGGAACGATAGGTCGCCAAGTTCTGTAGGGATCCTTCCTGAGAGCATGTTTTGGGAAAAGTCTAAGGACTCGAGCTCGGTCAGGTTCGACAATGATGACGGGATGTGGCCTGTGAACTCATTGCTTGAAAAGTTAAGGACATGCAGTTCCTTCAGAAGGCCAACAGATTCAGGAATCCTTCCTCGGAATCTATTTCCAGAAAAATCAATGGCTGTAAGGATTTTAAGGATTCGGACAAACTCCATCTCTAATCCTTTGTTCATCAAAACCACCGAGTCGCTGTAATAGACCATCCGCATGTAACCAAAACTGTCTTCACGTGCCACAGTTGACAACATAGCCGCCCAATTCGAAAAGTAATCCGATGGCATGGATCCATTGAAGTGATTATGCGATATGTCGATGATCCGTAACTCGGGAAACCCAAGAGAAATGCGGGGACTATATATAGGGCCATAAAATTCGTTTGAGCGGAGGACGAGAACTCGAAGCTCTTGCAATGACTTCAACCAAAACGGAAACGTGTCTTTGATTCTGTTGCTTTCCACGTTCAACACCTGAAGACTGCTGCAGCTCTCCAGAGATTTAGGAAGTTTTCCCTCCAACCGGTTGTGACTGAGATCAAGTGACCTCAATGTGTTGGCGCCGATAAATATTTCCGGAATACTTCCGCTGAGTTGGTTATGGCGAAGGTTCAAAACAGAGAGAGATCCCTTGAGATTCTCCAAACACATAGGAACAGAGCCGTTGAAGTTATTGTCCGACAAATCGAGTATTCTTAAAGATCTCAAGGCACATACTGATTCGGGGATGCCTCCGGAGAAATTGTTTCCGGATCCGAACAGAAAGGCAACAGATTGAGAAGGGATGAAGAGTGGTCCTTGGAGAGCATTCGAACTTAGATCCACCATAACAAGATCAGATCCAGGAAACATTTGTGATGATGATGATCCTTGAAGATTGTTGAAAGAGTTGTGAGAAAGATTCACGTAGTATAAACTCGGCAGTCTCCATAACCAATCTGGCATTTCGCCTTTGATCTTGTTGTCGGAAAGATCAACGATTTGCAAATTCTGCTGGGTTCTTACCAACTCGGGAAACTCAATGACGTTGCAGCCTGATAAATGCAAGTACACCAGTTGCTGTGAAAAATCAGAGACCGAACTCGTGTTTGTTGTCGAAACATGATTGCGTGAGAGGTCCAACGTGGTCAACGACTGTAGAGGGGAGAGTAGACTCAAGTCAAGCGTGGTCGTCGTGTTCAGATCAGACAAGAGCAATTGCCGGAGCGACTTGAGCTGGGAGAAAACGCTGAAGTCAACGGTGTTTCCTCCTGTGTTCCAGTTGGAGAGGTCAAGCTCATTGAGATTGACCAACTTCGAGATAGATGTCGGGATCGGCCCGTTGAAATTGTTTTGACCAACGGATAAAACCCGTAGCTTAGATGTCGGAGATAAATCCCCAAAATCTACAAAGTCGCTGAGTTTGTTTTCGCTCAAATCGATCTCATCCAATGAAGGGATTGCAAGCAGGGAAGAAGGGAAGGCTCCGACAAAGTGATTCCCAGCTCCATTAAATTGCTTCAAATTGGAGAGAGAACTCGTGTTCGGCGGGAAAGATCCTGTCAACTGATTGTGACTGAGATCTATAAGAGACAGCCTTGTTAGATTCCATATTCCAAGGGGAATGCTGCTGTTGAGATTGTTCCCAGAAACTGCCAATTTCGTTAGTCGGTTTAGGTTGGCAATGGAAGACGGAATCCCACCGGAAAAATTGTTCCAGGAAAGGTCGAGGGCGGTGAGATATGAAAGGTTACCGATTGAAGACGGAATTTGACCGGTAAAGTTATTAGATGAAAGGTCGAGGGAGGAGAGATACGAAAGGTTTCCAATTGAAGAGGGAATTTCGCCGGAAAATTTATTCCGAGAAAGGTCGAGGGAGGAAAGATGTGAAAGGTTTGCCATTGAAGACGGAATTTCGCCGGAAAAAATATTCCGAGAAAGATCGAGGGAGGAAAGATGTGAAAGGTTTCCCATTGACGACGGAATTTCTCCGGAAAACTCATTCGAGGAAAGATGGAGAGAGGTGAGGTAGAAAAGGTTTCCGATTGAAGAGGGAATTTGGCCGGAGAAATCATTCCGGGAAAGGTCGACGGTGGTCAGATACGAAAGATTTCCAACGGAGGATGGAATCTCACCGGAAAATTTGTTAGATGAAAGGCGGAGAGTGGCGAGAGATGAAAGGTTTCCGATCGAAGAAGGAATCCTCCCCGAGAAATTGCAAAATCCAAGTCTCAAAGCATTCAGATGCTTGAGATTGGCGACAGAGCTTGGTATGGCACCCGAGAAAGAGGTATAAGAGAGGTGCAACTTCACTAGAGAGTTATCCTCGCCAAATTCGGGAAGATACCCTCTCATCGAATTGCCAAACAAACTGACGGATCGAAGTGCAGGCATCCGTAGAATATCGGTCGGGAATTCACCAAACAAGCCGCACATTCCAAGGGAAAGCGATCTGAGGGAGGAAAGATTCAGAAAGCTTCGGGGAACGGTAGTGAAAATGCTTGTGGCGCTTAGATCAAGTTCTTTAAGTTCAGTCAAGTTCTGCGCAAGTTCACTGAGAAATGGTTTCTCAGTGGAAAGTGAATTAAAAGATAGATCAAGAGATACCAACTTGGTAAGCTGCAGAAGCTCGGCCGGAACTTGACCCGAGAAGGATGAATAAGAGAGGTTGAGATGTGTTAACCCTGCGAGTTCGTTGAACTGAGACGGGATAGGAGAAGAACTGAAATTGTTGAAAGAAAGATTCACTGCCTGAAGATTTCGCAGCCGAAAAAGACTGCTGTTGGAATGAAACCGGCCGTGGAGACAGCCGAAACTAAGATCCAGGGCCATCACCTCGCCGGAGTTGGGATGGCACGTGACACCGTCCCAGACACAGCAATCGTTGTTGTTGTTCCCCCACGACTTCGCCTTGGGATAGCACGTGACGTTCCTGACAAGAAAGGCAGCGTCGTCGTCAAAGTCAAAGTACGGAAGGTAGACGAGATTCTGAATCTGGAACTCGCTTCTGAACTCCAAAAGAGCATCCTTCTGGTCGGGGCGGCACTGGTGACTTGCAGGAGAAGCAACCGCATGATGGGCTATGTTGGAGATGGAGAGGAGGGAACAGACGATACAGAGAATGAAACACCATCCCAACCCTATCATCTTGTTTGGTTTGATTGTAAGAATCGAAACAATTTTTTTTTTTTTTGAAGCTAGCGAGTGATGGAGAACTTGGTCGATTTGTAGTTTGATTATAAATAGAGAGAAGAAAGCAGTAATTAGTCGTTGTGTAGGGACGCAAACATTATGGATATTATGGAAATATTGGTTTCCATTTAATTATTTTCTGGTTCGTCTTTTTCAGTTTTTAAAATATAGATCTGTTAGGTTTTTTCGTTAAATTTTGATTTGGTTTTTTTTTTGTATTCAATTCATTCGGATAAAATAATTTAAGAGAAAACATATGCAATAATATTCGATGGATCAATGCTTTCACGTTTCGTATACATATAGAGAGAGGCAATAATTCATAAGCTGCTTGACTTAGCCAAGTCTTCCATCAATGCAAACCTAACAGATATAAATATGTTTTGACTTCCACACACCTTAACCAATCGAAAATTTAAGCAAGTTGGAAAAGTATAAATGATATATATATATATATGTATATTTACGAACTAGATTTTTAAATACAAATTAATTCAAACTCCGATAGAACATGAACAACTCAGTTGGGTTTTTCCAAGTACTTAACAGACCTTAAAGATGCCCGGAGAAGCAAGGGTTTATATAAGTATCTTTTTACAAAGGACATAACATAATGGACAATGGATGTATATTTGAGAAAAGGCATGACCATTACAAAGAAATGGTCTCCGTGGCTTATTTGGTTAATAATCCAATAACCGAATCGATCTGAACCGAATAATATATAACTATAACCGTACCGAATTAGATATAAAAATCAGATGGTTATCATTTTTTAAAAACCGAATCATAAAAAAATAAATAAAAAACCATAACCTTTTTTTTTAAGAGAATGAATATTTTATCATAATCGAACCGAATCGAATTTAAAATAAAAACCAAACTATTATAGTTTTTCTAAAACTGAAATAACCGGACCAAAACTTGGATAAGCCGCACCTCTCTTACCTTGATAACCATATGCGTCTGATTCGATCTGAAGTCCTGATGAGCCATTCATGCTTGCATGAAGCTACGATGTAACCGATAGTCCATCCGAATGCCACGCCAGGTGCAATGCCTATCCCGGCAGCTATCCAACTGATGACTTCTTCTGCTTCCGCTTCTTCTTCTTGTGGCGCGGGTGCCGGGGTGTGAGCTTGGCCGCAACTTTGTCCGAGGGGTAGACCGTAGAGTCCAAGGTTGTGGGAGAATGCTGAACAAGGTTGGCTCTGAAACTGTGCCCCCTGAGGTATCGGACCCTCGAGATTGTTGTAGGACAAGTTTATCACCGACAAGAACGAGAGTTTCCCGAGCTCCTGGGGTATCGAACCCGAAAGCTCGTTTCGGGACAAGTCTAGTGACTGGAGCTTTGTCAAGTTCGCCAAAGACGGCGGAACATGGCCCGTGAAGCCGTTGCTCGACAAGTTGAGTACAATCACTTCCTCTAGGAGCCCGATTGACTGTGGAATCTCCCCCGTAAATCTATTTCCAGAAAAATCGATGCTCGTGTATATTGCATAACTGCTCCCAACCAGCTCTATTTGTAATCCCTTAATCGTAAACACCACCGACTCGTGACTGTATCCCGAACCACGCCCCGCAAACCGACTTAGCGTGTGATCTTTTAGTGTCTTCATCACTGACATAGCACTCCAATTGGCAAAGTAATGTGAGGGCAGTGCTCCACTCAAGTGATTCTGCGATATATCGATCATTCGTAACATGGGAAATCCGAGAGAGGAGCGAGGCGAAGAGATCGGGCCATAAAACTCGTTAAGACGGAGGACAAGAACCAGCAGCTCGGGCAAGGACTCCAACCAGAACGGGTAAATGTCGTTGATCTTGTTGTTTTCCACATTTAGAAGCTGTAGACGTGTACAGTTGCCCAAAGCTCTGGGAAGTGTTCCAACCAATCGGTTGTGGCCGAGGTTAAGTGACTTCAAGTTGTAAGCGTCGATAGATGTCGGTGGAATACTTCCGGTGAGGCTGTTATTCTGCAGATGAAGGACTGAAAGATTACTCTTAAGATTCTCAAAGCACCGAGGGATGGAGCCGCTGAAGTTATTGTTCGATAGATCAAGCGTATAAAGGTTGGTCAGCCTGCATATCCGTCGAGGAATCTCTCCAGAAAAATAGTTTGTCGATCCAAGAAGGTGCATAGTAGAGACCGGTAACATCGGGAACGGCCCGTGAAATGCGTTTGAACTCATATCTATCATAACGATCCGAGTGTCAGCCAAGGATCCTTCAAATGCGCGGAAAGAGTTATGAGAAATGTTGACAAAACTCAACACGGGCAGTTTCCACAGCCCCTCGGGTACGGGACCTTGAATTTGGTTGTAGGAAAGATCTAAATACGTCAGATCTTTCAGAGCCATCAAGAAAGATGGAAACTCACCAATGCTACAAGATGACAGAGTCAAGGTTTCCATCTGTAGTGGAAGACTGGTGGTGGAACTTATACTCACTTTGCTCCCTGACAGATCCAATGTAGAAAGGGACTTGAGGTTCGAGAAAACACTTAGCTCGACCGTGCTTGCGGTGTTCAGAAAGGAGAGGTCAAGAAGCGTAAGCGACTTGAGGCGCGAGAACATACCGAAATCCATTGCGCTCCCTTCCATGTTCCACGAAGACAGGTCAAGAAACCAGAGTCCGACAAGTTTCGAGACAGACACGGGGATTGGTCCATGGAAATTGTTGTCATCAAGGGACAGAACCCCAAGCTTGGATGATGAAGACACATTCCCAATCTCAAGTGGACCAGTCAGTTGGTTTTGAGAAAACATGGCCCAAACTAGTGAAGGAATCATGAACAAAGACGAAGGAATCGTCCCGGAAAATGAATTCCCCGACACTTCGAAATCTTCCAATTTGGAGAGTCTACTCAGGTTGGACGGGAGCTGACCTGTGAACTGGTTGGAACGGAGATCAATGCGTTCTAGCTTGGTTAAGTTGAGAAGCGCGAGGGGGAAGTTACCGCTGAGGTTGCTATTCACAAGCTGCAACTGGGTCAACCGGCTTAGGCTGCCGATTGATGATGGAACTTCACCAACGAAATTGTTACTAGAAAGATCGAGATCGGTGACGTAAGAAAGGTTCCCTATTGAAGAAGGGATCTGACCGAAGAGATTGCAACTATAAAGATTCAAAAAGTTCAGAGCTTTGAGCTTGTCAATGGAGTCTGGTAAACGACCCGACAGATTATTCGCGCCGAGATCCAGACTCTGGAGACGTCGTAGTCTGAAAAGGCTGCTGTTAGATTTCAAGGGGCCGTTGAGAAGACAACCATTAAGATCTAAACCGGTCACGTCGCCTGACGAAGAATCACACGTGACGCCGTCCCATAAGCAACAATCCGCGTTTTTATTCCAAGATTTCGTTTTCGGGTAATTGTTCTTCCAATCGTCATCGAGCCTGTGGATCTGGAACTCGTTCTTGAACTCCATGAGAGCATCCTTCTGGTCGGGACGACACAAGTGACTGCCGTGAGAGGCAAACGCGTGCATCACGTTGGTAAAGGAGAGGAGGAGACAGATGGCACCGCCGGTGCAACACGAGCTCAAGCCCATCATCATCCTCTCCGATTTGTAAGCAAGCAAGTGGCGGATAATTTGGCCGTTAAGTTTGATATAATAGAGAGCAGAAACAATAAAATTATAAATGTCAAATTGCTTGGTCGGGTTATAACCGACCCAATAATAATTATATTTGGATCGTATTTATTTAATAAGTTAAATGGGTTTTAACCTATTAAATCAATCATGGGTTTAATGAGACCCAATTAATATTGCATAAGCGGTGATGAGCGAATTATGGTCCGTTGACTTCCCCACAGACTGCGGATTGATGAAGACCGGATTTATTTAGTGACACGTCTATTTAACGGTTTGGGCCTAATTCAAAATGTGGCCCATCAATTGAAATATGGGCTCTTTGGGTAGGCTTTCATTTTCATTTTTTAGCCTTAAGATTTAACTCTTTAATGGCTTGGGCTCAATTCTAAATAAATCCAATGGGCTCTGAAATCAAGCGGGAGATATTTTCCTGTAAACCTTTCTGAATTTTCACAAAATTATAATATAATAACCACCTAGATAAATGCTATTTCAAGAAAATAAAAATGATTTTATGATTATTATATTATTATTAATAAAATGGATAGGTAGATATAACATGGAAAAGAAAGTAAATTTATTTTTACACTATATAGGAATTTGTACTGTTACCGGCTTACCCTAGTATCAAAGGATAAAAATTGCAGTTTTGTTTTAAGATTAAGAAAATTTGATGTCCGACCAAATTATAAATAAATTTATACAGTTATTAGTGTCACTATGGTAGTATATTCTTATTTCTGTTTAGTGAAAATTGTTTATCATATATAGAATATATTTTCGCATTATTACCTTCCAGAAAGGGGAAAATTGATACTTGAAAACGTTCATGTCCACGTTTCCGCTCAACAAAAAAATAGAATTTAAACTATTTAAATCTGAAAAAAAATCACAAAAAGATTCTGAAAATTTCAAATATAATCGTCTGTTCCAAGCCCTACATACCAAATTGAAACCGTGAAATCTAACCGTACGTAATTTTCACAAACACCACGTGTACGGTGATCAGAGGAGAGGCTCAAGCTTCCGAACGCACGGCGAAACAAAATTAGCAAAAAAAAAAAAAGAAAATTGAAAATTTTTAAAAAAAAAAACATAACGAAAAGGAAATATGACTATTGGCTCAAGTCGTCCTTTTATTCAAGTTTCGCGGCAACGCCTCTCTCAGCCTCTCTCTCTATCTTTATGCTCCAATCATTCTCTCTCTAATACCCTTTTCTATTCAAACTTCTCATCGATCACAGCTTCAGCTTAATCTCTCCTGGAATCGTTCTGTTTCTCTTATATGCTTCTATTCTCCTGAAGGCACATAATTGGTGAGTGAATTGTCTTGGATCTGTTTTCATTAGGGTTTTAAAAGGGTTTGCCGTTTTGTTTGAATCATCTTCACGGCTCTCTTCGGTTTTTTTTTCCCAAAAAATCTTCCTTTTCACCTTCCTTTCAGAATTATATGGTTCGAATCTATGTTCATTCTCCTCAACTGGGTTTTTCTTGTGTTCGAACTGATTGGACTTTTTGAAGTTCATCTGATTGTGGTTTTCTGAAACTCTTACGGGATTTGTGATTTCTGCTTTCCCGTTAATATTTTCTGTTTTCGGTGATTTGAGTTTTTGGATTTTTGAAACTCGATTTTGACAATGTAAGATCAAATAAAAACTGTGGTGTTATTTTGAAAATTTTATGGAGATCTTGCTTCGAACTCGTGAATTATGCATCTTCGTGGAATTTTTTCGTGTCCGTTTGCAATGTGTATCGAATTTCGACATGGGAACCTGGGTTTTCTCTGTTGGTATTTCTGGGGTTTGTTTCCCGAAGTTGATTCCAAACTCCAAGTGGGATTTTGGTTATTTTCCTTTTCTTTTATTGGTTGCAAATTTTTCATCTTCCCCATTGAGATTTTGTTGGTCGATGAATGTTTAGCGGTTCTGAAGTGAAGTTTTTTTTTTGTTAACCAGGAGGTTCTGAAGTGAAGTTACAATTTTTCAATCTCCAATCGACCCAATGATTTTTCTAAGTTAAAGTTCAATTAGATTCAGTTGATGGGTTTGATTCCACAATAGGCAAATCCATATGACTCAGATCAGCAACGTAGTTTGTAACAATTTGAATTGACGAAACTATAGCTTGAAGTGTTGGAGGGAGGAATCTGCCAATGGCGCCAAGTAGGAAGTCTAGGAGTGTGAACAAGCGCTTCTCTAATGAAGCTTCTCCGGAAAAAGACGTCGGGAATTCAAGCAAAAGCAAGCAGATGGTGAGTATTAGTCTTCAATACCATTAACTTCATGGTGGAGATGTCTTAAGATAAGAGAACGCTGGATTGGTCCTCCTATGGTACAGTTTTAACATTTAAAGATACTAATTGGATACTCTTCATAAGTCATCAGGTGTTGAGGCATGAAAAACTTCTGTGCCACTTGAGGGAGATGGCACGTTAACATCTTCAATTTTCCGTCGAAATTGACCCTTCCACTGCAGTTTTTTCTTCATTTGTTTGAATATTAATAGGTGCTGCAATGTGTTAACAAATTGTTTCTCATCCTAGAAGAAGAAATTGTCGGACAACTTGGGACCTCAGTGGACCAAAGGGGAGCTCGAGCGTTTCTATGATGCCTATCGGAAGCACGGGCTAGACTGGAGAAAGGTAACTTATCTTTCATGTGCAAGTGTTTGTTTGATGCATTCCATCCAAATTTTGAGCTTCTTTTTTTTTTCGGGCTACTGCTTAGGTAGCTGCTGCTGTGCGGAACAACAGATCTGTGGAAATGGTGGAAGCCCTTTTCTGTATGAATCGGGTATGCCTGCAAAAACTTCTTTCTTTCTTTTCTCAGTTTCATTTAGTATTGATGTGGGAAAACTTTCTCTTCAGTTTTCATTGTACCCTTTATCGTTTATCAAGTCAGACTTATACAATCTTAGCATATGATTAAGTTAAATATGTTTCTTCTTTTTTCGTTTTTCATTTTTACCCAGGCGTATTTATCCTTGCCCGAGGGAACTGCATCTGTGGCTGGTCTGATTGCCATGATGACTGATCATTACAGTGTCATGGTGAGAATCTTTTTTTTTTTAATGTCTGGTTATGGTAAACCATCGATTTTATTCAGTAAAGGGCTAATTAAAAAGAAAATTTAAAAGAACTATGAAATAAAAGTAACTACCAAGTTATGAATATATAGATAAACAGTATAACTAATGAGATTTGCAAGGTTTATATTTCTACATTCCCTGAAGAAGTATGAAAAAATTGCAGTGATTGGGTCTGTTTATATATATATATATATATGATAAAGTTATATGTTCAATTTCCATCAAATTCTGATAGTATTCCTTGTAGGATGGAAGCGATAGCGAAGCGGAAGGGCATGATGCTTCTGGAGTGCCAAGGAAGTATCAGAAGCGCAAGCATGCTCATGTTCAGTTTAGTGAGTCTCGTGAAGAAGCTAATCCATCTCATTCATTTGCCTCGACAGATGGATGCCTTTTGTTTTTGAAGGAGGCACAAGATTATGGTAAAATGCATACATTTCATCAGCTCGTCCTTCTTCCACGATTCTTCTGGTTTTGGATAAGCTTAAAAATACAATTATCTGTGTTCTTCTCCTAATAGCATATTTACATTGTTAACTGAATGGATAGACAGTTTTGCCTTGATTTTAATCATTTAGTTCCCAGAACTTAGAAATTTTGTTATTTTTTTGTCGAGTTATGTGGTGGCATAACAAGTACATATAAAAATTGTTCAAGTAAAATTTGGTTCTTATCCTCATGTAGGATCTTGGCGCCGTGCTACTGGAAAACGTACACCTCGATTTCCTGTTCCAAGGTCATACAGGAGGGATGATAGAGAAGGTTCTACTCCACCAAGTAAAAGAGCTAGGAAGCTAGTCGATAATGATGATGTTGCACATCTTTTTGCGCTAACATTAACCGAGGCATCAAAAAGGGGAGGATCTGAGCCACCGTATAGAAGAACAGAGCACAGTGACAGCTCACCAATTAAGAGCTTGGGGGAAACGGTATTTTTATTATTCAGAAATTTTGAAGCAGTTATGTTCATTTCTTCTTTCATATATAATGATGTTTGAATGGATTATTCAACTTTTGTGCTTTTGATAAGTCACAAGCAAGGGAAGCTCAATCCAAGCTCCGTGGTTGTTCCAAGTATGAGGAGTGGGTGGAAGGTAACCGAGAAAAGAAACATGAAACGGGAGTGTCTGATAGGGATGCAACCTCATTTATGGATATGGAAGTGGTTGGCACATTGGAGGCTCTACAGGGAGGGAAAAACGTCAAAGCTGAAGAAGTTGAAGGCAATGATTGTGATGAAAAAGGAGAAGCATGCAGTGCCTCTGAAGAGCTTCGAAGTAAATCACAGCAAGGAAAAGTTGACGTTGAGGGCCCAAGGGGGAAATATTCACCACGTTGCCTAAAGAAAAGGAATAAGAAACTTCATTCCAAAGGTAAGGGCTAAGGATAAGTCAGCCAAGGTTTTGTTACATTTCATGAGGCATCATAGTATCTTCCAGGTAGACCCTTTCTTTAAGGAAATTGAAAATACATGTCTGATAGGTTTTAGCATACTGAACATGTAACCATTTTATTTCTTGTTGTCCTTTGAGACTGAAGGGACCTCTTTCTCATATCATTTCTAGTTTATGATATATAGATCCGAAACTTATTTCTCGACTTTTGCTGTATAGATGAATTTGAGGCTCTACAAGCATTGCTGAAATTGTCAACTTCAACGTTTCCAGTGGCTTTGATGGAATCAGGTTAGCATCAAATATTTTTAGGTAGTAACATAAACTGGTAATACCTAGTAGGCCTTAAAACTATGTTTTCTGGTTTTTCTTGTGAAGAAGGCACCTTTGGTTACTTTAAACCAAGTGACTGCTATTATTCATCCCCGCTTCTTTCTCCATCCATATTAAGGTGTATATGTGCAGTCTGTTTTGCTTTACTAAATTAACCTGGATCCAGAATCAGCCGCACGGATAAAAGATGAAAGAACTGCAAATAACATGGATGAGAAATCTAGCGCTCCTGAAGCCACATCCACAAGCCCTCTCGGAAGAAAATCAACACAAGATGGAGCAGAGGAAAATGCCCTTAATGCGATTTCAGCTGTTGAGAACACTAACTATAGAAAACCGAAATCATTGAGGCAAGCATCGGCGGATGGTAGTGCTGGTCCTGCAGGGAATCAACAGCAGCAACCTACTAGTGGCACATCTAGAAGAAGGCGCAAACCAAAGGTGAGCAAGAGACTTTTCTCTTTGTTTGTCAAGTTCACTTTGTTATATCTCAAAGATCTTTTAACTATATTAACGTTGTTTAATTCACAGGTGCTAGATGCTGAACCTCCCAAAAATTCGAACCAGAACAAATCCACGTTGGTAGAGGTATTCTTAAACCATGTCAGAATCTTTTTCGTAAACTGTATCTTTCTTATATTAAATTTTTATATGGATTTAATCTCATTGACCCCTGTGATCTGTTTTTGCTATAATCCTCAACGGGAAACATAACCTGTTCACTTGTCACGGTTTGGACACTGTTACTGATACTTCTCATGATTTGTGTTTATTGTACTGCAGGAATCAGTTCGTGAAGAGAATGCTAAGTCTGTGGTTAGAACAAAACGTTCTGGTCAAGCTCCAGCAGAAGGGAAACAGTTGAAAACTGCTAAGACACTGGAGGAATCTTCTCCAGCTGGTGATAAGAAAAGACCTGATGCAGGTGTAACAATGTCAACTATACCAGTTTCTGCATCAGGACCTGCCACTTTGCCACAGAAACCTCCAAACAGACGCAAGGTGAATCTGAAGAAAATGTTACAAGAGAGGGTTAAATTTTCTGAGACCACTTCTAAAGCTCCACATAGTGATGAATCTCTTTCAGAACATGAATTATTGCAGGTGGAGTTTCTCAATTTATCTCTTTCAGAGACAATGGAAGATATAAACATATATTCATTTATTTATTTGCTTATTCTATATTTCCAGGAGAAGCTTTCTACTTGCCTATCAAACCCCTTGGCACGTAGGAGATGCATATTTGAATGGTTTTATAGTGCTATTGACTATCTGTGGTTCACAAAGATGGAGTTCATGGATTACTTGAATCATGTTGGACTTGGCCACATTCCAAGACTTGCTCGTTTTGAGTGGAATGTCATTAAAAGGTGTGTTAAAGTCCATGATGTATTTGTTTATGGAAGGCACTCTGGAATATGGAAATACTCAGTTTATCATCTTTTACTTGCAGTTCTCTCGGTAGACCTAGGAGATTCTCTGAGAGATTCTTACAGGAGGAAAGGGATAAACTCCAACATTACCGTGAAACTGTGAGAAAGCATTACACAGATCTCCGGGCAGGTGTCACTAGGGAAGGACTTCCGGCTGATTTGGCTCGGCCTTTATCTGTTGGAAATAAAGTCATTGCTATCCATCCTAAAACCCGAGAAATTCAGTGTGGAAAAATTCTCACTGTGGATCATAACAAATGCAGCGTTCTGTTTGACCGCGACGACTTGGGGGCTGAGTTTGTTATGGTAAATTTTAAACCACATTCAGCATTCCGTAATTTCTGTGAAATCAATATATTATGAAGTCCGTTGCATTTGAGCTTTATCTTCACACAGATAAGTCCTTAATTAGTTATTATGTAATGGATAGTAATGCCCAAATTATTTATGGAAACCAATATATGGCTCTAGGACCTTTGATTTTGTGTTTCCACTATATATATCTCATAACAAAATTCTTTTACAGGACATTGATTGCATGCCTTCGAATCCATTGGAATACATGCCCGAAGGCCTGAGGAGGCATATCAGCAAGGGCTTGCCGATAAGCAAAGAAGCGCAACTAAACAGACATCCAAACTCTGGTGGGTCTGTAATGCTCCCTTCAAACGGGCTTGAAAATGCTACCTTCTCCATGAATCCTCCATTGCAGCAGGTAAAGACATATGGAAGTCTTTTTTGCCTGTCAGATCCTTGATCTTCTTCTTTGTTCCTATGCATGTTGGATAAATTTTTTGTGATGGCCATTGACCCCTAAATTCTCCACAGGGTGATACAAACGGGCAGATTTTACTAGGTAAAATATCGACAACCAACCCTACTACAGTGCAGCAGGCAACTAACAATCAGCCATATACAACAACCTGTCGTAAAGCAAAAGAACTTGTGATTCAACAAGCTCTGGCAATGCAGCACACTTCAATTGAAAAGGTAATGACTCTCTTACTGTCTTCTTGTTCATATTGCTACACGGAGTTTAAAATATTCCAGAAACCCAAAACAATGAACATTTTAAGCACCCATGGGCCATGGAAACTGACTTTTGATTGATGATTTCCATGTATAGGTTTCGTAGGTATTTATTTTGCCCGTGCCAAGAAAAGGGAACCAATATCTGGACCTGTCACAAACTGATTGTGGTTTAACATATTACAGGAAAAAGAGCCAGAGATGCTTGAAATTTTTAAGGGTTCAAAATCAAGAGCTCAAGCAATGGTAGATGCAGCTGTTAAGGTATCATATATATTTAAGCCAACTTTCTCTATTCACACGTCAACATGATATCTATTTTGCTAAAACAAGTTTCACTATGTGTTTATAGGCCGCATGTTCAGTGATTGAAGGAGAAGACAAAGGTAAAAAGATACAGGAGGCTATAGACTCCATGGGCAAGCATCAGCCACTACCCGGCTCTATGGTTCCTGGTGTCAAGCATCAAGAGCATGCCAATGGGAGCTTGGATCATCTCAGCCAGTCTCCATCTGAAACCTCACCGCCACTGGTTAATGGTTCCATCTCACAGAACGGTTCAGAGAAAAACGAGGATCAAATGCCTTCGGAGCTCATCTCCTCCTGTGTTGCCACTTGGCTCATGATTCAGGTAACCTTGAAATTGCTCGGAATAGTTGAGTATCGAACAAGGTCATCTGGGATTGCTGAATTTTACAAACTGCGTCGAAATTCCATTGGTTTGACAAACTATACCGCATAATCCATTACATCAAATCAGAGCTCTCTAATTCTGGGTATTGAAATTAGCTTCAGAAAGTTTTTGTCTTTATGTACCACATGCCCATTATCCAGACCAAGATTTCAAAATTCATCCATCTTTGGTCGTCACATCTAATATTGGACTTGGGTTTACTCGTGTGATGTGCAGACGTGCACGGAGAGACAGTATCCACCAGCGGACGTGGCTCAGCTGATAGACACAGCAGTCACAAGCTTGCACCCGAAGTGCCCACAAAACCTGCCCATCTACAGAGAAATCCAGACGTGCATGGGACGAATCAAGACTCAGATTCTAGCTCTTGTGCCGACATAATAACAAAACATCATTCCCCATTCTTTTTCTTCTTTCTTAGGTTACTTGTTGGGTCTCTCTGTTGACCTGAGTAGATATATCTTTCACTGGCTATAGAGTTACAACTGCTAGAATGCCGGAACTAGTGAATAAGCTTTTGGCAAAACTGCCACTTTAGGGTTTTTGATAGTATAACATCAGCCTTCATCAACTTAGTTAGCTAAGCCTATGTTGTCTTCAACCCCACCAGTGTTGTTTCATGTTTGTTAAAATGCCTTCAATTTTGACAGGTATATATCTACATCAATGGAAAATTTTGCATTTTGAATTGCCTCAACAAATAAATGGTGTAAATTTGAGATTTTTATTAGTCTATAATTTCAATCTTCGGCAAATTGCGTGATAACTCAGATTTTATCCGTATCTATTCACATAGACGCAACTAAATAGTAGTTTCAAATTTTCAATGAGCCAAGAGTTGAAGGTCTTTTCTCTAAATTTAGTAAACTTTGGGGCCTTTGGTGTAATTTCGGTACTAGTAGCCAGAGCGAGAGGAGATTGCGTTGGGGGATTCCGGGAACTTCCGGCTAAATCAGAGGGTTCATGCGAATATTAAGATGTCTCTGATTTCGCGTGTGACAGCTCTCGATTTCGATTAGTCTCTGAATCATTTGAACTCGGGGCTAGCAAACCCGTTTGTGACTCAGTTATGGCGGATTTCCAGACATCAACTCACCGTGCCAAGTGGATTTTAACTCCTCAAACTCTGGTATCCGTTCTCCATCTCTATCTCCGTTGTACTGATTCTAAAGACGATTTTTTGTTTGGTCGGCGGGAAAATCGCTTAAGAAACGGGAAAATATTGCGGAATTGGTTCGCGGCGGCCCCTTAGTTAGGGTTTCGATCTTGTCTGACTTTCACATGGTTGTGCGTATTAGATTGCATTCTGGGGCACTTTTTTCTTTTTTTTCCCCGTTTGGTCGATGAGAAAATTTAGGGAGAGTCGCAGGAAAGTGTTGTGGCGCTTTATCTTTCCAGACGATGTCGCTACATATTAACTGAAAGTGAAGATCTTTCGTTGATCATTTTTTGTGATGGTTTATGTAATGTACTTCCACTTGGAGGTTTTTCTTTTACTGGAAATGAATAGGAGCTTCTAATCATGTGATCACCTTTGTTGTTTGTCTTCTTTCTTGATGGGTGAAGGTTGGAATGATGGAACAGTCGGACCATTTTGAACGTTTTGTTGTGTGCTTGTTGATATTAGATCCGTATCGTACTTGTTGCCTAAATGGACTATTGCTCGTGCAATCTAATCTATGTTGTGTTACTTTCAGGCGGAGAAATATAAATCTGTTAATCAAAGGGCGGTGCAAATGCTTGAAAAGGTGTGTGCTTATGTGCAGTTCAGTTTGAATATATTATAGATGCTAACTTATTCTTATTTCTAGTATGGAACAACCCAAGTCGAGGTAGATCCCAGTGGAACACTATCGTACCCTACACATAAAGGTGATACAGGCGATCACGGTAATTTCTTGTTTATGGTGATTCTGTGTTATGCATCATTCCCTGTATTTTGTTAAATATATCAACATAGTTTGTTCTTTCTTTCTATTTATTCAGTCATGCAGTAATGTATTTGCTGCTTTACTATCAGCTGACAAGAAGCTAAAGCCTCTAAGTGTTGAAGAAGAACAGTTCATGAGAGCATTTTATGAAGCGAAGCTCCAGGAAGTGTGCAGTGCCTTTTGCTTTCCACATAAGATTCAGGTACCTTACTCGTCTTTCCTATGAAATTTCATTGTTGAGTTAATAGATGGCTGGATCATTTTAGCTCTTTGAATTCATTCATGTTTTTCTTCTCTTGCAGGCAACAGCTCTCCAATACTTTAAAAGATTTTATCTTCAATGGTCTGTCATGCAGCATCATCCAAAAGAAATAATGTATAGTTCTTCTGAATGCCTTCGGTTCTGTCTATTCTCTTTTGCTTCCATATTAAAAATGTTCAAAAATTGTTTTCCAAGTGAGCTAAAGAAGATATATATTAATCAGACATGCATGAACCTGCAGTCTGAAAATTACAAATAACGATCATGTTGCATTTTCTTATTTATCTTTGTTTGTTTTAAAAGGGGAGCCTTGGCGCACCGGTTAAGGTGTTACCGTTGTGATCTAGAGGTCACGGGTTCGAGTCCTGGAAGCAACCTCTTGCAGAATATTCTGCAAGGTAAGGTTTGCCTACAATACACCCTTGTGGTGGGACTCTTCCCCGGACCCCGATCAACGGGGATGCTTTGTGCACCGGGCTGCCCATCTTTGTTTGTTTTAGTTTCCTTTTCAATCTTGTGTTTCTTCCGATAGACCTTTCCAGCGATTATTTGCTACCTGATTTCTTTCATCCCACAGGTTAACCTGTGTGTATGCAGCATGTAAAATAGAGGAGAATCATGTCTCTGCGGAGGAGATAGGGAAGGGAATCCAGCAAGATCATCAAATAATTCTCAAGTATGAGATGGCTGTTCTTCAGGCATGATATGAATCAAATATTTTTTAGCAGCTGCGTCTGTTTGTATTATCCATGATGTTCTCTAGCAATTTATTCCTTTGCTTACTTTTAGTTGAAATTTCATGTGCAGAGTTTGGAATTTGATCTAATTGTTTATGCACCATATCGTGCAATTGAAGGTTTTGTCGATGATATGGAGGTAAACATGTCCACTGTTTGCATCTTTATATTAATGGATTCCTGTCTGATATAACATGCAATTGTTTTGTTTTAAACAATATTCTGACTGGTATCGTATAGTAGAGGATTTACAATAATAGGAAATGTCAAGCTGTTTCCTGCCTTTGATCGATTTGTAACTCTTTTTTTTAAAAAAAAAAATCTTGTAGGCATTTTTCCAAGCAAGAGATGATGAAGTCCAGAAACTAAAGGTTCTTAAAACTGTATTTCCTCTGTCTGAATGTTTCCTTAGCCCTAGACTTCAGGCATTTTTTTATTGACACTGAAGATGGTAGGGGGTCAATTTAGATTAATTTTTATGATCATAACTACTGGCTGGCCGCATTGAATTTTTCATCTCTGGTACTACCATAACAAGCAAGTATTTTGCAGGATGTTCTCAAAGCTGCGACTGCAGAAACTGATAAAATCATGCTCACAGATGCTCCACTTCTTTTCCCACCTGGCCAGGTAATGTCAGTTACTTCTTTTGTCCCCTTAGGCTTTACTTTTTTAATTAAAGAGGTACATGTCGCTCAAACCTTACAACGAAACTAAGATAACTTTTGTGTTTATTGGAGACGGTAATAATGCTCATTTACTTTACTCTAGACATAATTTTACGAGGGGAAATTGTCCTCATTTGACGAGTTTAATCCTTGGTAAACTGGAACGTTACATTTTTTGTCATTTAACTTTAACATATATAAGTAGGCTCTCCATGCTCTTTCTGTCAGTTGTCATCTGAACCTTTTTACATCGATGGTATTGTGTTGTGAGCTTGAATTCTGCTTGAAATAAGAAAGAGAAGCATGAAATCCGTTTCTTGTTTCTTGACTGTTTCTTACAGTTGGCATTGGCTGCCTTGCGTATGGCAAACGGGATAGTTGGAGCTGTTTACTTTGACAGGTTATTTCCCTTCTTCACAGTGTCATCTCACCTCTTGAGATGGAAACCTTTGTTGGTTGTAGTTTAATTTATGTACGGATGCTGCAGGTACCTAGAGAACATTGTTGCTCGACCAAATTCTGGGCACACCGTTTCAGAACTCACAAATTTACTCGATGCAATTGAAAGTTTGGTATGTGCTTTCGATCTATCTTTTCACATGCCTACATAAATAGAACTCGAACTTTTCACATCTTAATGCTGTTTAACTTTGCCTTTCTCGTGATTGAAAATATCAACATTTTACTCAAAACTTGATTTCCAGGCAGTATGACTTCGTACCTACGTGTGTTGCACATTTGCAACACTGCTGATTTTTACCACACCGACTGCTAAATTTTTGCAGGTAAAGAACTATAAATTTCCCAGTGAAAAGGACATGAAGCACATCAACCGGAAGCTAAAATCTTGTCTAGGACATAGTGCACATGACGAGTACTTTCTGTTACCTTTTCTACTTGACTACGGTTCTGCTTTGTTTCAAGCACAACTCTTTCTTCATTCAACTTATCGTCGTACTTGTTCACTTTCAGGAGTAGGAAACGGGAGAAGAAATCAAAGCACAAATCCCATAGGAGTTCCAACGATACACCGAATGGGGAAATGATGGGCTGATCTTCCTGTTTGCTTTGAATCTCCGTAGTTTTGCCAAAGAATTTCTTCCTTGGTACTTGGCCCGTTTTGATCTAATGAAGGCTTTTATTGAACAGGAAAATTCTCATATCATTTTCCTGCGTATCTGTATTAGTAGGGCTTAGTAGAACCAAGAATTCTCCATTGTATTCAAAGTTTAAAAAAAAAGAGTAACTGATTAAATGGGTAAGATTATCAATTACAACATTTGAGCTAAACTTTTATGTTGTTTTCTGTATATAAGTGCTTACTGAGCCCGTATGTTGAGTACAAAACATGTCTAATGTACTTGCTCTTGCATGATCAGATTGCTCGAGGAGGTTTCTCTAGCAATGCAGAGAGATAAACTTCATCCTTTGATTTTTGGGCAATAGCCCACTTGTGTTTCTTGTATCTGAACTGCAGGAACATGTACATATAGTCATCAAGATCCGTCTTGTTGCAGAAGAATCTGTCAATCCACAACAGCCCTCCCGGTCTCAGCACTCGATCCCAATCATACAAGATAAAATCCATCAGAAGGAGGTCGATCCAGCCATCCATTAACCCAGTAGTGTGAATCATATCCATAGTATTGTCGAAGAACGGTAATCGCTGGTTCAAAGAGGCATAAAGTGGGATCAAGCCTCTCAGAGCAATCATCTCGTTGAATGGGGCTCCCAAGTTTAAAGCAGTTGTGACAATGGTCACATTTTTCTCTCTCATTCTGGCTGCAAAAGTTCCCGTCCCAACGCCATAGTCCAGCCCAATTCTGATTTCTCCTAGCTTGACTGCCAAAACGTCATCAATCATGAAATCAACTGGCAAGGTACCATTCTTCACCCATTTAACCTTCTCCTTATCCATCTCAAAACATCCAGTGCATTTCGTGTAACCTCTCTTAGGGTTCTTGCTTGATAAGCATGCAAAGTTCCTGCACTGGTAGTTTCCCCACCTCACATTCCTGTCATCTGGAAGCTTCCACAAGGACTCGTTTATCGGGTAGGGTTTCTGGTAAGTCATCGAAGCCCTTGTTAAACATCTTCTTCTAGGCAACGGGTCACACCCATAAAGCATCAGCTTCTGTGCTAGGTTCCAATCATCATCACAATATGACCCAATATCGTAGTCCATATATTTTTCTAGATCTTGCTTCATCAGTACACAGGCATGGCCTATTGTGTTGTGTACTCTCTCTGTACCAAACATGTTTATCTTCCCCACTCGATTCTCCTTTGGGGTAATGTACTTTCTTATCTCTTCTACTAGGAATTTGTTGATCAATGGCTCTTCCTTTTCCGTTGAGTTTCCAATTCCCTTGGGTTGGGGCAATCGGGTCTGCCTCAGAGCAATATGGGCAGAATACAACGGTCGGATCACCTCCTCTTGGAGAAACTTCTTGAATTCTCTTTTACCTGCATCTTTGCTCTTCTCCATCTCATTTACTGTCTTCTCGAGCTTATCTTGTAGGTTGTCCATCTTTTCAAGAACATCGCTGATCCGATCATGCAGTGATTGTGTGTCGAATCCTTCGTAGACATCCTTGACAGAGGAAAAGTGACGGCAAATGTCTTCGTTTTGCAGGAAGTAACCCGCCGAATGAAACCTATAGAGAAAGGAGAGGCTCACGGCGATCACGAGGAACCCTAGAATCATCTGTAAGCACCCCATTAGTCTTCCTAGTCTGCATTTTGGAAAACATGATTTGCCCATTTCGACCTGTGAACTCCTAGATCTCGTTCTCCACAGAGAAGCTAATTCCCTGCAGTGTTTCCCTCGGGCTCGGCCTGAAACAAATGCCTCATGGAGGATGAGAAAGAAGCTAGAACTTGTTTGTTTGCCTAGAAAGTTTGAGAAAATACAGAGACAGGCTTCTCATTCTCAGTCTGGAATCTAGATCTCTGCATTAGCCCTTTGCTTAAACTTCACATAATCACAAGAACACACCAGACGATCAAACGGTACGTTAATTAAATCTATTTTCTTTGGTTTTCTTCATATTATATTTGCTTGTAGCATATTCATTCATTTTCTAGGCAACCAACCAGACAGAGCAAATGCAAACTTCGATCCAAAAACTCAAAAACCTTGGGGGAAAAAACAGAAACGTGAGAACTGGAGATGTACATACCAGGACAGGAACAGATCCTCCTTGTTCTTTTCTTCCCCGTAGATCAAAACCCTCTGACTTCAGCCGGTGGTTTCCCTTGAGGAAGATGATGAGGTACATTAGTTATTGTTTATCTGAGTCGCACTTGAAGAGATCCGAGAGCTGCGCCAATATGTTTGTCTCCACTTGAAGGATTGAAGCTGGATATCCTTACAACCGAAGCTGACCTACCACTCTCACAACGTCTACTTTGTTTTTGTTTTCTCTTACACCAACGTGCTTTACCCATAATGTCCGGTGTCTCCCCGCCTCGTGATTTGGATAATTACAGGTAAATGCATACGTATACATGTGCACGCGCACACACACACACACACGCGTATATATATATTCATTCTAGTGTTTTTTTTTTTTTGATAACCAAGATGGTTCCTCGGCCTTCGGCCCGACTACATCTACCCTAGATCCGGGACCAACCTTTGTATATACACCATTTTAGTCCAGAAATTACATCCATCCCTCCCCACCAGTGGAATCAAATCCAAGACTTTAAGGACAACAGCCGGTGTTTACTTTTCATGCGAATTAAATTTCGAAATTGTGTATCATTTGGTCATCATGTACACACAATATTAACAATGTATATGCATATGTATGTATATACAATGCTCACGCATGCAGACTTCATAAACAATCAATTAAATACCGGGAAAACTTTAGATAAAAAACGAAACTCGAATCTCGTGCGATTGTTTAATTTATAAGAAAGTCGATTGATTTAATACCTAAAAGCGTTGACTATAGAGGCCCCAAGAATCACACTCTCAGGAAAAATAAAATAATGAAAATTAAAAAAATAACAAATTATATTAACGAGAAATAAAAGAAAGAATTTCGAGTGAGTACGGCGCAAAACGACATCGTTTAGTTGCTCGCTTCGCAGCCAGCCGATAAGGGGCCGTTGCCAACAACACCCAGTGAGTCTGTGACCTCAGACCCGCGGAGAAATGTCTCTGACACCTTACTTCAATCTCTACACATCGCCCAAAAATGCTTCTCCCTCCAGAGTTTTGATGACGCAGCAATCCTCCGGTGACCGGAACAGTTCTCCGGCGGAGGAGTTCGCTCCGTTGGCGGAGAAATTCAACCGGCGTCTTCTTCTAGGCGTTGGATCAGCCTCCGCGCTCGCCATCGGCGCCAATTTCGGAGGAATCACGAGCTTCGTCCTTGGTTTGTCGCCGGAAAGTGGCCGGAATCTGAAACTCGACGTCGTTTATCCGATCGGAGGATATAGTCGGTGTATCGACACGGATGAAGGATTCGGTTCGTAAGTCCTCGTAGTCGTATCGTTGTACTCAAATACAACTTCAATTTTTTGCAGATATATCGAAATCTTGTCATTTTATGTTCTGGAAATGGCAGAATTTGTATATCCGGCGACATGGGTGGGAGACCAGACGTTGTTATACAGAGCAGCGGAGGATATAGAACGGAAAATCTCGTTGGACCCTCCTCCGACGAGTAACCGTCGCCGGAAAAATGTAAACGAACCGGTTGTCGCATTTGGACCGCCCGGTTCGACCGGAGAGCTCAACGTCAGTGTTATCGTCTCCCCTGTTTCACCAAACTTCTCGTAAGTAACAACATTGCTGAAACTAATTTGACCAAACTGTGATATCTGATATCTTGATTGATGGATTCTATGGACATTGATTAGAATTATTCCCTCTAGTTTTGGATAATTAGAGTTTTCTCAAGAACATCACCTGTTCATATCCTAGAATTAATCGGACCAAAGATATGTATAGCCTATGTTATGCTCGTCAATGATTTAAGGAACCAAAACAAATCGAACCAAGAAAAACCGAAAGAATTGTTACATTCAAGCAGCAAAACATCTAATCTATCCAAATTTCTTTCCTTTTTTTCTTGGGTTGGAAGGATTGAAGCATTTGGAGGGCCGAAGGAAGTAGGAGAAGCAATAGTGCGTACAGTGACAGGATCTGGACAGAGAAAGGGAACATTATTGGAATCGAAACTGAGAGAAGATCTAAAGAGAAACGTCAAGTACTATGAACTCGAGTTCAAAGTCGAGTCACCGTCGCTCAAACGGCACAACATCGCCGTCTGCTGCGTTCGTGGTGGTCGGCTTTACACGTTGAATGCTCAGTCGCCCGAGTCTGATTGGTCAGATGTGAGACCTGCGTTATATACGATCGCTAGCTCCTTCAATCTCATCTCTTGAATGTGAAAGTGAAAAGAATGAATATGGAACACATCAATAGATTTTATTCTAAATTGTTTAATCTAATCTTTGGTGCGGAAATTAAAAGCAACCTACAATCTCCATTCATTTTTTTATTTTGGCATTAAGATCTAATTTATACATAATCTAGTTGAAATTGAAAATTGTCATCGTATTTCATTCTTCATTTTGAAAATGAACATTTAATTTATACAAGTCGAGATTGAGAATTTTTATTAATTTTATGAGTTAAGATATCTATTTGGAATATTTCAAAATTTGATATATTTATTTAAAACATTTGAATATTTGATATATTAATTAGATCAAATTAAAAGTTTAGATATTTATTTTATATATTTTGTGAAGTTTAAATATTTTATAGAATTTTCCCTTTTTAGAGAAATACAAAGTCTTACATTTAGATATAGTATATACACATATTTTTGGCCCATCCTTCTGCCTTCGTGGTTCCCATTCAAGAGAAATCAAAATTTTGTGGAAAACCATTGCCTACGGCAGAAGATTATTCAAAGATGGATTTTTTTTTTCTGCATTGATTGTGAAATTATGTGGTGCAAAGACTTGTTAAGTCAAGTAATATTTGTACTCTCTCTCTCTCTGGATATTTGATGTCATCCAGCCGTCGAGTCGAGAGAGATGTGTCCTTTATTGTTTTGTTTCGATTCTCTTCAAGAATAAAAGATGAATGCATTTATATTGGTGAAATATCTCACTCTTTTATATAATTAAAAAAACTAACCAACCAATTTTTGGTATAAAAGTAAAAGGACAAATTTAAAAAAAAACCATCAACTATGTAATCTATTAAAATTATTTCTATTTTAAATTCATTATTAAAATCTATCAATTACTAATAAAAAACTACAACTATCAAACTTATTTTTTTTTAAAAAAAAAAACACTTATACTTTAAATTTGTATCTAAAATCCACCAATTTTTTGTTTAGAAATAAAATCATATCTATTTTAAAATATGTATAATCTCGCATTTATTTACGTTATATAAAATTATTATACAATATATAATTATATTTACTAAAATATTTTTACAAAGATATCAAATGATAGTTAGAAAATTCTCAAATATTAATAGATGATAAATACTATCAAAGTTTCATGCGTAATTATGAATTTAATCGGTAAAATAAAATTAATATTAAATATAAAACGTGTATAAAAACTTATTATACAAATGATGAGCTATAAAAAGTATACAATTCAAAACACTAACAATTTATTCAAAATTTTTCAAGTATCACAATATGGTAAATTTGAATAAATATTAAGAAAATAAAAACATGGAAGTTGTTATATTTCTTCCTTATTCCTAAAGGTTTGTGTGGTGATGAATAAATCAATGCACTTACTTTAAAAAAAAAAAAGGATCAAACCTTTGAGGTAAGCCATTGGCCACGGCAATGACTGTTGAAAATGTGAAATTCATTTCACAGAAAGTTTTGCTAACTCATGTAGTAAATAATGCCCCCTCACATGTATATATAGAAAGAGAGAGAGACGATACAGAATGTACAAACCCATCACTTTGTGTATAATCTTGAAAGAGGATGAGAGGCTCCAATGTTCAGAGCACTCTTCTCTGTTTGTCCTTCTTTGCTATAAATTTCCTCACTGCTTTTGGTTCCCCCACTACCACTGGTTTGTGCCTCCCCGACCAAAGGGATGCCCTCTTGGAGTTCAAACACCTTTTCCACATACAGAAGCAGCCTCATTATGACCCATATCTTGAGAGAGATGTGACATGTGATCCCAAGACAGATTCATGGGGAAACAACAGCAGCGACAAGGATTGTTGTTCCTGGGAAGGTGTCACGTGCCATCCCAAGACCGGTGTGGTGATGGGGCTCGACCTTAGCAGCAGCTGTCTCAGTGGCCGTTTCCATTCCAACAGCAGTCTTTTAATGAGGCTGCCGCATCTTCAGACACTTAATCTCGCTTTCAACGATTTCAGAGGTTCTCAAATCCCGTCTGAGTTGGGTAAACTTGTGGGGTTAACACATCTCAACCTCTCTCGTTCATTCTTCTCAGGTCAAGTTCCGACCGAGCTTCTGCATCTTACCAAGTTGGTATCCCTCGATCTTTCTTCTCCGTATTCTTTACTACAATCCAGTGAGAAACAATTTCTCAGTAAACTTGCCCATAACTTGACTTGTCTCAGAGAACTTTATCTAACCTCCGTAAACATTTCTTCTGCCATTCCCCGGAACCTCTTGAACCTTTCCTCCCTGACTTCTCTCTCTCTTGAAAACTGCGGTCTGATGGGTGAATTTCCCAGCGATTTTCTGCGAAAGCCTTCCTTTCGATCCGTTATTTTGTCTGGAAATAAGGATCTGCGAGGCCACCTCCCTGAATTTTACGTTAACAGCTCTCTCGTAACGTTGGACCTCACTTACACTTCCTTTTCGGGTGGTATACCAAACTCTATAGGCAACCTCAAGCATCTGAGAGCTTTGTCACTTTCCGGAAACAGGCTCAGCGGTAGCATTCCCCTAGGAATATTGAATCTGACAGAGTTGCATGCCATAGATCTCAGCGATAATGAGTTGACAGGCTCATTCCCACCAAACATGACTTCCCTCTCCAATTTGGAGCGATTCGATGCATCTGGGAATCACTTTGTGGGAGCTTTCCCTTCTTCCCTACTCTCCATCCCCTCGTTGACTGGGATTTATCTGAGTGGAAACCAACTCAACGAATTTGGGAACATCCCTCCGACATCTGGACTAGAGAATTTATACATGGGAGATAACAATTTCAGCGGACCCGTCCCCATGGCATCCATTGCAAAATTAGCCAACCTCCAAGAGCTTGGGCTTTCAAGGTGGAACACGCGAGGGAACGCCCTTGACGTCACTCTTTTATATCAGCTCGAGTCCCTTGGATATCTCTACTTATCAGATCTGAAGATGCCAAGCGCACTTGACTTGAGCATATTCTCGCCCTTTCAGAGGCTGTTCGTGTTGGATATTTCAGGCAACCATGTTTCAACCGCAAACATTACTTCCGCTTCTGATTTCACTCAGCAGTTGGAAGACTTGTATATGCGGGGCTGCAACATCAGTGAGTTTCCCCTGTTCCTAAGAACCCAACGACATTTGCAAGGACTGGACCTTTCCGGCAATATGATCAAAGGCCAAGTGCCGCACTGGTTATGGAGGCTACCATACTTATTGCAAGTGAATATCTCTCACAACTCTCTCAACAGTTTCCAAGGCTCATCATCCCAAAATGTTCTCCGAGTCACAGATTCTGTCAGCAGATGTAAGTTGGAATGATTTCCAAGGACCACTTTCTTGGGATCCAACAACAATTTCACCGGAGGGATACCCCAATCTATATGTGCCCTGACATCTCTACAATTACTCGATTTGTCACACAACAACTTGGACGGCTCCGTTCCACGGTGTTTGGGGAATCACAATGGATCTCTTTTAGTTTTGAGTCTTCATCACAACCAACTCTGCGGAACTCTTCCAGATATGTTTGTTGATGCCAACATATTGAGATCTCTTGATCTCAGTTACAACCGATTGGAAGGAAAACTTCCTAAATCTTTGATCAATTGCAGTGCTCTTGAGGTTTTGAACTTGGAAAGCAACAGATTCAAAGACACGTTTCCGTTTTGGTTGACGTCACTGCAAGAACTTAAGGTTCTAGCCCTACGCTCAAACAAATTTCATGGCCACATATATCATCCCCACATTTCATTTGGGTTTCCCAAGTTGCGGATCATCGACATATCACATAATCACTTCAACGGATCTTTGCCGACGGATTACTTTTCAAATTGGACTGCTATGTCTTCAATTGCAGCAAGTGAAGATAGTTCTGGGTACATGGGGTTGGAGAATGGTTATTACAGAGACTCGATGGTTTTGACGAACAAAGGATCAGACATAGAATATGTACGGATCCTTAAAATCTTTACGGCGGTCGATTTTTCAAGAAATAGATTCCAAGGAAGGATTCCTGAATCTGTTGGTCTTCTGAAGGAACTTCATGTGCTCAACATTTCAAGCAACAGTTTCATAGGCCACATCCCACCCTCGTTAGCGAACCTGTCTGAGCTCGAGTCATTAGACATGTCGGTGAACAATCTTTCAGGAAAAATGCCTGCAGAGCTCGGGAGCCTGTCGTCTCTGGAGCACATCAATTTTTCACATAATCAGCTGACGGGTCCTATTCCAAAAGGTCCGCAGTTTGGGACACAAAACTGTTCTTGTTTCGAGCACAACCTCGGGCTTTTTGGTGCTCCTCTCGACCAAGGCTGTGGGCAAGTCAAGACACCAAGTTCACACACAAACGATGCGTCTGAACCAGAGGATGATGATGAAGAAGAGGGAATTTTGAGTTGGATTGCGGTTGCTATAGGCTTCGCACCAGGTCTCTTGTTCGGAGTGACCATGGGTCATATCGTGTTTTCGTGGAAACGCCATTGGTTCATAAAGATCTTTGATCGAACCAAACGCAGAGGCACCACCAGAACTCGTTAGCCCATTTCACTCTTCTTATCACTCTCTAGTGGAGGTACGATATTCAACTTTATTCTTACTTTTCATAAATGATTATTTACCATTTTGAAGTATTAATTACCGTATGTGCTAATAATAATATTACAATGTATTCCTTTTGCAGATTATTGCGGAAACTGCTGTATGAACACCGTTCCTCTGCCTCCATGTTTGCTCCTTACTATAAAGGTTGTTAAATGTGTATTTTATGTATAATTGTTGCCTTACCAGGATTTGATACCATAAAGAAATTCTGAAGAGGAGGAGAATTGAGTTGCAGATCAAAGAGAGCTTTATTGGATACCGCAACTCTTGCCAAAGAGAAGAAGTTTAGGGTTCTTAGGGGGGAGAATTTTGTAAAAATATTCCCTTTCTTCCCCTTGATAATCATGTACAACCTACTTTAGCATATATACATGTTCGACATACATATAAAAAAGGAAGAGAATCTCATGTACAAAAGGAAATATATATATATGTGTTAACGGTGAATCGCAGATTTTCCATTTGTGTTGTTTGCTTAGTTGTTAGTCAGCCTTGATTGTGTCCGAGTCTGATTCTTGTCCGAATGCCCTCGTGTCCGTTTCATTTCATGCTCGTCAACACTCCTTTGGGCTTCGCAAATGTAAGTTGAAGTCTTATGCACTTTTAGCTTCTCCTAAGTCCTTTCCAACTGATATTAACGTTGTTACAACACCAAATCCACTGTTATTACAGTACCCAAAGCCACACCCAAAAAACTCCAGAAAAAAAAAATTTCCTACAGAACAAACAGACAAACAATCTCCCTGTGTCTCCGTTATGTCTTTTGGATCCAGCATTCATCGGAAGGGAGCAAGAGGATTAGGACTACTCGGAACTCTCACACTCCTCAGCTCTCTGCAAACATGATCCAACATTCCCAGAAAGTCTCTTACGACCACGAAGATTCTCAGAGGGTTCTTATCATCTCCTCTCACATCGCCATGAAAATACTCTGTTATCTCCCTTACTCGCTCCATGACCCTCTTCTCGTCTTCCCTCAACTCCTCCACGCTCTTCTCTGCATGCCTCAAGAACAAACTCATCGAACCCACAAATGTTTTGTCTGATTCATCCTCTCCAGAGAGCTTTTCATGCGCCAGTGACCTCAGTTTCGATAACCCGTCTCTCAGATTCGAAACAGAGCTCGTGAGAACATCGAGATCGATCGTGGCTGTTTTCTTCACGTTTTGGAGCTCTGTGTTGAGTCCCGAGACGAGATCCAGCCCCATTCGTTTGTAGTCCTCTTCCTTCTCTTCCTTGGTTCTGTTCTTGTTCGTCCTCTGGTTCATGATCCGTCCCATGATGCTGTCTGAAACCCTGATCCCCTCCGACCGAGAGATCTCCTGAACAACAAAGTGAAGCAGAGTTGTCTTCCCGTCTGTTCCTTTTACGTCAGATAGTTTGAGCAGAGCGTCAAGTTTGAATGCTTTAGCGCCACCTCGAATTGTCCCAACGTTCATTCTGTTCCCAGTTTTGAGGACAGCTTCTAGAAGCTTCAAGAACAGCCTGCTCGACTTCAGTTCCTTGCATGCTTCCTAAGAAACATCATCAGTTTGTCATGGAAAGTGATAACCGATCTCAAACCAATCATGTAAACTCTGATTCGGGTTTGTAAGAAATCACCTCAAGCATTGTGAAGGAGTTTCTGAGATGTACAACCTCGTCTTCGAACGTTTCTCTGTAAAGCATTGCTTCCGCTCGCTGAAACGAAAAGGGCACTCCAAGCATTGCTCTGATGAACTTCTCGGCCGAGCCAAGCTCGTCAATGGCTCCTCTGTAGCTACACAACTTGCTTTCTTCTTCCTTGGTCGGCACCATCCTCACCAGTGCCTCTAGTTGCTGCAAACACAAGCCTTCTCCTGCAACACTTTTTCAAAGTCAGCCTAATTCTTCTGATAACTTACCTACATGTAACATTATTGTCTCGTAATTGCAGATCTGTGTATAGTATATTTATATAAACACAAATACAGACATAGTTGTATGTATATACCTTTCACCAAGGCACTGCAGATATGCTCAGTGGATGCGTTCAAAGCTTTCAAGAGAATGGTAACGTTCTGAAGTCTCTTGGGCTCCAGAAGATGTTTCCCTGGTGAAGGAGTTTTGCTCTTCCCTTCCTCGTTCTTCATTGAGCACTGCATAGTGTATCCGAAGAGTGACTCTATCATCTCTTCATCCAACCTATTACAACACAACACAACATAATCAGTACAGTTCCGATCAAACTTTCTGGGTCTTGTAGTGAAACTTACTCGAAGGAGCTGGTTCTGATCTTGTCCCAGACCATAGAACGATCCGGTGTGGCTCTGACTTTGTCCCAATGAAGCGGTTTCAGTTTTGGCAATGGACCTCCATCTTTGCCCAAAGGTTCACGTTGAGAGAAGTTAAGAGACAACGGAGGAGGAGGCGGTGGCTTGCTTCCCGCCAAAGGCAGAGGTCGCGGAGGTGGTGGTGGGGGAGGACATGGCGGAGCCTGCAGATTGGCGCTTGAGGAAGTTTCTGGAGCTTTTTCAGAAAGATCCGGCAAACGGGTCTGTAGATTAGTACTTGTTGAAGGACTAGAATCATTTTTAGATGGAGGCGGCATAAGGGTTTGAAGATTTGTCATCGAGGAAGAATCTGAAGCTTTTTCAGATAAATCTGGCAAAAGGGCTGGAAGATTTGGCCTCGGCAAAGAGAAAGAATGACGCCATCTGTTTGAAAACGGCAGACGCGATGGTGGTGGAAGAGGTGGGGGAGGAGGAGGAGCGATTCCGGAATCTTTTCGACCAGATTCTTGGATCTCCCGCTCATCCTCAGGAAAATGTTCAGAGGATTCAATAGCAATATTAGCAGAAGCATTTGACAATCTTGAAGACTGAGAGGCACAGAACGAATGGAAAGATTCATTGTCTGAGGAGTCGCTTTCTGGAGGAACTACAACAAAACCACTAACAGAATCTACTGCCTGTTCATCATTTTCATGCACCGATACAATCTCTTTGGTCGAAGAACTGCTTGCATTGTCCGAATCAGGCGAAATCTCTGTTTCTCTCTTCTTTACCTCTTCTTCAAGCAATCCGCCATTGTTGTAGCTCAAACCCTTCTCCGCTCCTCGTGTCTCTTTGACAGAATCAGAGCACTGTCTCTCCAAATCAACTCCCGTTGAGTTGAGGTACAAGAAATCAAGCGTAGGATTTACACTGACCTTCCTCGTCGAAGAGTTCTGAGATTTACCCTTCCTCCTCTTAAATGACGACGTTACACTGTTCCTCCTCTTCCTGATTTTCACTCCAAGGCAGAACAGCCCTAAGACACAAGCTACGAAACCGATTGCTGAAGCTGTAGCGATCAAGACAGGTACAAGAATCTTCTTTCCTATTCCTTCTTCACGTTTTGGCTTCTGAAACTCGTGTTGTCTCCACCGATGGCTCGGTTTCGGCAATGGACGACGGAAATGCGGAGGTATCGGCTGGAGAGGAGCCGGAGCATACGCCGGAGGCTCGCCGGAACCACCGCCTGGCGACGGAGATGGAACCGGAGCCGGCCACGGGGATAAAGGCTCAGACTTGGCCGGATTTCTTGGCGGAGAAGTAGAGGGTTTGATCAAATCAAGCAAAGCTCGGAACTTTTCCACGATCAGAAGCTCTTTCTTCTCGGTTTCGTCTTCTCCGGCGACATTACTTAACAGGGTTCCGTCTCTCTCGCTGCTTTCCGCCATTAACAACCTCCATTCTCCGAGCTCTTCGGCATCAGCAACAATGGCAAAGCCCAAATAGCTCACTCTGCAACACTGTAATGATATCACCACCACTATTACCATGAGAATCATCTGACGAAAGTAATCCATTCTCTTCCCTCTGGGTTCTTTCCTTTTCAGATCTTTTCACAGTAAAACCAAATCATCACCTCTATAAAATCACAAAAAGAAAACCTTTATTCCTCTTGAAAAAAAAAAGGTCCATTCTTTTTTTTTCCTCTGCTCAAGTCTTAAATGCTACTCCAAGGAACCCCTGAACCCTGCAGCTGTAGTTGTACTAGTAACACCCCCTTTCCCCATTAACTCTCCTGCCTAAACAAACGATTCTAATCTTATAACTTACAGTCACCATATTGGGTAATGCTTAATTACATCTATATTTAATAAAAACATTAAAATTTTAAAAAAGAATCATTCTTTTTCTTGGATATTATCAACAAATGTCCATTGGATGCGTTCTGGACAGCACTGTTACTGCAGTTTTATGGGAACAGTGGTAACATTCTCTTTGATTCAGAAGCTTGAGTTTAATGGAAAACAGCCTCTCTTTTTTCCTTAAGAACTCGGTTATGAATATGAAACAGCTTTTGAGGAGATCTAACAATGGGAAGAGGCAGAGAGAGAGAGAGAGAGAGAGAGAGAGAGAGAGAGATTGATTGTTGGTGTGGGAGTGGGTCCTGAGACTGGTGACACATTTGCCCGATTCTCTGCCAATTGGGTAATCTACAGTGCAAGCTTTCTTTTGTTCTCCCAACCTCCCAATATTCAAAGAGGTAAATACATTTTTTTAAGGAAAAAAACCGACATTTATTGATATTTATTGTATATGCAACCTCCATGACTGGCTTATAGAAAAAAAAAATATTGGAATCTGAATTAAAAAAAAAAACTCATTTAATTAAATATATGAATTTATTTTATTGGATACTGTTTTAGTAATTGTGTTTTCACCAGTATGGAGTTATTTCCTCTCTAAGAACCAACTCAATATGATATTTGAAATCGAATGCAAGCTTTGGATGTAGGGTTTAATAATTCCAAATATATACAAATATATTTATTAGTTCTTTGCATTGCTTCTGTATTCCATTTTCATTTATCAATAAACTTGTAGATATACGGAAAGTTTATGAATATTCAAAACTTAGATATGTTACAGTCAATTATATTTCATACAAAGTAACATATTTTGGAATACCAAACTACGAATATATAAATAATATTCTAGGTATCTCACAACATTTTTTACACGTTATCAAAATGCTTTCATTATTGACAAATATAGATTATATATATTGTTTGTGTAAATTCAACCCATCAAACAACAAAATTAATATGAATTTTAAAAAAAAGTATTTAGTAATCCCGTCAAAATTTAGTTATCAAATTGTAAGATAGTAATTTAGTAACCAAAATTACGTGGTTCAATGGGTAACAAAGATAACAAAGTTTTTTCTCAATCTAAATTCGAGTCTTTATTTGGAGGGATATTCCCCCGTACTTTCTAATTATTATATAAGAAATAAATTATTATTATTATTATTATTCGAATAAATTTAAATATACGTTAGTCAACTATGTTACTTAAATATTTTTGTTTCTCAAACTATAAGCATTGTCAAAATTGGCAAAAAAAAAGGAGGGCAAATTAGATGAATATGTCTACTCCATCCCTCAGCAATCAAATGGTCCCTTTGCAGTGGTTATGTCCGTCGGTTCATAACATAGGAATCAATTTGTTTGGTACGTTATGATGTTGATATCTTTGAAAATATCACAATCTTCTTTTGCTATAATATGATTTTGCCAATTCATCATTATTAATTTATTATGTTATAATACAAAATTGGTCCAGCTTATCATCAATCATGCATATAAGCAACTTAGATTATCAATCTCATGATTATGTATCCTCTCTCATCATGGATTTTCCTTTTTCCAAAAAAGTCAATGTCCGAGCTTTGACTGTCAATCTTTAAGAGGATTGAGAGATATTAATCAAAATGAAAATGACATGGAAACCCTTATTTCATGACGCAAACATTCAGAAATTGTTAGGAAAAAAATAGGATTTTTTTTAATATAAAGTCGATACAACATAGAAATTTGAAAACACGTCACGTGTGTTTGGTATATAGCGTTTTTTCAGTATCTATGGGATGAAGGGTTAAGCATGGTTTGAATATTATTTGGCGTTTATACTGTTTTGGGATGACGTTTCCAAAATATATATTTTATATCAGAATAAAGATGTTAAAAAACATTATTAAAAGACATAATTATAATCAAATAAAAATATGTCAATACATGTTCTCCAAACAAATATAATTATTTTCATATTTTACGATTTTATTGCTGTTTATTAAATATTTTTTGGTATTAATGTTTATTTTATTTGATATAAAAATTAGTTATTCTGCCAAACGCATATGGACATTTCTCTTTCTCAAACACTATTTTGCATATCAGCTTTTGTTCCATTTTTTTTCGCGGTCCGGATTAGTTTTAATTAGAAATACTTAATAATATTAACAAGTATACAATAAAAAAGCGTTATTCGTACTTCACTGGCTGCCAAATGAAATTGGGGAGACAAGAAAAAGAAAGAATTATTGTACCCATTCAAAAGGAAAACCACAAATATTAAATCGTTTTTTCGTATATATTTATGTTAAATTAAAATAATATTTAAATACAAAAAATCTTAACAAAAGGATTTTTTTAATATTTCATTGTTTTAGAAATTTTTAAAAAAAATGTAACGTTACCTAGAAAGATGCATTTACTATTATATATAGATATATCGATCATATACATACACGACAAAATAAAAAGTGGCGAATAAAGTATTGAACTTGACACCGTGTACAAAATTTAGAGCCTAAACTCGGAGATTAAAAGTGAGGAATTGAGGTCAACGTCTCGAGAAGACAATGCAGCCATGATTTAGGGATCCACTATTCCACTATACATAATTATCATATGATTCGGTCATTGTTTATTTACTTTTTATTTTTTATAAACAAAAGTTATATATATCTATTTATTTCTATATATATATATATATATGCATGCATATGAGTAGATTCCATTTATTTTAATATTAGGGGAATCCACAATGACAAGCTAAATAAGGGAACGCGTGTTGCAGGGACACTTGTTTGGACCTACTTTGTCTCTGGAATAAAGTAAATAATATTTCCCAGAAACAAACAACGCTATATATACTAATTTATTAGCCCATAAAAAATGTCGATTTTTTTTTAACCATATTACACATACGGGAGTTTGGTTTCAAATAAAGAAAAAATGCATATTTTAAAACGAAACTATTTAGTGCCTTTTTCCATAATTAAACTATCAAACTAAAAAAAATTTGTAGTTAGATATAAATACTTCAAACTTATTTCAGCATGATTCGCTCTAATAAGAAATTGCAAGAAAACTGAATTCTTGAAAATAAAATTATGTATTTGTCTTAAATAATAAGTCCAATAGTAGCTTTTGACGGTTTCATTAATTCCGATTCACTTTTGATTATTTCAGTATTTGAATTTTTTAGATTTTAAAAAATGATAAACATTTATTTCGAACTTTGATTTGATTTAGATTATATTTTTATTTTAGGTGTCGGTTATTTATACATTCCATTCAACTTTCATTGGGTTCCGTTTGATTAATTTGGTTTTTTTAATTTCCAACACATTTCGTATTCAAATTCTGCTTTTACTAAAACCGGAAAATCACCCCTAACAATGGGGGTATTTACATTGGAAGAAAAGTACAAAATCTGACACACACACAAAACGAATCTAACTATGTCCGAATTTTGGTTGGGAGAAAACCTAACGTCGCATTCTACAATAAATGCAAAATAAAGGAGGCATCGTTTCGGTTCATTCAACCGTGACCCAATTAACTCCGGTCCCCCGTAGCCCAATTGACTCCGACCCACGAATACCATCTCAAGTATTTCATTGGCCCATTTCCATGTGACGTGTGGATTTACCTTATTTAATTAGCTAAAAAATAAGGTCTAACCCTAATAAATAAATCCTAAAAAAAGGTTAAATACAACTATTTTCCGTTCACAATTTACGTGTTTTAGCTAATTGCGCCTCATTGCATGCACTTACGCGGCTAGAGTTGGATAAAGGACGTTCTTGCCTTTCCTTGGCAGCTTCTTTCAATATGAAATGTGTATACATTTCATGTATTTCTACAGTGATAATTCAACATATTTAGAAAGATATGACCATGATGTCTTCTAAACCATTTTGGTCGTTAGCAGAGAAACCGAAACCTACTCTTCTAAACAAGGGAAAAAGGTTGAGAAGCCAAACATGGATTATCTCTGCAAAGGAACAGCAAGGCATGTGTTGGGTGCTTCAAACACAAGTCTGAAGGGACAAAACTTTGTTCTTCATACAATACATCCTGATACCATTCAAGTACATCTCAGACCCTATCTGGCTGGCAGGAGGACGGGTTCGCTCTTACTGTTGTCGGGTTTCAGCCTTCTTCTTCTGCCAGAGCCTGTCAATGGCGCTGTCAGCATCTCCCTGCATAGTTTGCAATGGTATATCGGTTAATCCCGAGATCGTGTCAACTGGACTGTTGCAATGGCATGTAAGATCATGCAGTGCTACAGGGTATAGCTATCTCAAACATTGAAAAAACTAAGTGGGTCAAACAGCTAAGCAAGCGGGTCTGACATAAATTATCAACTAAGGAGTGGGTACAACCAGTTAGTCCTGTTTCAATCCAATCCAATGTCGATTTGAAAACGAGTAAAGTTACTCTGCAAGAGTTTAGAGATCCGTGATTTGGAGAAGTATTACATTGAAAAGAAATTATCACAAACCTGGGCACGGACGAAACCGCAGAGAGCAAAGGTGGTGAACTGGCCAGTGTAGATGCCATCGGCATCCAGATGTCCAATGTTGATCTGGACAGAGGCATGATCCTTGGAGGTGATCAGCCTGTTAGTGGCAGAACTGCAAGATTGTAGAAACACAAAGACTCAAACTTAGTACACAAGGCAACAAAATATACAAAAAAAAAACACATACTAAAGAGAAAATACCATTTCCTGGGTATGTAAAGCTCGGTGATCTGACCCTCTTCGTTCTGCATCTTGGGAGATTGAATCGAACCAACAGTTCTAGCTTCAAAGACTACAAAATTGGAAGAAATTAAATAAAATTTCAAATGAACAGAAGCACCAATGTCAACACCAAAACCCTTCGACTATTCCGTGTTTCTAACACAGTTCTCCTCCATCACCGAAGCATACGATACTACACGTATCGAAACTGCAGTAAACTCTGATGAATCAAAATATGAACGTTGTGACCCAGAGGGTCAGCAGATCTATAACGACTTAGATACTATCCCTTGCCCTCTTAAGGGAATTCTATATTACACCTTAATCAAAATGTTAGTAGCCAATAAACTGGCAGCACAATCTTAACGCATTTTGCCCTAATCCCAAAACCCAAAATGTTCTCTTTAAACCAAACCAACATTAAGGAACATCAAACAAAACTGCACAAGAGAATTGTAACTACGCATCCGTTGGAAAAATCCATTGGAAAATTGGTGGTTTTTTTCGTAGTGAGAGAGGCTAAAATCCAGAAAACCGTCATGTGTAGATGTCAGAATCAAATTCTAATCACCCAAACAACCACAAGATTCACCCGTCGACATTATCAACTCGCAATCGCATAATTCCTCCAATGAAGGCACAACATAAGGAATTGCGTTTGTGTTTCAGAGCAAAACCCATAAAAGATTCCTACTTTTTCAGATAAACATATACCAAACTAATCGACTTACGATCGAGATTGAGGAAAAAGCAGTTTGAGACGAAGAAAGGACGAAAGCTTACCGATGCAGAAGCAGCAGCAGCAAGCGGACGAGTGCGAAAGTGCTTCTGCGTCACCACTTTTAAGCAGCTGAAACCCTAGCTTTTATTCAAGTTAATGACGAAATTACCCTTTGTGGTATATAAAATTTTGGAAAGGAAAATAGTTTTTGTTTTCTAAAGAAATAAGTTGAAGCAAGCGTGTCAAGAAATGGGAATTCGGCGCCAAACGAACAAAACCCAAAGAGCGCTAACAAAACCTCACTCCCCGTTAAAAATTTCAAATTGATCGATTGAGAGAGAGGGAGAGAGAGAGATGGAGTTCAGTATCAGTGGCAACGCGCTCAAGACCTTCTCTCGCTCAATCGGGTGTCTCGCACGAGTCGGCAACGAGCTCGTCGTCCAGGGTTCTCCTCACCAGGTTCTCTTTTCTCCTTCTAGGGGCGTATTTTATATGGTGCAAAACCCTAATGTCACTGTTCTGTGAAGTAATTGTTGGGGATTTTGCAAATTGAACCGCTTAGGTTATGGTTTCGGCTGTTCCTTTTTTGCTACTAGAGTACTCCATGTTTTCGGTATGTGATAACCCATTACATTATAACCCTTGTTTGGTTGCTGGGGAGCTGCTAGATGTAGAGTACGTGGTTGAAGAACATAAAGTTTGGGTTGTGTAGTCTGCAGATGTAGAATACATGTATCTTGACTCCTGGGCCTTAGGAAGCAGGATAACCGAATGTCGCTATTCTGCCATTAACATGAACCAACAAATGTTCCATCCAATAGCGTGTTTGTAGTTCTCGATCTCTGTATTTTATGCATTTTCTTAGCACTTCTCTGATTTGATTATCTACTGCGAGTTAGTAGTACCTTCATGATATCCCATTTTCACTACCTAGACAATGTTAATTCCTAAACTGGAAATCTGTGGAGGATATTGGTGGCTCAAAGAGATAACAGTTTTGTGTTTTTCCATGTTTATATTGGTTTCACTCAAGCTCTTCAGATTAATTGGACTAAACAGATCATTAATTCCTTTCGATAATCCTGATAAGTGTTTATTTCTTCACATCTATTTCATGCTATCTTCATCTGAGTTATATCTAATTTGTTGTTCGTCAATCCTTTGTGCAGTTAGCGTTGCATACTCTGAATGCCTCCCGTTCTGCATATCAGTCTATTACATTCAAATCGAGTTTCTTTGATGCATATACTATTTCTGGTCCTCAAGCGCAGTTCAGCGTGCTTGTGAAGGTACTGTTTACTGTCCTGAAACTTCATGTGGAACTGGATGAGTTCATTGGTGCAAGCATCACAATAGGCTCATATGACTTTTTGCAGGCTGTTTGTTCTGTTCTGAGGACCCCCATTGCAAGCATTGATCATTTGAGTGTTCAGTTGCCAGATAACGATGCATCAAAGGTGCAATGGACACTGGAGTGCTATAGTGGTAAATATTTTGCTCCTTGTTTGTCCACGTAGTTTGCTGTTGCCTGAATCCTTATGATTTCTTGTACTCTCCTGATGATTGGAGTACACAAACCAAGATGCAAATATCTGTTTGTGAGTTTCACTTTATAAATAATATGCAGTATACTGATAATATCGAAGAGTAGTAAATTCAAACTATAATTCCTGCACTTTGAATGTTTAGTGAAGGCTTTGTTTGATTTTGACCTTTTGGATTGCTTGTTAATGTCTGCAGGTACAAAGAAAACATATTGGATTACTTGCAATATTGAACCTGATATACAGCATCTATCTCTTGATAGGGGAAGATTTCCTAGTAGCTTGGTAGTGCAACCCCGGAATATGAACAAATTGCTTGGAAACTTCCAATCATCCCTCCAAGAGATTACAATTATTGCAACGGACCCCAACTCCCTGCCTTCTGATGCTGCAAGTGAAATAGGGGGAAAGGCTGTTGAATTTAAGAGTTACGTAGATCCAACAAAAGGTCAGTAAGAAATGATGCTAGGAATGGAGTTACCACTTTCCTTACGTAGGAGTGGGCTAAATTTCTCTTTCGAAATGCAGATAGTGATTCTTTGTTACATACCCAGCTCTGGATAGATCCATCAGAAGAATTTCTGCAGTATATTCATGCTGGAGATCCTGTGGACGTTACATTTTCCATGAAGGAATCAAAGGTATGACATTCCTCTGCACGAGGATAGATTATTTTTTAGCCATGTTTATTTGTTATTTATTCAATCTAGTGGAATGGGATATCTTCGATACATTTCAGGCATTTCTTACTTTCTGCGACGGATGTGAAGCCGATATGCATCTATTTTTCGAAAAAGCGGGCGAGTAAGGGCTTTATTTTTCTTTTAATTAATTTAATCCTCTCCTCTCTGGGTAGATGCAATGGAGCTTTGGCCAACACTTCTAAACTGATCTGGTAAAATGTGTACTCCTTCGACAGGCCAATATTAATGGCTCCAAAATTCGGTTTGGACAGTGGGTCAAGCTCGAACTTTGATGCGACACTCGTTCTTGCCACTATGCTCGTTTCTCAGCTACAGGAAAGTGTTCCATCAGACCTTCCACAGGCAGCTAACTCCACAGGTGGCCATACTGCAGAACGAGTGGAGTCAGAGCCACAAGAGAGGTCTAGACAAAATGTCTCTGAGCACCCGTCTGATCACACAAGAATTTGGTCTGAACTTTCAGGTAGTATCTAATGCTCTTGACCAAATTCATCATTTTGTATGAGAAGGCTAAACACTTGAAAACCTTAATTCTGTGCAGGAACCGCTACTAAGAGCAGTACTGATTCAGCGAATAGGCCACAAGCTCAGGAACAGCCAGGCTTGGATGTCCAAAGAATTAGGGCAATGCAAATATCAAAAGAAGGACCAGCTAGAGATGAGGCTCCTGTAGCTTCTAAGTTGTATCCTTCATTTAACTTCTATAATTTACCATCACGTGCCATTATCAACAGAAAATTCTTAATATGTTTCTGTGACATACTGTCAGGGCACATTTGCTATCCCTATGAGCATATTTAGCTATCAATCATAAAAGCCCAATGATTCTCTGCGGTTTTAGTACTTCCCTTTGTAGAAATGTTTTGATGTCTTTAAACTTAGCGTCAGCCAACAGTACCGAGAGATGGATAACGCTAAAGGGACCCAAGGAGGTAGTCACAAAAAACTTTTTCTACAACTTTAATAGTCTTGTCTTCTGTTCCAAAGACTTGGCATTATCTACTTGTTTTGTTAATTGTGTTCTCAGGAGGGGCTGAGAACAACGGCAATTGTTTCTCCCAGCGTCATCCGAGTAATTGGGTAGATGCATATGAGGATGAAGACGACAACGATGGCGATGAAAATGAAATGTGCATCCAGGCAACACCACCCTACTATGAAGATCACTAGCTCTAGTTCTCTCCTTTAACACTCTAAGTATTTCAACTGTAAGTTCTCTGCTCTTTTAACCAAAATAATTGCTATGTAGAATGTAATCACAAGTGAAATTGATCAAACCGACACTTCCACTGAAACTTAGCTCATGTTTCTGATGACCTTTTCCACATTTGGCAGTAGAAAGAGCAACAATTCTGTCGTGATTAGCTATTGGCTATCGCTAAAGTAGGAACTCATGAAGGTTGCACAGTTTAGTCATTGGCCTTGATTGTGTTGTCTAGTCACTTATTGCACCTCAACTCACGATTCCACAAGATAAATTTTCATCGTCCTCTTCTACCATGAATCTCAATAAAAAGATCAGATATTAAAGGGAAAAGCCTCCTCTTGTTCTCGACCTTTTTTTATTGTCAGGAAAAGGGTGGTAACTGAGTTGGCCATCAATGGGTTGCTGGTTCCGAAGGATTTCAATGGTCCCAAGACGATCACAACATAAAGAAAGATCATGCAAAACATGTAAGTAAAGAAAAGCATTACGACTCTGCTTTATTCCCTTTCATATGTATATGAAAGATCCTGCGGATATTGTGGTAAAACGTCTCTTTCTAGGGAAGCAAAAGGTAAAAGCTTTGCATATATGCCTTATTTTAGACGCTCCAACCACCATCACCTAAATTACCACTCTCAACCCATTTGGTAAAGAGTTATTTTCTGGGAGATAATTTAACCCTTTGGTCTCCCTGTCCTAAGATTGGGATTGCAAACGTCTAAAGTCCTTATGGATCCCAATGATTGCGTTCTGATTTTTGTAAGACTGCTGTCTAAAAATTAAAGAGTTTACAACCAACAAAACAATCTCTAAAACAAATCCAAATAAAATGAATAATATTTGTATAAATATATGAATGGGGTTATTGAATTGATATATAGCATGGTGGTTGGTGCTGGGAAAAGAAAATAAATATATTTAGTTCTCTGAATAATCATCAGCATGATCTTTATCATCATTGTAACTATTATTATAGTATGATTGTTATTATGGTATACTTATAATAAATAAATACAATGAAATGAAATGAAACACGACAATAGATTACAGGAGGAAAAGTAGAATGGGTTAACAGGAACAGCTGGCGATTGGAATTTGGAACGCGCAAACGCCGTCCTTGGTGATCTGTGACTTGGACCCACAATTTCTCCCTAATCTTAACGGTTGCGTCACACGTCAATCGCCGTTTCTTCTCTTAACGCCGTTACTATCGCCGTTATCCTCGAATAACATTAATGAAAAAAAGTAAAAACTAGCCGTTGCTCCTGTTTAAAAAATCATTGCCGGGTGGGTGGGAGTGGATAACATAAATTATATTCTTCACATTAAAAGCGTTTCGATGAGATTTCATATCGAAAACCGAATTGAAGTTTTGACATTCACAATATGGAGATAATGTATTTTCGACATGTAATGGATGTGACATAGACATTAGCAATTAACATTTTTAAATATACATATCCATTTAGATTTTCATGTTTCCATATTGTGGTAAATATCTGTTATTGATTTAATTTTTTTTATTAATTTTATTCTCTATATCTATTGCCAGTAATTGTTTCCTATCTCGTTATTTTGTAATTTTACAATATATTGTTTCACACTTTTTTAAGAATTTGACCGTTTCATCTATTGTATATAAAGAATTTTGATATCTACGAAGATTTGGACAATTTTTATATTGTTTCACTATTGAACCCATAACACGAAAGATCAAACAACAAGCCCATTCAATATAATATATCATTAAGTTACAACTATTATGATGCATACTGAATCGAATTTTATTTTATTATTATTGAATGTGTCAAAACAAGAGTTAGTGTTGCTCATGCATGTGGTGGGTATAATCTATGGTAGGATTATGAGTGGTTTACATGTCTTTATATTGACATTGACAAAATCTATACGCCTGCACAAACTTGGAAAAATCGTATTACACAAAAAGATTTAGTTTATTGGTACGTGTTGATTGTAGCCAACGATAAGCTAAACGGAAGGTGACGGTAAACGCTAACGGAGGCAGGAGAAAACGGCAGTGGACGTTAACGAAATGTTAGACGGAGTTAGGGGTAGATGCCGTCTCTTTCTCTCTCTCTCTCTCTCTTTATCGGTCCTACTGTTTGCCCGATAGAAAGGGAAGGAAACAAGGCAAACCGGTCAACCAGTTGCTGCCAAAAGATGCCCATTGTTTATGACTTATTTACCATTCTGCCATTAAGGAGTTTCTGTCGGCTGAAAGACTTGTAATTAAATTATTTGAATCAAGCTTTCATAGGCTATTTTCAATCGGAACATATTTACATAAAAAATAATAATAATTTGATTTTATTACAATAAGAAGACGATTAAATAATGTACAAATAAAGTATGTTCAAACATTTTTATCAAATAATATCTTTAGAAATTTATTAGTTATGATAATTGTCAAGCATTTTCTTACAAATATCAAACCTTATGGATATAGTAATCGTCAAATATTTTAGTCATGTTGTAGAAACTTATTAACCTTCATAAATCACAGACGTGAGCGCACGTAGGTTTGGCCTAAAATTAATTACAACAATAATCAACGAAGAAACAGTATTAATAATATAACACTAAAGTCAATTTCCCTGTCAATAAAGACAAAAATTGTAGTTTAAATATTCTCCGCGTACTCTTTCTAAATAACGATGGCGTTATCGTAAATAATATCAAAGCCCGACCCATTCTCGCACTCTCCCGTGGTTATAAGAAGCTATATACCCACTCCACCCCGTTGTCTTCAGTTGTAAATACGGAAGAAAGAAAATAGAAGATAACGAAGAGGAAATCGAAAGTCTCCGCACCACAGAGAAGGTTTGATCCGAATTAAAATGGCGACCTCTCGAGCGATCTACGCCGTAATAGCGATCCTCGCGATCGCGATCGCAGCCGTCGAAGCTGGGGAGGACTACGGGGCTGCGCTGGGGCTCGTCCGCGCCGGATCCTCGCTCTCCGGCTGCAGAGGATCGATCGCGGAGTGTCTAGCGGAGGAAGAAGAGCTCGAGCTGGACTCGGAGATCAGCAGGCGCATATTAGCGACGAACAAGTACATCAGCTACGGTGCGCTGCAGAGGAACAGCGTGCCCTGCTCCCGGCGCGGCGCTTCGTACTACAACTGCCGGAGAGGAGCTCAGGCGAATCCGTACAGCCGCGGTTGCAGCACCATCACCAGGTGCAGGCGTTGAAACCCTCAGACTTAAATGATCTGAATTTACTGTTTTGCCCTTCTTCTCATTCTTCTGTGTCTGCTCTCTTTTTTTTTTATCTTTTGTTTTTTATTTCATTTTTTTTTTCTTTCGATTCCGGGAATATGGGGTTTGAGATTCGGGGAAAAAAAAAAAGAACACACACTATATAGTATTGTTTTAAAAGAATATGAACTTCCTGCTGCTGTTTTTGCTCTGTATGTATATACATATTGTTATTGTTTGATCTTTTTCGTAATTTCGTATTCATGGTTTAAAATGTTCCTGAATTGAATTGATATAAGGGTATTAGTCCGAGAAGTGATTGAGATCTGTGAATTCATTTAAACAATCAGATATATGGTTATTGATATCTGTATCAACTCATCATTCTTGTTGTGTGTGAACACAATTTTAGCATATCATTTTATTTATGGTATATAATTTGTCCGAAGAAGTATTTTATTTTTTTACGATTTTTCATTTTCATGGAATTGATTCGAAGTTTAGAGAACGAAGAAATTTGTATATTGAAAATAATAATTTTCACAAATCCTTTACTAAGTTACTACAAAAAATTATTATTTTGAAATTAAATTTTGTATTACAGAGAAAGTATCTCAGCTCTCAGCCATATGTATTAGAAAAGAAAAAAGAAATGAGATAAAAGTGGGAACGGAATCGGTTTCTTTATTGGCCCGTTGGTATCATGTTGGGCTACATGGGAATGATGGGGACCACCACAGCTTGTGGTTTATATTTAATTTTAAATTTGTTATTATAGAAACTTTCGGTTAGATCGGATTATTTATTATCTTGGGCATTAATTGTATAAAGTTGCATCACTATGACTTTCTACACGAAATACCATATTACAAACACCATCCAATGTTACATATCACCTCGAAAATCTCCAAAAATATACACGTCACGAAATTTATTGAGCATAAAAATAAATTTGGTATATTTTAAAACAGTATAGATATATACTTACCATCTAATGGCAATATATATATATATATATATATATATATATAGAATAAAATAAGAACATATTAATTCGACCGTTCCCATCTGCTTTAACAATAGAGTTGAAGTGATCAAGCTTTTATATATTCATAGATGACCAATTTGTTAGATAATCTTTATTGTTAACAATAAAAAAAGCTTAATGTTGGAAGGATATCAAGTTTGTTGGAAAATTAAGAAAGCTTATAATTATAAAAATATCAAGCAAATTAAATAAAGCTAAGGGTCAGTTATTGTAGTCGCAATTCATTTGGGCGATTACTCAGAAACTATATGGGCCTCCACAATCCCAATACTGGGCTTAGTCACTATTCCTTAATGGGCCTTAAAGCCCATATATATCAATCTAGATTCCATCGTGCGTCGGACAAATTTAAGGTTAATGTTGATTATTTTCACTAAATTTGGAACTTCTAAAATAAATATGAATCTAGATTCCACGTGCATTGGACAATTTGAAGTCTAATTTTGATTATTTTCACTAAATTTGGAACCTCTAAAATAAGTTAAATTTCTTAATTGGAAAAAAAGATATTGCTCAAATCAAGGCAAAGATCAGGGAACTGATTTCTAAGGTGATTAATATTCGGACACATTCTAAAAATAAATAATCATCTTTACCAATAAAAAAAATAAAAAAAATAATCATATAGATCTAATATTATATTATATGGAGATAACAAAAAATAAATAAATATTTTCTAGAATAAGTTGTAGAGGTATTAGTTTTATGTTTCACATTTTAAAAAATTCCATCAATTAATTTATTGCATGGATTACACAATTTATATTCAACGATTGTTCGCCATATTATTACTTTGAAACTACCTTGTCACATCAATCGGCCAACGTAACAATAATAATAATAATAATATATGAATAACATAAATTGATTCGCATCCATACTTTGGATTTGGAACTCTAGAAGCTTCCGTGGATATTTATTTATTTATTTTTCGTTCTGCATCCATGTTTTTTAAAACTTTTTATTTTATTTAAATTTAAACTTTCCTTTCGTGTGCTATTATTATAGGAATTGAAAAATAACAGATTTTCTCTCGAAATACAAAATACATAACTCTTTTCTTAGCTCCATAGGTTTACTTAGCCGCTACGTAGTATGAACCACACGCGCTGACGCGTATGTGCGGTTCCGCACGTGCCGAAGGCCTTGTATATGCTATATAAAGGGGGTTTAGGGTACGTGACTTTTCGCAACAATACTTTTGTGCGTTTAAAAAATTTTGAATTTCTCTACGCGTTTCTTCTAAACAACGCCGCTTTCGATCAATCTTCGTTCATCGATCACAAGAACGATCATGGCTCAAGAAGATCTCAATCAGAAGAATCAGGAAATGGTAATTCGTGATTCCGATACTTTTCTGGAGGTTATATTCGTTTCTTTCATATCTGTTGCTTGGATTTGGTAATTTGGAGGCTTGAGCGATTCGATTCGCGTGTCGATCGTCTTTTTTATCCGATTTCTTCTGAAAAATTATTGTTATATGGAATTTGGTTTTTGCCGATTGTTGTTGTCGATCGTCCTAAGAATTTATAGGATTCCGATAATTTGATCGGGCATCGTTCTAATCGAAGAAATGTTTCCGTCATGTTCATGTTTTAAATATTTATCTGCTTTTTCGTGCATCTGATCACTAGAACACCTTACAGAAATGATATGAAAGATGTTGGATGAACATCTTACCTACCAACGAATCGTTTATCTTGCATAAAACAACTCTTTGTGTGTATTACGTTTCGTAAATACGTAGAACATGTTCGTAATTGAGAAATTGGCAACGCAATTCGTTTTACTAATCTTTCTTTTTCATCTCTGTTGTGGTGTTCCCAGACCAAGGAGGAGAAAGAGAGGCTTAAGTACCTGGCTTTCGTCCAAGCCGCCGCTCTAGAAGCTGTGGTTCGTTTCGCATTTATTTACGCGAAGGCCAAAGAGAAGTCTGGCCCTCTGAAACCCGGTGTTGAATCCGTGGAAGGAGCCGTCAAGACCGTGGTCGGACCTGTTTATGAAAAGTTTCATGACGTCCCGGTCGAGGTCCTCAAATACATGGACCAAAAGGTAAATGGCATTTCCTCGTTTGAATTGTTGCCAAATTTCGCTGGAGAACGACCATGTTGTGAGGTTTTGAGTTAGGTCCCATTAAAATGCGTATGCAATCGACTGCTTGAATCCATATACCTCTGCATTGGTTGAAGAATTCTATGGAAACACTTTTTCACATAATGGACTTATGTTGATCATTCTAAATTCCTTTGAATAAGTGGTATGGTAAAAAATCTGTCTCCCATCTTACATGGTAAAAGCCTTGATCAGATTTAATTTGTCAGATTTTCTTTTGGATGACTATAGATCTTACATTTTGTGATCATTTGCATCTTGAGGTTTAAGATATAATAAAAATTCAGGTCGCAAATTAATCGGTTCAGTTTTATAAATATTTCCCTGTAGTCCAGAAATATCCATTAATCGTTATGTGGCTCTTTTCATTGCAGGTTGACATGTCTGTGACTGAGCTGGACCGTCGTGTTCCACCAGTCATCAAGCAAGTCTCGGCCCAAGCCATATCTGCTGCCCAAATGGCACCCATCGTTGCCCGAGCTGTGGCTTCTGAGGGTCAGAAGTGGTTCAGAAGTCCGGTGTCATAGAAACCGCATCTGGGCTGGCTAAATCCGTGTACACAAAGTACGAGCCAGCAGCCAAGGAGTTGTACGCGAGCTATGAGCCAAAGGCCGAGCAATGTGCTGTCTCGGCCTGGAAGAAGCTGAACCAGCTTCTCAAGTGGCTCAAGTCGTTGTGCCGACAGCTGCTTATTGCACCGAGAAGTACAACCACACCGTGGTTAAGGCGGCTGAGCAAGGGTACCGAGTTTCGTCGTTCCTGCCACTGGTCCCGACCGAAAAGATCGCCAAGATTTTCCAGGAGGAGAAGACCCAAGCTGAGCCATTGGTTTCGTCCACTTGATTCTGCGTTTGGTTCGTATGATTTGGTTTATGGCTTTGGGAATGATGTGAACCTGAACCTGAACCTGGTCTGTTTGGTGGCGTGTGGTCTGGTTCTGCTTTTGGTTCTCTTTTTCTTCTATTAAACATATTTGTTTCAGTGATACTTTGATTTTTTTTGCCCTCGTTTTAATGTTTTATTGTTATAAACTTATAAATAGAATATGTAAGAAAATGTAACAAAGTGAGAAAAAAAAACAGGCAGAAAGTTAAATCCATGGGAAGTTTGCTTCGTATCACGGCCGGGCAAAAAAATTGGGTACCTAAAATTTTCGATAAGTGGGAAACAAAATGATGATGAGACGATTGCGATGCGTTTGTAAAGCATTGCGTAAGAACTAGTAATTTTTTTATGAGAAAATATATTGCCCAAATGATCATGGAATTGATTCTAAGACTGTTAAGATTCACGATTCAGACACATTCTAAAAATAATAATCATAGATCTATATGGAAATTTATGAAATTTCCATCAACATTAGTGAATTATGACGACATAGGAGATATAAGATATGGTATAGGTCGATAACGATCTGGTGTCTGTGGAAATTTATGAAATTATGTTATATAACAATATGAAAATATGTTATTTTAGTCATTATATAAACATAAAGTACTTAATAGAATCCGAATTTAAACCCGTTTTCTGAATTTCTTATCTCATTTTAATTTGGTATCAATTTCTCTCGAGTATTCGGATATCCGTTTAGATATAGATAGATACCCGAAAAGCTACGGGTGTCGAGGAAAAATGTCTAACCCTAATAGGCGATTTTCGTCGATCTCCGATGGGAAATGCAGCAGAGAAAAAAAAATAAAAATTAATTTTAAAATAATATTATCCATAAAAGTAAACGGTCTTATTAAATATGTTGATGAGTAGGATTGTCGCCAACGGTCATCATAAAACTACGGCGGAGATGTAACAGGCGGAGCTCCGGCGAGAAGAAGAAGATGGTGAATCCTTCTCTGAATCTTCGTTTCACCGTCTTCCTCTCCTTCTCTCTCGCTGCTTCTTCCTTTAAGCTCTCGGCTTCTCTCTCCCCGTCTCCGGCGCCTAAAGCCACCGCCGCCGATCTGCTCTCCGTCCTCGGACCATCCTCTGCCGTCAAACCCATCGTCGCTCAGGAACTCCGGTCTTGTCTCAAGTTTCTTGTTCCGTTCAAGCCGGGTAAGTCCGGACCCGAATCAGGACGATGTTCGCTCCGTAACGGGTTGTGTTTCGGGGAAATCGACGCTGTCCGGAGGCCGAGCAGATTCGAGGAGGAGAACGAGCTTGTCTGGTGGCCACCGAATCGGATCCTCGAGCTGGCTCGCCTCGCCGTTGTCTCCGGTGGTGATCCCGACGCAATCTATCGAGCTCTCGATCCGAAAATTCTCCAGGTTCTTCTGTAATTAACGCCTGATCTCGTCGTCTTTGTCGCTAAATTCCTTCGGGATTTCCGTTGATTGCTGAAACCTGGTGTTGGTAGGTTCCTGATGTTGAAGGTTCGGAAGAAGATAGATGCGAACTCACTAGAACTCCCTATGGTTGGCGATTCGCAGCGGAGGTAAATACGTTTCGACCATTGTTGATGCTCGTTTGGGTTTCTCGTAGATTCTGACTGTTGGATTTGATTGGTGATGCAAATGACAGGGACTGAATTCATATTTTGAGTTCTTGTTTCATCTCATTGCATCTAGGGGCCCCAATGTCGGATTGAATGTGTCCCTAACTCGATTTGATTTGTTCCATGGCCACCTTTTCCTTGCCACAGAAACTGGCAGGCTCGGAATATTGTAAGTCTCCATTGTCTTTGTACTACAAGTGACTTCATCATTGTTCTAACTGGTTTGTTTAGAGGAATGGCCATTTCGTTTGAAGAAACATGAGCTATTCGTGTCATCTTCTATCTCGTGGAATATGCCTCTGATCACGTTTTAGTAGAAACTATGTCGGACGTGACAAGAATCTGGTCACAACTCACTGTTTCATATGTCTTATGATTGATGTGCTTTCGTTATTATGTAAACAAAACTATGAATATTGTTACAATTTGGAGAATTGTTTGATTCCTCTTATAGCATCTAATAGGAGTGGCAAGACTTGTGGTAACAGTGTTTACAGTGTATATGATTGTTGATGTCCTTAGTATCCTTAAAAGGGTGTTTTGATAAACATCTTTCACCAAGTTGGTATTTTTATGTGCTTTTTAAAATGGCAGGTTTCATGCTAAAGAGTATCCAGCATATGACAAGGAAGTATTTCCTTACAACATGGGTTATTGCCAAAGAGGTATTTTTGCTCTTGGCCATGTAGTTATTCCTTTATAACTGTCTTTCAAGCATGCACACGTTTTCTTAAATTCTGTAAACTCGGTTGTCTGATTGTATATCCTCTCGCCTAGGATCTAATGTTACGTATGATAATTCAATGAACTTGAGGAATATCCTCTGGCTCGCACCATTGCCTAGTAAAACTTCTGAAGATTGGCTTGCACCAGGTATGTTCCGTATCTAAATTATCCCAAAGTTCTATAAACATACTACTGAGATTTGCGTGGTGTAATCAAATCAAAGGCGATCTTATTAACCCTTAAAAACCTGACTGTATCCTCAAGAAGAGTTTCTTAGGTCAGGGATTTCTGTTTGATTCTAGGGCATGCAAGATTACACTCAATTTGTTCTTGTTTTATGTTGGTTGAAAGAAGCGAGTCGGTTTCAACAATGAGTTAAAAATATGATAACAAATTGCCATTACTTGAACGTGAATTGGGAGGATTCTAGACAATCATGTATGGCATGTGAACCCGAGGCTGATGTTATATGAGGACCTAGCTGTTCTTCTTTGTATATAGATTGGGTAAATTCAATATTGTTGAAATATCACTCGAATGTTCTATCACGTCTAGACCTGCTATTCAAACTTAAGTTTAGTAAGATTTGTATATGGAATGAAATTTTATCCGTGGCAATTGGAATGAAGGGTATTATCTCAAACTGTTAATTCAGGTGTACTTGTGGTGCTGGATGCCCGTCCGGGTGGAATCATTTTCAGAGATCTAATCCCCGACTACGTTAAATTTGCGAGAACCATATACGAAGGTCCGAGCTCTCTTATCTTACTGCTCTAATACCATTGATGGTCACACGGATTTACTTTCGATCTTGTTGTAAATCTTTATCATTGTCTAACAGATGATTTGGGCATAAACGTGGTTGACGTGAATTTCTTGAACGTTGGAGCTCAAGAACCTGATTATCAGCTTTTCATTTGCTGAAACTATTCATGTTTACACAAACATTGGTGAAGCACTAATGTGATGAGATTGTTATCTGGGAACGGCATGTAGTTTCGTTCTCCCCGTTGAAACCGGGATGCATTTCTTGGAGCAGTAGTCCGGTTGGGTTCGAGAAACGGCAAGCTGTTCTATGAAGCATCCGTTTTATGAATTGTCTTTCTCATGAATGGAATATGATCTCATGAAACTTGTAAAATTGGTAAAAAAATCTGTAGTTGTTTCCTTTTTTTTTTTGCTTTAAATTGGTAAATTTGGATAGCAATTTATGCATTGTATATCTAAAAATGACATTATATTTTTTCTGAAAATATCGCCGTACAAAAACATTTCATAAAAATATTCTTGCAGTGCTTACGCTATGTAGGCCCTCTGTCTGGATATTTCTGCGTGTATCCATTTATCCCAAAAAAGCTCGATCCTATGCTAACGTACACCGCTGCTCACGTTAGCACCCAAACCCTTCACGGGTAAACCCTCCCCCTCTCTCTCTCTCGGTCTCGTTCGCCTCCTAGCTTGCGCTTCTCTGCTCGCACTCTGCGCACTTCCACACGATTTCTCTCCACCTCCTAATTTTCCCTCCTGGAAAATTTTCTCGGAGAAAATTCTCTCTGTCGGGAAATCCGATTGGATCGCCATAGATTCGAATACGTAACCTGTCCTTGTGCTTATAAGTGGATTGGGGATGGGTATTCAGCATATTGATAGAGGAGATCTATGGAAGAGCTTGTGGTTGCTGAAGCTTCAGCTCCGAGACCGATTTCGTGTCGCTGTTGACAACCACCGTGATCGGACAGCGATGTTCTCGCCGGACGGTTACTTCTCCTCCACCGTTCAGCGATTGGTGACTCGGTTCCGGGACTTCCGTCGTGACTCTCTTCCGTCTTCCTCCGCTTTTTATCGCAAACGAGGTATGGATCCTCTCGTTTTCGATCTGAAACCGATCTATATGTGCGCCCGTGTGTAGTGTATGCAGGTATTCGATCCGTTGATTTCTTGTGTCGTACCGTTGTTCGCATATGCTGATTCCTATGCATGAATTCCGTAGGAAACGAAGTTAAATCCTTCTTGTTGTATGATCCAATCATCTTATTTAATATATCTGAGCGCAAGCGATTGGTCAACGGGAATGGTTTTCTCTGTGGTACTTTGAATTTGACGTTGTTGTATCATAATCTGCATTATGGGTTTTCTTCATTAGGTTATGAAGACGCAAATGGGTGCACAATTCCATTGATTTTTCTAACGGGAGTATCTCCATGATGTTCTTACTTATGTGTCACCCTTAATTTTAGCTTAGAAATGTTAGCTTAAGCATTTTGGTATTTGAGGTATTTGTTGTTTGTTGTTTGCCGCTTGAACAATCAATGATATGATGCACCAGGACTGAGTTCTTTGGATTTATTTGTTTACTTGTATGCGTATGTTGGATTTTCGATGTTTTATAATTCTGACATATTCTTCGTGCTTGAAGTTTCTAAAGATTTGGTCGGAGAAGAAGAATCTGCAGTCTTCCGGATGCTTCAAGCCGTGGCTGTTCCCCTTATTGGAAATGCTTGTCATGTGTTTATGAATGGTCTTAACCGTGTTCAGGTATAGTATTATACGGAAATGCTGTTCTTTCCAGAATCTCATTCTTATCTTCAGCTACCTTTTCATCGTGATTGTCTTTTCGTAACAGGTTTATGGTCTGGAGAAGTTACATGATGCTTTGCTTAATAGACCAAAGGGCAATTCTCTCCTTACGGTATGGTGTCACTTGTGTACTGAGATCTTATGTTTTTGTGATAATAGTTTCCAATCAGTCCCAATCATATGATTATTAATCTTGTTTTGGTCAGGTAAGCAATCATGTTGCATCTGTCGATGATCCATTCGTCATTGCTTCTCTGCTTCCACCTAGAGTTCTCCTCGATGCCCGTAACCTGAGGTGGACACTTTGTGCTTCGGATAGATGCTTCAAAAACCCCGTAACTTCGACTTTCTTTCGCTCTGTCAAAGTCTTGCCAGTTTCTCGCGGTGAAGGAATTTATCAGCAGGTAACTGTCTACACTCTATATCCCCTCTTCTATTTTGTCCGAGCTCCTGACAAGTATACTTGAAGCTTGTCTGAGCTTAACGTTTCCTGGGGAAAACTTGATTTTGGTCAATATTATGCTATATGTAATCAATTTCCATATGTGAAAACTGAAAAGTGAAAAGCAAATGACTTTGATAGTAACTTTGCAGGGAATGGACATGGCGGTTTCGAAACTGAATAGTGGTGGGTGGGTTCACATATTTCCTGAAGGCAGCCGCTCCCGTGATGGCGGAAAAACGTTAGGCTCTGCCAAGAGAGGAGTCGGGAGGTGCTTGTTCTTTGATATGGGTTTGATCCTCGAAATTTCAGTGAGTAACCAACAAGCGGAACTAATAATTTATATATTTACTTGCTCCAAACAGGTTGATTCTGGACGCAGATACTCTCCCTATGGTTGTTCCATTTGTGCATACTGGTATGCAAGAGATCATGCCCATTGGAGCAAACATTCCAAGAATTGGCAAGACAGTATGTATCTTCCATCAACCTATGCTTCTTGACCAGTCCATTTACATATTTCACTTCAAAGTTTTCATCTGTCACGTGAATACACACAGGTAACTGTAGTGATTGGCGACCCGATTCACTTTGACGACCTTCTCGGAACGGAAGGAGCCAAACATGTCTCGAGAAAACAGTTATACGACGCTGTATCTTCGAGGGTCGGACAGAGACTGCTCGAGTTGAAGCTACGAGTCGATAGACTAGCTTTGGAAGAACAATCCGTGAGATCCCACGATGGGAAAACGCCGTCAGACTGTGCTGTTGAGATCTTTCACCGTGTTGATTGGGACTCATTTGGAATGGGAACTCCTTATAACGATGAATCCAATGTTCCGGGATCGGTTGCTTGCACCGAAGATCATGTCACCGATGGTTTGGATCGTCGGAATCCGACAAAGGGATTTTCGTATGAAGGCGGGATCGCGTCTCGGATTAAGAGGTACATGGACCGAGCCGAGATCATGGGTTTTGCAGCGAGGGGGTTGTTTGAGAACGATTATAAAACAAAGGGCGATTCTGAGGATGTTGGGAAAATTAGGGCTCTGAGGGTTTGGAAAGAGTATTTGGAAGCAAATCTGATGAAACAGTTGAACACTTTGTAGATAACAGTAACACTTACTATAGACATTTACTTGCCAAGAAGGCTCATGTCAACGAGAAAGTTGGTTCGGTTTTGTTCGATATTTTTCAATAATTGAATAACATCGTATTTGAGCCAATTTTAATATTAAAAAAAAATTAGTAATCGAAAATTTTCTGAATAAAAACGATTTTGAATAAAAATAAAAACTTTAACTGGCACATGATTCAGCAATCAAACGACACCGTTTATGGAAAAGGCCACAGTACAGTACACGTTGATATCCGGCCCATGTAAAAGAAGGGAGGCCCACAAGAAAATAGATGATTCAAATGGTTCAAATCACCAAAACGACACCGTTCGATATCATATATGAATCGTTCCACAGGTCATCCAAACGAACGGTCACGATTTAATCTCTTCTGATCAGAAACACCATCATCGGTGATTATGACAAGAGGAGACATTTTCAGATCGTCGACGGCGACACACTCCCTCCTCTACTTTTTTCTCTTGTGGTTTCTGGAGATACAGAGAAACCATGGCGGATGAAGAAGATGAGTTCGCGGAGGCGGAACTGAGTTACGACCAGAAGAAAGAGATCGCCAAGTGGTTTCTCCTCAACGCTCCCGCCGGCGAAATCAATTACGTCTCCAAAGGTACGTGTGCGCGTACATAGAGACATGCACATGTTTGTTTACCATCTTTACATGTATGTGTATGTCAATGTATCTACACGGAGTGTTCATTTCGGTGACTGCATTTTCTGCGTTTGTGCTTGCTTTTATTCCCTTTTTATTTTCATAAATTGAGGATAATGTGCGTGATGGCTAGATTTGGATGGTTCTCTGTGGGTTTCTCGCAGATTTGAAAGCGGCTTTGAACGACGAGGATGTGTACAGTGAGGCGACAAGGGAGGCTTTTCCAGTGTACAACAAGTCTCATATGATTTGCCTCGAAATGCCCGGTAGGGCTGGCGATGTAAGTTCTGTTTCCAGTTCGAGGCAAATAGGAATTGGGTATTTTTTTTTCGTTTTGAGCGATTCTCTTTCGGATTTTCATCCAGATTCAGAAAATTTTAGATTCCGTTTTGAAACGGGCACTGATGAAAGTTCGGTCAGTTTCCGGATGAACAGTTGTTGGATCGTTTAAAGGAGAAATTCTGGTGGACTTTGTGATGATAATTAGTGGTTCGTAGATGTCTGATTGTTAGAGGTTCCTTTCGATAGATTCTGGTTCCGAATCTTCCGATTCGAGGACAGGGGACGGGGAATCAGTCAGCTTTGCAAAAATGCTTTAAGGATCATATCATAATACAGTGAAATAATCCTCAACTAAAGAAGTTATGTATGAAATACATATAGTATAATACTATTAATCAAATTGAACAGTGATGGATGGTCTATATCTTCATTGCTACTCCACCAAAAATTGTACGGGAAAACCTTTTATTCTTCTTAACTTCGAAGCTTACTAACGTGTAGTACTTGCAGGTTATCATTTCATCATATAGTGAAATTAGAGATTATGAGTACTTTGATCCTAGAACTGCCCAGGTTGCGGTTGTTGATCATGTTAAACAGGTATAATTCACGACCGATTTTCATTTTTCTTCATCACGTTATACCGTGATTTGTGAATATGCTCTGAGCATACATCTCGGTGATTGGTCAGGTTTGTACAAAGGTGAGGCCTGCAGATGACGAAGAACTTCCATCTCCATATGTCGAGGAGTATAGGTAAGGATTGCTTCCCAAAGAATATTTGTTTAGAGTCTAACTTGACGATCTAGGATCAGGTTCATGCATCAGCATTCACTTCCTGAAACCACTGTCCCAAGTCATGGCTTACTATTTTAGTACAATTAATGATCCTGGAAAATCTTCATCTTCTGTCGTGCCTGTAGTTTTGTATGTTGATTCTGTTTTCCCCATGACAGATATGCTCTTGATGCTGAAGTCCAAAGATATGTCAGTGAAGCTTATCCTAAAGGCGTTTGCTCTGTTTACTGTGTTAATGGAAAGGATGCCGAAGGTCCAGGGTCTGACTTTGAGCTTGTTGTGGTGGTTTCCGCTATAAAACTTAGTCCACAGAACTTTTGGTGTGTCCAATGGCCTTTTTAACCTTTTTTTTGCTGGGCTTTTGATATCACTTCTTAGCTGCTACACTTCTGTTGGTTCTCAAGAGATACCAAATCAAAATGATTTGTCTTATGAAACTTTTGTTTCAAATTCCCACTGATCAAAAGTGGTGTGTTATGTGCAGTAATGGGAGTTGGAGATCTATATGGAATATCGACTTCCGGGATGAATCCCAGGTGCTGGATATAAAAGGGAAATTGCAGGTAGTGAGCATGATTTAGGACACACTCTTTTTTCTTTTCTTCCTTTGGGTCAATCTTTGGAAACAGTAAGCTCGGCATGATCAATATTGTGTTATTCAGGTGGGAGCCCATTATTTTGAAGAGGGAAATGTGCAATTAGATGCGAGAAATGAATTCCAGGATTCGACAATTTTTCAGGTACTACGACACTGACAAGTCTCTGTCGTTCTATAAATTATTGGGAAAATGTTTACTTGAGAGATTAATCGGGAATCCTTATACGAAAGCGTACTATAATCTACTGGCTCATTTCAATCCTGTCATAGGTTTTCTCACTGAAACAAGCAAAACATATCCTGGTTTAGGATCGGATGTAAGCTTGAAAAGCTAATGCCTTCATTTTTTTTACAGTCTCCAGATGATTGTGCGGTGGCAGTAGCCAACATTATACGGCACCATGAGACAGAGTACCTTGCAGCTCTAGAGGTCCCAACTGAATCCATTTGTTTCCTTCTTTAATCTCTTCTAGAAACTGACAGTTCAGAATAAAATCTCTCGCATGTATACATATAGCGTGTGTTCTCTGTTGCTGTCTTGTAAATTGATTGAATACGTGATATGAATGTTACGGCATAGAGTCTTCGTTCCAGCCATCACTGCATAAAGTTCTGTATTACGGGTGAACGTAATTTGCGTGTCGTTTGTCTCAGAGTGATTTTGCTTGTATTGACAGGTATCCTACTCGAGGCTGCCCGATAACACGTTTAAGGTAAATATTCTCCCGAGAATGTCTATTCGCGAGACTTTGGTATCAGAAGATGCTGCATAAGGCGTGATATAATGAGAGAGGTGGGTTTTGTGCGGTTGGTTGTTGTTTTCAGGATCTGAGGAGGAAACTGCCGGTGACAAGAACGTTGTTCCCGTGGAGAAACACGTTACAGTTCAGCCTTACCAGAGAAGTTGAGAAAGAACTCGGAATTGGCAAGTCTCTCTCCCCTCCACCTCAATAACGCCTTCTCTTCCCTCTTTCTTCTTCTTCTTCTCCTTGTTTGTTCATTGTCTTTAAAAGATTTGTTGTCTGTTTCCTTCTCATCTCATTTCTATCAAATTGTTTGTTTGTTTTTTTGGGGTTTGGTCTCCCTCGTTCTTCTTCCGCTGTCAGTGTCGTCTTTTCCATCTGATAACCCTTTTGTTTGTTGGTTGTAATATCATACTTCTCATTCTGAAAAGGAAAAAAATGGGAATAATTTTATTAAAAAAAGTAAAATTCCGTTGCCGGGAATCGAACCCGGGTCTCCTGGGTGAAAGCCAGATATCCTAACCGCTGGACGACAACGGATTATTTATTAAGTAAGATTTATATATATTATTTATATTTTTAATTGATGAAATTGGGGCCAAATTAGAAATATATATAAATACGCAGAACTCTGGAAAAACCCTCAAATCCCCCCATTGATTCCTCGCTTCGTTAAACGACCCACCAAATTGGTATTCCTCCGATACTTGTGAGAGCGTCAGAACCCAGTTTAAAAAATTCACAATATCCGTCGTCTTCGATCTCTCCTTCCCTCTCCGTCTCGGCCTCCCTCTTCTCGGAGATTGTCACACTGCCCGATATTCTGACCTCAATTTTCGTGTATCTGGAAAGGTCTGTCTCTCGATTTGTCCCTTTTACGATTTTCTTGGGAGCCAAAGATCGGATTGTTTCGCCAAGTCTTTGTTCTGCTTTCCCATTTCTCGTTCTTGCATCTCTTTCGCCTGAAATATCCACTTCTTCTTCTTCTTCTTTTTTCTTTTTATGTTTCATGATGTGTAGGGAGCACCAGATTTTCTGATTCAAGAAGATGGTATGTTGCTCGGCGGACTCAATTTGTCTAGGGTTTTTGCTTTTGTTCGTGTCTGGTTCTCGGCTTAATTAATATTTTTCTTCTTGTTTGGTTTATTCAGCTTCCTCTTTCTTTGCTCAAGACTGCTCAAGGGCATCCAATGGTAAGACATTTTTCTGCTACTAACTTATTCAATCTCAATTCTTTTAGCCGAAATTAAGTGAGCGGTGTCTAAATCTCAGATTTGGGGTACGATTTTCTTTAGATTATTTGCGATTTCAGAGTTTTTTACTTACCCCATGTTGCAAATCGAGGAGACTGAATTGCTGTTGTTGAGTTTTTAGCGGACATGATATCTGTTTCATGGTTGTCTTTTTGGCAGCTTGTGGAACTCAAGAATGGAGAAACATACAATGGACACTTGGTGAATTGTGATACTTGGATGAACATACATCTGCGTGAAGTCATATGCACATCAAAGGTCTGGAGGGAACTTCCCATGTTGAATAGATGTTCAATTTTATGTTGTTTGTTTCATGGATCACTTTGGCGGTTTACATTTAAATATGTGGGCTCTGGCATTGTAGGATGGAGACAGGTTTTGGAGGATGCCGGAGTGTTACATCCGTGGCAACACAATTAAGTATCTTCGAGTTCCAGACGAGGTAATTTTTGTTTTCTCATTGTTCTTGGTATTAAATATTCACTTGTTTTTGCTGTCATGTATCTGGAATGATGATGCTTAGCCAAATCTGATATGTGCTCCAAGAGGCACTCTGGCGGGGTTCTTGTTGAATCTCTGTGGGGAACCTCTTTTTAGCGATAATGAGGTGCCTTTTGTTGTAGCATGTCTCCGACGATAGCACAAAGATTGGTGTTTGGCTGACCAGAATAATGACCCCTTCATGTAGACTTTGTTTTGTTATGTAACCAAAACTAGCCCGAAATTCTCTATTTTGCACTGCTTTTTTCCAACTTATTCTTTTAAAGTTTTCTGGGTGTCTGAAACTAATTGTGTTTCTATCATTTACATGCTTGTGTTTTGGCAAACACATGACACTTATGCTGCACATAGAAGATGCTTGAACCTGTATTGAGTTGACATCCAGTTTCTTTCTTTCTTTCTTTCTTTCTTCAGGTGATTGATAAAGTCCAAGAGGAGAAGAGCCGCACTGGTATGGTTTTCTCATCACTTAAATCTCTGTACTGTATGCGTTAAGCTTTTGAGGTGTTAATAATTATGCCAACAATTCCTCGTCCTGTAAGTGGTTTAGAGCAGATGTGGAAATATGCTAGAGATTATGGATTTTATAGTCATATGAACTTTTATTTATCCTGTAAGCATCGTCCTGCAAGTGGTTTGTCTTGCCATTCCATGGGATTCGTGCAAAGTACCCATTCCACGTATCATGTAAATGTCTGTCCTGTGGTCGATATATGTTGCACTCAGTATGATTTATCAAATCTTTGAGCTAATCATTCTTCATTCTTGATGTGTCAAGCCCAAATGAGTAGCTACCGAGTGAATCCTTTAGGACAATGCATCACTGATAACTTCGTCTGGCATTGTAGTTTTATTATGGGATTTCTCGATGGAAACTTGTTCCTGATGATTCTGAAAAATGCTTAAAATGAGCACAGATAGAAGACCACCGGGAGTTGGAAGGGGAAGAGGACGGGGTGAAGGCCCTGGAAAGCAAACAAAGGTCCTTGGACGCGGTCTGGATGATGGAGGCGCTAAAGGCCGTGGCAGAGGAGCTCCAATCGGCAAGGCGGGTGGTAGTAAAGGTTAGCCAAAAAAACACCCACAATCTCTTAGAACTCAAACCTGTGAAACTAGTGTAACCCAATAAAACATCACCCTGATAGTCGAAACCTCTTACCACCAAAACGTTTGATTTTTTTTTTTACATTAAAGCACCAAATAAAAAAAAAAGTCATTCACTGGCATGGGAAACCTCTTATAGATCGATTGAACTGAACTGAACTGAACTGAACATGTCGTATAAACAGGTGGTCGTGGACGTGGTTGATATGATCTTCCATTTGTAAAGCCGAAGCCTTCCCCGTACCATAGCTGCGCTATTAGTGATGGTGAGAAACTCGTTGTTCTGTATGTTCAAGAAGAATCTTGTTCTTCTCGGTCTCTCTCTATTTTGAGAGCTCGGGATGGGTTTTTTTCTCTCTTTTTTCTTTTCCGATTCTCCAAGATTGTTTTTCCCTTTCTATTTTTGTAAAATTCGATGGGTTATGCTCTGCCCATCTTGCAGTTTTAATCTGAAATTCTGTAATGAATCTGTGATTTTATCAATTAAATTTAAGATAATACAGTAAGGAATATTGTTCTTTTTTTTATTATTTTTGTAATACAGTAAGGAATAGTGTGTAAGCATGAACTCAGCTTGTTTGTCTCTTACTGGAACTGCATAACGCAATCCCAGGATGATTTCTTTTCCGTTGAAACACCCGAGAAAGAAAATGGCGGAAATCAAACCAGAGACCAGCAGCGACCATCAACGCCTCGTCGTCGTGTCGGAACCCGTCGACCCGAATCGGAAACTCACCGGAAGCAAACGACTTGCCTCTCTCGATGTCTTCCGTGGTCTCGCCGTCGCTGTATCTCTCTGTCCCCCTCGCTGCGTGCTTGTATATATCTATGTCTATATATGTGTGTGGGTGTCCGAAGAAGAACAAGTCCAGTGTTCGAATTTGGTTAGGGTTTCTGAAATTGGAGTTGTGAAAATTCGGAGCAGTTGATGATTCTGGTGGATGACGCCGGCGGAGAATGGCCGGCGATTGCACACGCGCCCTGGCATGGCTGCAACCTGGCGGATTTCGTCATGCCTTTCTTCTTGTTCATCGTCGGCGTTTCCATTGCTCTTGCTCTCAAGGTTCGTTTCCATTCTTCTTCAGCTTTTTAGTTCCGCCTTTTCAATTTCTGCTACTTAATTCGAGTCCTCGATCTCTTCAGAATTCTCAATTCTTCGTCCCGGAGATCCTTCATGTGTCCTTTGTGATCCTGAATCGTTATTGAGTACAGAAAACTCTTGCTTTGTCTTGATGGCCTTTGTTCCTCTGTTTTTTGAATTGTAGAGAATTGGAAACAAATTCGAAGCTATAAAGAAGGTGGTTCTTAGGACATGCAAGCTCCTCTTCTGGGGTCTTCTACTTCAAGGTCAATCCCTTTGTTCTATAACCTCGTTGTCATGGACTTTAAGCATTCATGTGTCTGCCTCATTCCTTTTTGTTCTTGTCTCGATAACAAGCATCCAATGTTTTTTTTGGCATTGAGTTCTGAACACTTTCATGTTTGATCTTTTGAAGGGGGCTTCTCTCATGCTCCCGATAGATTAACGTACGGTGTTGATGTGAATATGATGAGGTTGTGCGGGATTCTCCAGGTTTTGCTCTCGGTCCACGATTCTTTACATATATTATAATACATGCACCATATATATTCGGTTTATCTGGTTCGTTTCCTCTCTTATTCTCCAGAGAATAGCCTTATCGTACTTGATAGTCGCGTTGGTGGAGATTTTCACAATGGATTCACGGAGGGAGAATCTCTCGAATGGACTGTTCTCGATATTCAAGTCATATTATTGGCATTGGTAAAAACATAGCTTTCCATCTATCAGAAATTCATTGAGCAATATCAAGTCTCATTTCATCGGTTTCTATATTCATAGGCTTGTGGGCGCAACTGTTCTTGTCATTTATCTGGCTACGCTTTACGGAACTTACGTACCGGACTGGCGATTCATTGTATACGATAGAGACAGCATTCTGTACGGGAAAACTCTCTCTGTAAGTTCATCATCATGTTGTGTATGCCATATAGTGGCGACTGTTAATAATTCTTCTGTAAACGTCATGATCAGATTACCAAGAATAAACATTCTTCACTTGCGAATAATAGGTATTGTGTGGTGTGAGGGGAAAGCTTGATCCTCCCTGTAATGCTGTTGGATATATCGACAGACAGCTTCTGGGGCTCAACCATATGTATCAGCATCCAGCATGGAAAAGATCCAAGGTTCAATAACCTTTTTTTTTTCAATTTTGATAGGTATTACAAAAATGGTAGATTTACATACAGTGTTTAGTTTGTTTTAGGACTCGATTCTTAACTCGAGATTTATGTTTTCAATGTCTAGTTTAAAGGCTTGTGTTTAGGGTTTGTGAGGGTTCCCTTACTACAAAACAAAGATTATGAATCTGTTTATGCTAATTTTTTGGGGTCTCAGGCTTGCACCTATGACTCCCCTTATGAGGGGCCTTTACGTAAAGATGCGCCTTCATGGTGCCATGCGCCATTTGAGCCAGAAGGAGTGTTAAGGTCTACCTATCTTCTCGCTCGATTGACTTAACTTAACTCGGCATTTTGTTTATAGTGGCTGTCTCATATGTCTGATCCTGAAACACTTGCATGATGCAGTTCCATATGTGCTGTTCTGTCTACAATCATCGGAGTTCATTTTGGACATGTTATCTTACACTTCAAGGTCAGAATTACTTAACATGAAAAGTTGTCTAATACCTCCGAATTTAGTAAAAGCAATCTTTTCTCTTCCTTTTATTTCCGCTATGATCAGAATTCAGATAAATTTCGGGTATTTTGACTCATTTCTAGGTTCAGTATTCACGTTTGAAACAAGAGAATACGCCTTTTCATGGATTCTGTTTATTTCCCGCTAACTTTCCGCAACATATCCTTACTAATGGAAAATCCATTTTAACAATTTCCAAATGTCAGGGTCATTCAGCTCGGTTGAAGCACTGGATCTCCACTGGTATCGCTCTCCTCGTTCTCGGGCTCACCCTGCATTTCACCCACCGTGAGTAAACTCCTCGCCTATTGATTGATATATATTCAGTATTGATTGATATATATTTAGTCCTTATGGCTATTTATATGTATATATATGTATTTCGTATGTCGCAGTGATGCCCTTAAATAAACAACTCTACAGTTTCAGCTACACTTGCGTCACTTCTGGAGCAGCGGCCCTCGTCTTCTCCTCATTTTATGCTCTGGTCCATTTCTTTTCAGTCTTTCACACTTCACGAAGGCTCTGAATTTGCGAAATTTACACGTTCTTTTTCGGTAATCCAGGTCGACATATGGGGCTGGAAGTACGTGTTCCTGCCATTGAAGTGGATAGGAATGAACGCGATGCTCGTGTACGTGATGGGAGCTGAAGGCATCTTTGCCGGTTTCATCAACGGCTGGTACTTCCGCAATCCAAGCAACACTCTGGTAATAGCAATCAACTGTGTCATCATTTCCATCTGAAATGGGCCTCCCTCTTTTAAGCCCACCGCATCCCTATTGGGCCCATCGTAGCCAGAAGATTTTGAACATGATTTATTTTCGGCGTTGGCAGACAAATTGGACCAGAGAGCACGTTTTCATCGGAGTGTGGCATTCGAGGAGAGTGGGTGTGCTTCTATACGTCATTTTCGCAGAGATTTTCTTTTGGGGTCTCGTCGCCGGAGCTTTCCACCGGTTCGGGATCTATTGGAAGCTCTAACTGCTGAAACTCGTCTCTCTATGGAATCTACCACCAAACCTTGTGTATGCTTTCATATATACAAAAATATCCTAATTTATCACTTTGAGTGTGTGCGCGCGCGTGGAAAACGAAAACGAGAGAGCGATCAAACCAAGTAGAAAGGGGTTACAGCGAAGATTGGTAGACTCTGATTGAGCCAGAGGGTTCAGTCTGCTTCTACAGCCAAAATTGCGGTCATGCCAGTATTCAATTTCATTCTTATTCCAAGGGAGCCTTTTAAGACAAAATTCTATAAAACAAAAAACGACATCACACCACCAAAATACGACACAAAAGACAAACTCACTCTCCGACAAAAGGAAAAACCCAAAACCCTAAAAACTCATATCATCCATCTGAAGAAAGAAAAAGAAAAGAGAAGAGAAGGGAAGTGTAGTCTGAATGGTTCAGCACTTGATCTCCTTCAAGCCACAGGCCAAGTAGAGGAAGGTCGGGTCGGTGGCTCCTTCCTTGTAGTAAGCGAAAACCAAGCTGCCATCATCGTGCATGCTCTCCCCGACAAAGAACTGGAAGTCCTTCAGCTTAGGGAGCAAGAACTTGGTCGCGCCCTCGATGTTCTTCTTGAACGTCTCTTGCTTCTCCTCCGACAGCTTCGGTGTCAGGTTCTTTATGTACCTCTTCATGAATGTCACAAACTGCTTCTTGTCGAACGCCGGTTGCTCCTGCCGATTACCAAAGATGGTTTTTTTTTTCTTTCTAATGTTAGTTCACTGTATTTCTTGGATGGATGAAGGTTTGCATCATCTTACATAGATCATACAGATGGTAGAATTATATATGGATTTGGAAGGGCTTATGTTACCTGAAGCCTAAAAGTGTCGACGATATCGACAACCTTAACAGCTTGGTCATCGACTCCTTCGTCCTCGCCTCCTTCCGCCGAAGGATTCGCCCCAATGTCAACATCCAACGCTCCTTTCACAATCCACTGATGAACACACATATACACCACTTTGTTCAAATCCCCCCAAACTTACACGTTTATACTAATCGCATACATATATATATGTATGTATGTATGTATGTTTATGTACAAGTACAAAATCTTGGATGAGTACCTTTCCTTCAACCTCCCACAGCATCCCGTTCTCGATTTCCTTGTAGGGGAAGGAATCGGACAGAAGCTCGTCACCTGTGCGTACAATTCAAGCGGTTAAAAAGACGTGTTCATACATACATGATGACATAAGCATGCATATACATCCATATATACGCAAAACCTAATGAGTAAATCATTATAATTGCGTTACTCAAATCCCAGGGTTTGATTATGCTTTCATCAGAACCCAAAATTCATCGTCTGTGATTCCAGAAACCAAAATTCAAAAGCGGCATGAATGATCCGTGAGGAATCCCACAAAGAATCGCAGGAAACAAACATTCGGAACATCAAAGGTAACTACAAAGCATAAACTGACGGAACCGAAGAGAAACAAACGCGAAGACAGGAACCGTAAGAGAACGTGTGTATGTATAGGTGTACCTGTAAGAAGATCCTGGTAAACCAACATGTTTGCAGAGAGAGTTTAAATCGGAATTCTTGAATTTGCTTTTCGCCGATCGGTTAGAAATCTCGGAGAGGCAGAGAAGTTTGTAGACGGAGAAGAGTCGAGAAGGGGGCAGAGATATTTATAGGAGTTGATATGTGTTGACAGATGGAATCAGAGACTCCTTTTTCCTTTTCCATCTCTGCTTTCGTCTCCTTTTTTTTTAATTTAATTTAATTTATTTTTACAAATTTTATTTCCTTTTTTCCTTTTGTGTTTTGGAATTATAAATTTAGAAGAAAATCGATATCTTGAGGATGTTGCGGATCAATCAGGACCGTTCTCTCTCCCCAAAATCCTGCCGTTAATGGTTTTGGGAAAATATTCAGAGTGCGTTTAGTTCTATATTTTTTTTCAATAATTTTGTATTTCGTATTTGCCTTTTCTGAGTAATTTGCTTTAAATAGTTCCATCTGAATTAGTTAATCCTAATTACAGTTCACCTAATTTGTAATTTTAATGTTTTATAACCATGTAGCCACATATTTTGACCGATTAAATAAATGAATTTGCAGTATATATATTTAGAAAATAATTAATGTTAGTCTCCATGGGAGATTAGATCCTAATTCGCACCAAGAAATTATAAAACTTATTTTTAATTAGGTGTTGTTGCAGGCCTGGCCCATTGGGACAAGTTGGGTCTTAGAGAACATATAATAAAAAGGAAGGAAATTTGCTGCCGTAAAAAAAGGAAAAAAGTTTATTTCTACTTTTTATCCGGGTATTGCCGATACATAATTTTACAATTATAAGTTGATATTTCCCATAAATAAATTGATTTTGATTATTCACGTAATTCTAAAATTATAAGTTAATTTTTACATCCGATTCAATCAAACTACGATTAAAATTAAAATTACGTCAGTTAAGTTAAAAAAAACTACAATTAAAATTTTTATTTATCCAACCGATATATATATATATATATATATGTAACAGCAAACCCATCATATTTTCTCTAACCCAAATTAGTCAGTTAAGTTAATTCTTTTGTAACAAAGGTAAATAAAAAATTTAGTTAAAGCAAAAATCAACGAGAATATACTTTTGGGTTTTGGCATGTGGACGTAACGTAAGATTCGCTTGGGAATATAATTGCATTGGGCTTCCGAAACTTTGACTAACATTGACCATTCCTCTATTTTCCATTTATTAAATAAATGATTTGACCCCCCAAAATATCTCTGATTTCTTATTTTGTGCAATAATATATGTTTTTTTTATATTTTAAAAATACAATACAAACTACAAAATGTACTAATTTATCTAGTATTAGTCAATAGTGTTAATCACTGGTTTAAAAATATGTTCTAAAAGTATGTATAATTTGTCATAATAAATTATTAATTAGTTATGTTTCTTTTAAAAAATAAACATTTTCATTTTTTCGAATCAGTAGTACATAAAATATTTTTTTACCCTGATATTGTAAAATGTGTTTTAAAAAATAATATAATTTTGAATGACTTGGTAATATAAAATGAAATGGAATTTGAACATTTATTCTAATTTCTATTTTAATAAAATTACATCTTATTTTAAAGCATAAAAGCAAAGAAATTTACAAGTTTGGAATATAATCTTGTTTTTAATAAAATAGGAAATGAACTATTAAGAAAAGGAATCACTTTAAATTAGGAAGTAAAACAAAAAATTGTAATTGTGAAAGAGGGGAAATTAAAAAAAAAAAGGAAAAGGAAAAACATTAGGCAGTAGCTAATGTCAACCGAAACCAATCCGTGAGAATGAATCGGAGCCGTCAATTATGGAGTTTGGACAGCGGTTATTTGCTTGTCCCGTAACCTAATCCTTCTCCCAAAGAACGCACGCAGAAGGAAGAACCCAAGAAAAAAAAAATTCAAGGGGAAACCCTTTTCTCTCTTCTTTCTAAGGTTTCTTGCCGACGATCGCAGGGTTTCTGTAAATTATCGGCGAATAATTTCGTCTGGTAACTCGATGGAATCGAAGCGTTACGTATTGGGAAAGGGTTTTTTTGCGTGATTAGGCTCGAATTTTGCGGTGATTTCATCGAACACAAGAGGGTTTTGAGATTTGGGTTGTTCTGATTCGGTGATGGGTTTAGGGAATGACGCTAAGAAATGCAGTTTCGGGGATAATGGTCTCGCCGATGACGGCAGGGGAGGAGCCGATTGCGATTCTCGAGACGGCGATGGTCGGTCCGGCTCGGTTGCGTGTTCGATTTGCCTCGATATGGTCGCCGTTAATGGTGATCGATCGTGGGCTACGCTTCAATGTGGCCACCGGTTCCATCTAGGTAAATTATGCTTTACTGAAACTGAATGAGATGGGGTTTCATGTTGGATTTGGTTCTGATTTTGATTTGAATTATCAGGATCCATCTTTTGTTTCGATTCGCTTAGAGAACCCTGGATCTGTTGCGTTTCTGCGATATGATTAGTACCCCAGCCGTTTCTGTTTTGGGGATCCTTTGTTGTCGAGATCGTGGATGGGTATTGAGTTTTGAAACTGTACGTTCATGCATCAAGAGAATTATGATTCAATCTAATGGTTTGTAGTGATTCTGAGAATGCTCATCATCTTGGGTCTGATTACTTTTTCACAATCACATGGCTGATTTGTTCTGGTTGATGTTTGGTGAATCTGTTAGGTTTAGAACCTCAGAATGTTCATGTGATATCCTGTAGTGTCTCTGCATCAAATGCATTTGCCCAAGGTTCTTGAATGCATTGATGCTGTTTTTGTAGGTATGAAGGGCTCTTAGCCATTTCATTTTCATATTCGACTGTGGGATATCTACGTTTTGATTTACGTGATCTGACCAAGTTTCGGTAGTTAATGGATCAAATTCAGATAGAACTATTGCCTGATCAGCCAGGCCAGAGCCGATTTATATTGGTTTTTGCGTTGCCGTTGGTTCTTTCTTGCATATCGTAAAGTGATTCTAGAATGTTATTCCAAGTGTGCACTATCAAAGGCTTTGAATTTGTTGATTGTAGGCTCTGCTGATGCCACTCATGCTTTTCATAGAGAGATTTAATGCTATGACTGTTTTCTCATTTCCAGATTGCATTGGCTCAGCCTTTAACGCAAAGGGCATGATGCAATGCCCCAACTGTCGGAAAATAGAGAAAGGGCAGTGGCTTTATGCAAATGGGTGCCGGTCATTTCCGGAGTTCCCCACCATGGATGATTTGGTTCACGAAGAAGAGATGAGTGAGCTAGCAGCACAGTCTGAAGTGGTAAGAAACTGAAAATTCCTTCCACTTTACTAGATCTAATGCTTGTATGAGTGTATCCAGAGATGATTTTTACCTGCATAATGATACACGCTACTCGTGATGGATATTAGTTTTTAATCGTGGAAACTGTGTTAAAAGGAGTATGAATATCTTGCAATTGTTTCATTTAGTGGGAGTTTTTGCCGATATTTAAGCGGCTTGAAGCTAAAATTTTCATCACCAATAGGTGATTAGACCAAACGTATAGTTCCATAATGGGAAATAGCTTAAGCTGGAAGAGAGTTGCGTTTTTGTAGCATCTACGCATGGGAATGATCTAAACATTGCATAGATCATCTCTGACTTCTGTTCCATATATTTTCAGTCCTTTGGAGTTCACTGGTGCCCGTTTGGAAGCTTAGCTCTCCTGCCTTCTTTTGAGTAAGCATTCATCCCATTGTATATACATCAAATCTGTGTTCTCTTCACTTGTCTTGATCAAACGTTCAGCTCTACCACTTTAGAATTCTGAATTCAAACGTTTCATGGTTGTCTTTTGACGTTCCACTTCTATCTATACTCTGTAGGGATGGAGAATTTTCGCCAAGTTCGTGTAAGACTATCATTCGAATGAGTCATTTTCAATTTTCTCTTGTTTGTTTTATCCTTACATTTACATGCATTGAAGTGCAATCTTGCAATTGAGTTTAACAGTATCTGTCTTTGCCACACACACCATACAGATCACGATCTGTTGGCCCGGCACGGTTTCTTCACCGAGCCAACGGCTTCCTCAGCAGGTGGTCAGCCTTGTCCATACATAGCCTACTTCGGGCCGGTCCATCATCCTTCAGCCTCGAACTCTGCTTCAGACAGCTCGAGTTTCAGTAGTATCTGGAACTCTGCCTCATCAGGGGTTGGCGAAGTGCCCATGCCGTTTGGATTCGGTGGTCTTGATCCGCACTTTCACGGCTGGGATTATCACCCGGCTCCTCCTCCCCCGCCACCGTTCTCTGGTTCGGGCGCTCATATTGGCAGGCCGCCCC